AAAAAAATTAGTAAAAAATAGATTTAATATTTAAATACTATAATATAAACCAATAAAATAATTATTAAAATTAATAAATTAAATTTATATAAGATTATTTATAATAAACGCCTTATTTTCTCAATTAAAGTAGTTATATTTTCTTAAAAAATATTTAATTAAAAAAAAAATTAAAATTTTAAAAGATTTAATTATTATATATATATAAATAATTTAATAATAATTAATTAATATTAATCGTATTATTTATATTATTATTAAAAAATAATAATAAATAATTAAAAAAATAATTAATAAAATATATATAAATTAAAAAAAAAGTTTTAAAAATTAATAATTTGGTATTATAATATAACATTTTTAAACATATAAATATATTTCAAAAGTATTAATTATAATATAATTGGCAAAATTTTTACGTAATTAATAATATTTTAAAAATAAATAAATATATTATTAAAAACTTAAATAAAAACAAAATTTAAGAAATAATAATAGGAAATAATTTAAAATTATTTATATAAAATTATTAAAGATATTAAAAATTTATTAACTTTAAAAATAATAAATAAATTAATAAATTAACTATTAATAATTTTAATTAAATTATTTTTAAAATATTAAATATAAATATAGTGAAGTTTAAAGAAAATAATTATAAAATAATTTAACAATTTAAAAAATAAATTTAAATCAAAATATTTAAAGGAATAAAAAAAGATTACAATAATTATATTAATATTAAATTTAATAAATTTAAATTAAATAAAAATAAAAAGAAATTAAATTATTACTTATTAAAAATAAAGATATAAAGACTTAAATCAACTATTTTTCTTTTATTATTAATCAATTAAAAAATTTATAAAATATATATATAAAACATAATTTAATTAATTTAATACGTTTATTATTATTAAATTTTATTATAATAAAATTATTTTATTTATTAAAAATTTTTTATAATAATAAATTATTATAATATTTCTTTAAATATAGTAAATTTTTTAGCGTTAAATTTTTAATAATAAAAGAATTTTTATTACAATTAATTTTTAAACAATAAAATTAAAGCTCCCAAAATAAATATTATTTTATTATAAATAAATAATTATTATAATTATTATTAAATTAATTAAGTATTAATTAACAATTAAAAAATGGTTATATATTAATATAAATTAAAAATTTAAAAAACCGAAAATACTTTTTATAAATATAATATAAAACTTTATTTAAATAATTATAAACTTAAACAATTAATTTTTAAATATATTTTAGATTTTATAATTAAAATATAATTTGTTTAATTAAACTACTTTAATAAATATTTATATAAACAAAAAGCAGATTATTTATAAATTAATTTTAAACGTAATTAATATATAACATTAAAGTTTTTAATAATATTTAAAATTAATTATAGGTAATTATTTAGTAAATATATTAATTAGCCATTATATTATTAAAAAATTAAATAATTATACGTTTAAATAACTATATTTATTAATTATTAAAAACGTATATTAATTATTAAATGTTAAATTATTTATAAGTTAAAAAAGTAAAAAATAAGATTTTTTTATATTATTAATTATTTACTAATATTTTATTATTTAAAATTTGCTAAATTTTTAATTAAAACGTTTTGGAATTTTTAAATTAAAATAAAACCTAGAAATAAAAATATTATTATTATTATTACTATTACGGATATTATTGTTGTGATTATTAAATAAAATAATTAAAGTGTTGTAATTAAAAAAAAGAATATACGAAAATAAAAAAATAGTAAGTTTTTTAAAAGTTTTATTATTAATAGTTTTAAAAGAAGATATTTTAATTAATTTATCCAAAAATGATAAAATTTGAAAAATGGGGAGTTATTATAAATAATATATTATTGCAAAAATAGTAAAATAAATTTGCGATTTAATTAAAGATTAGTTAAATATTAATAAAAAAAAGTAAAATAATTGTAAAGGTAAAAATATATTTATTTTAAAAAGATTTAAACGAAATATTTTTTTTAAAAAAAAAAGGAAAAAAAAAAAAGGTATTTATATAAATTATAAATATTATGGTAGTTATTTTATATTAAAAAATATAAATATTTATACATATATATAATATTTTTTAATTAACCTATTAATTAATTAAAGTTTTTTTAATTGAAAATAATAAGGTTTTAAAATGTAATATAAAAAGGTTATTAATTATATTACTTTATTATTATCTTACTTTTTTTTTTATAATATTATTAAAAATATTTTATTTTTTTAATTAAAATAGCTTTTATTTTAATATTAAATTTAAATTTATTATATTATATTATATTATTATTTATTAATAACATTTTTTTATTTTATTATTATTAAAATATTTAATTTTTTCTTTATTAAATTAAAAATAAATAATGTTTAATTAATTGCATATAATAATATTAATTTATTTATTTTAATTATTTATATCAACTTATTATTTTATTTTAATAATTATATTAATTTTAATTAATAATGTATAATTATTATTAATAAGATTATATTTTTGAGTAATTAATTTAATAATTTATTTAATATTTAAATATTATTGTTAAAAATTAATAAAAACAAATAAAAAAGTAATTTATTTTTCGAATTTATTTATATTTTGTAAATATATAAAAAAAAGGAATAATTTTATATTAAATAAATATTAATTTTATAAAAATTAGTAATGTTTAATATTTTTAATTATATTAAGGTTTATAAATTAATATTAAATTAAATATTTAATTATTTATTTAAAAGTAATTTTAATATAAAAATAAAGCAAATTTTAAAAAACCTTTTTAAAATAATAGTTTTTTTAATATTTATTAATTTAACCAATTTAGAAAAAAAAAAAGAAGTAATTAATAAAATTTATTATTATTTTTTTACTATTTATATATTTAAATAAAAATATATTTATATATTTAATATAATTAAAAGTAAAATTACGTAACAAATTAATTATATTAATAAATAATTAATAGTAACGTTTAAAAAATAAAAATTAATTTATATACCAAAAAAAATGGCTATATTTAATATAGTAAAATAAAAAAACGGATGGATATACAAATATTAATATATCTTTATAATATATTTAATTATAAAAAACTTAAAAACCTTATTTAATAATATTAAATATAAAATAAATATTTACCTTTTATTTAAATAATATATATAAACATTTTTAATTTACCTTAATATTAAAATAATTAATAAATTAAATAAAAATTTAAAATTATTAATACGTTTATAGTTTTTAAAAGGTAAAAAACCTAAAAAAAAATTTAAATTAAAATCTTAATCTTAATTTAAAACTTTTATTATTTAAATTAAACCTTTAATATTTAAAGAAATATTAATTAAAACCTTAAATATATTAAAAATGCTAAAATAATTAATAAAATTATTTATTAATAATAATAATGTATTAATTAAAAACTTTTTAATTATAATAAATTTAAATAAACGTTATTTTTATAATCTTAACTTATATAAAATTAATTAATATAAATATAGAAAATTTATATTTTATAAATAAATTATTAATATATATAAAAATATTATTAATCAACCATAGCTTAATTTTTTAATTAAATAATTAAATTAAAATAAATTTAAAATATAACTTAATTAAATCAAATTTAAATTTAAAAAAGTTATTAATTAAACTAAAAATTATATTAAACACATTATTACAAAAATTAAAAAACGAACTAAAATTATTAAGTTTAAAAATAAAGATATAAAAAATTTAAATTATTAAAAAATATTATTTTTATTAAAAATATATTAATTAATAAATTTTATATTAAATATAAAGTTTATTTATTAAAATTATTTTATTATAATTAATATTATTAATTTTAAAAAATATTAAATAAATATAATATTATAATAATATTATATATAAAGATTTATTATATAATCTTAATTTTTAAAATTATATAAAATTTTTAAATTATTATATTTTCTTAATTATTATTATTAATATAAATTCTTTTATTATTAATAATTAATAAATAAATATTATTTATATTTATTAGTTTTATAGTTATTTATACCTATTATATATATTTTTTTTTATATTAAATATATTCGTTTTTTTTTTTAAAATTTAAGCTTTATCTTTAATTAATATAATCTCGATATATATTTAAAAATAAAATGCTATTTTTAATTATTAAGAATATTTTCTATAAAGATTTAATATATTAAATGTATAATCTTATTTTAAAAGTTATCCGACTTTTGTTTAATATTATATTAATGTTTAATAAATTATATATAATATGTAATATTTTTTACAATTATTTTAAAATTTTATATTAAACAAAAATAAAATAACTTTTAAAATAAAGCTATATATTTAACGTATTAAGTTTTTATAAAAAGTATTTTTAATAATTAAAAATAATATTTTACTTTTAAATATATAACGGGATTATATTAATTAAAAATAAAGTTTAAGTTTAAAAAAAAAAAACGAATATATTTGTTATAAAAAAAAGTATATATAATAAATGTAAATAATTATGAAATTAATAAGTATAAATGATATTTGTTTATTAATTATTAATAATAAAAGAATTTATATCGATAATAATAATTAAAAAAATGTAACGATTTAAAAACTTTATATGGCTTTAAAAGTTAAAATTACATAATAAACCCTTGCATACGATGTTACTGTAACACTGCACCTGTTTAATATATACATTATATATAATATATTATTTTTATAAAATAAATATAAAAAATTATATAATTAATTTAATAATTTTTTAATATTTTAATTAAAATAATAATAAATTTTTTTATATTTTTTAAAAAACTATTTAAAAAATTATTAATAATATAAATAAATAATAAAAAAACTTGTATATACTTTACATAGTATATTATGCACTTTTCATACTAGCCTTTTTTGGACAGCCCTGACCTATTTTCTTGATTTTGGCACTAATGTCATAATGGTCCGCCGTAAGTGTCATCTACTTTTACATATTGCCCTCTAGCCTTCATTCGTCGGTAATCTTCCTGCACAACTGGCTCATGCTTGATAGGGTGTTCCTCATCTATACAGACGGACAAGCATTCGATAACAGATTTCTCATCCGGTGAGACGAAGTAAGGAATCGAATATCTCGACTTGGTCATGGGCTTTCCGTCGATTTGCATATTATTCTGAACTGGTGGAAGGGTGACGCGGTGAAGGGTCGACTTTAAGAAGTCTTCAAGTTTACGGTTAGTTAGTTGATTTATCAAGGAGCACTGACCATCAAAAAGATATAAGACAACCAACCATTACTCCATCTCATTAGCAAATCGCCAACGTTCATAACTAATGCATTCTTCATCGGCGTCGCATCAATAAAATGGCCGGGCGCACGAGGATGTTCGACTTGTAAACCCCCACAGTCGTCTTGAAAAAGCATCGTTATCGTCCCCCAGTCTGAATGGGCTGGCATTCGTGCCACGACATTGTTAGAAAGCTTCTCTACTTCAATTGATGGATAATGAAGTAATCGTAGCTGGTTGTTAATTCCGCTATGGAAGCGCAGAAAGAAGTTTTCGTCTTCTAGGCCGACGCCGATTGCCAAAGCGCATAACAAATCCTTCGCCACCCCGAAACATTTCCAGTAGAATTGCGTTGTGAATTCGCGGAAACCAGGGAGAACCTCTCCGGGTAGCCAGACATTCGGCTGTGTCTTAGACTCCTCGCTACCAATTTCATAGCTCTCCTATTCAAGACTCAATATTTGTTCATTCGACAGGTTAAGTGAGAAGTTTACCTTAAAATCTGAGACTTTTCGGTTCTCAGTTTCTTTTAATTCGTCCCCGTCTTTGATGATATCCTGCGACACTTTCTCTAAGCCTGGCCACGAATATCCTCGGTGAACATTGGGGCCTAAATTATTTATTCAGCAACTTGCTCGTTGACTTGAGGACTAAGATTCACCTGGTGGGTGAGGAGCCATCATCTTCTTTTCTTGAGGAAGATCGAAGAGTTTCTTGGACCAACCAAACGCCTCCTCGAGTATATCACTCGGTACACCGTGGTTGACAATGTATACGAAGCCAACTCGACGGCATGCGTCGGTCAGTTCCCCGCCAATGCGTTCCTTGTCTTTTGTCGAGCCCTTCGACCATGCACCGAAGTCTACCACGGGAATTGCACCTTCCTCTGGAGCCATAAGATAAACATGGGCTTATTAAGGCCCCTCCGATGTTGGTAAGTTCTAAATCTTCAATTGCTAATTGCATTAGATCTATGAGGTTATGGATATGAATGATCGGAATTGTATGTTGCCACGAATCATTATTACATATACGGAAGTCGCCTTCAAAAGTTTTGTCCATAGGTCAGCCCTTGTCAGCTTGGCAAATCTTGGCAACAACTGTTGGCCTCAATGACAGATGTACTCCTCCATATATACCAGTTTAATATATTTATTTCACCTTGAATATATAAGCTATAATATTAAAATTTATACCATGATAAATCCAAGCCTTTATATTTATAACTAATCTAATCGCTATATTTTAAAAAATATATTTGGCTGTATAATTATCCATATAATAACGGGTAGATTTCAATGTACATTATAATTTTTGAGTGCCAAGTGGGTCAGGCCATTCACAGCTGGTCAACAGCTGTGGCCAAGCCTGACAGGTGCCTGGTATGGACAAAACTTTTGAAGGCGACTTCCGTACGCGATGCGGGGTTCCCATGGACACCACCACCCAGCTATGATAATAACACTTTCAATTCCTCTTCAAAACTCAAGTAATTATTATCTTTGCTGCCGTTGATATTAATTCTATATCATAGGTGACAGCACGCAGTTAGCAACTAAAATGTTCGAAATTAACGAATTCCTGTGCAATTACCGCTTAATTAGAAGGTGATATCGGTATTTACCTAGACTTAAGAGATAAACAACACGTTAATTCTTCACGAGTAACTCTTGTACATAATCGGCGTTAATAACAGATTATGAATTGATATTTAAAGAATATCTAATTTGTGAGATGAAAAAGAAGTTTATATATGCTTGTTGTTTTTATGTATAATTATATGATTGAACTGCGATCTAATAGGAGATCAAACTCCATGTATGATAGTTCCTTCCACCGGGCTAAGAGTTCCAAATCAGCTTGAAACTATATACTCTACGTGGAAGGTAAGAGTAGTTACCTAAGTTATAAGACTAACTTAAGCAATTTTTATCAACATCTCCATCGTGATACATAGTCTACATCTAGCTACTTGCATAACTAAGGAATATTATCAACGAGGCAACATTCAGGCTTAACATCGTCAAGTTTTGGTGCTATTCTTATATACGAAAGCTAGTCTACTTTTAAATCGAGATAAATCATACGCAACCGTTTCCTAGCCATTAAACTAGGCATCAACTAGTGGGAGGCTTTATATTCTTGTTGAAGCATTATGTCGAAATTAATAAAGACCGCAGAGGGGGAAAGTCCCTATATGGCTCCACTATCAGGCCCATTACCATCAGCAGGGGGACCTACTACTATAGCAGACATTATAGACACTCAACATTTAGGGTATAAGTTGAAAGTTCTAGTATGGGATCTGTACCATTTCGAAGATCCGGATTCATCAAGTCGCTTATGCACCGCCTTCGACAACCTTGATTTCATCGGTTATCCGTACTTTTCCGATAATGAAGCCGCATATATTTTAAGTGCACCTACCCGTGTGTATCGAGATCGGACAGATGCCCCACGTATCCAATGCGTGCGAGATGCCCTTTTCGAACATCTCGATGCATTTTATACCAACTGGGATCGGAGACAAAGATACGAAGTAGGAAGTCGATTACCTGTTCACGGAGATATTGCACATATATTTTTGTTTGTGTTTGGAATCACGTTTATACAGCTAGGCAGCATGCGATTTCAACGTCAGCTCCGCGAATATGGCCTCAAACTCGTTCCGAAGAGATCTCGCAAGGAAAACGCTTATGAAAAACAAGAAACTGGCCCGAAATGCATCGTCTAATACCATGGTAATGGTGTATATTTACCTAAAAATACTGCCTAACGTATTCTAGTGGTTTTGATTCGGTTCTCTTACCATCCAGAATTTTGGAATAGAGGACCTACTGTGGAACTATGGCTATAAAAGGAGGGGAAAATGGAGATTAAGAGTTAAGGGTTGGGGCTCTCTTGGGCCCTACTATTAGGACTGATAGCAAATACATCCTGTGTATTGATTATAACAAAGAAAAAAACATGAGGAGTATCGCTGTAATAGAGATTAGAAACGCATTGGTGTATTAGGTGGGAAATTGTCAACTACTATAAGAGGCTAAGAGGAAGTACTTAATTGTTATACTCATTAATAAAGAACTTACACGTTCGAACTGGAAACTGCACTCATCTATAGTCCGGTGTTAATAATAACCAACTACTGAACCGGCTAGCTGCGGGTTTCGAACGTAAAGAGTTAAGTCAAGTCAGTGCATAATATTTTATGGTAAACTGTGAGTAGAATATGAATACATTGCCTTAATATACGGATCTTAGGCAATCCATTTCTATCATTAACACACTTAACTCCGGTGGCCTTCCCTGGCGGGATATGCTTTAATAAGAAATAGTTAGTAATCGAAGACATACAGTTTCTAGACTAGGACCTATTTCATATGACCCTAAGATTCATCACGAAGGAAACGTTTTACTAAGGTATTAAAAAAACACTTGCATTTAATATAAGATGAACAGGTTATCCGGAATATTTCGGATCATATAAGCACTGTGCCCGAATAACGCGATGAGGCGCGTCGTATCAGCGCTAGCACGTATTGGTATATTCATAGACTAGACGTTATAGATGGAATTGTAAAGGAAGATAGAAATAAGGAAAGCTTAGCAGGTTGCTGTCTCTTCGGAGGATAATATTAAAAATCATAACAGTGAGAGACTTTTAGGATATCATAACAGGTACCTAAATTAGTCTACCTAAGAACCTAAGAGAGAATGAATGGGTTTCGAAGTTGACATTCATATTGTTAACAATAATTGAGTCCTTATACCCTCAACTCCACTTGCTATCCTACTTATTGACGTCTCCAATAACTATTACTTTAAGAGTATATGAACACTTATCTTGTTCAATGTTAAGTGTGGGAGTATCCGATGGAAATAGGTCCGAAGAACTACACGACCGTAACCTAGTTGAATATCGCGAAAAGCGGCCTTTGCTTAGGTGAGGTTACATGGTTTCTGACAAATGTCGGTACGACACAGTACCTGTATATGGGGACTCAAGATAACGACAACATTCCTAACGTGTGAAGATATTTTCTACGTAAATGCAATAAAAGTCCTTCTAGTGTAGAATTCTTATAAAGTCCAAGTAACGAAAATAGGGGTTGTCAGAAGTTCCTAACACGTACAAGTTCGTCAAGTCGACAAATCCATACTTTTGCAACACCCCCAAGTCTACCTATAATAGAGTTTCGGTTGACTATCCGCCGAGCCGGGACCAAAACGGCCCTTCGCCTGATGCCAAGGTAATAGCTGAGCTGTGACAGGCTGGGAGCTCTGCATGGCAGCCCTGCCCATGGGGTTATGGAGCTGAAGTCGGCATATATCACGCATAATTATCATTAATCTGAACATAGTCTAATCCAGGTGACATTAAAATTCGTCCCACAGCGCCCACAGCGAGGGATATTGCGGATGCTGTGTGGGATATTGCGGGGGCCCATCTTACTATTCCGGGCCTTTTCTCGAACGACCTCGATCATGGAGAAATGGAACGTGGCGATGGAACCTAGTTAGCCAATCGGAGCCTATCTATCTAACCATAAGTTATGAAATTCCGGGGTCTCCATTTGCTGTGCCCTTCGGTTGGTACTTTACGAGAGGGTCTGGAAATCAGGCTTGGCGGCTAAATAGGAAAATGGCTATAGCTATTCGTGACCTCTCATGATTTGCGCGCAATCTAGGTATAAGCTGATATTACCTTATTAACCGCCGAATCCTACTGGAACAATCGGTCCGAGTTAAAGGCCTTTAGTTATATATGAGCGAGCACATCACCATGGCCCGACTCCGTAGGATAGATTTCACTGGAGTTGAGAGACCGGAACTTGTCTCATCGGACTTTGTCTCTCTACGCGAAAATTAACCCCGGTCAATTATCATTTCGGTTCGTGAGAAAAGTTCGACAAGATGGTCGGCGGCGGCGTTCAGACGGACAATATCGTCCATCGCATGGCGATGGAGGATAAGGTCCCATGGCATAAGAAGAGGAATTTGCGCTACCTGTACTTCATGCTATTTCCGTGTTTGATGGGAATCGAAATGACCTCCGGATTCGATTCGCAAATTATCAACGCCGTCCAGCTAGTTCCCGCGTGGAGTAACTGTAAGTTTCAGGCAGCCAGAGCCAAAGCGGTCAGGAACGGAAGCTAATCACGGAAGGATTGTAGATTTCGGACATCCAACGGGTGGTTACAAAGGCATATTGGCCTCGGCATTACCGCTCGGCTCCGTTATTGGTCTTCCTTTCATCCCGCTCCTGAACGATAACCTGGGTCGACGATGGTGTGTGATGTTTGGCAGTGTGGTGATGATCATCGGGTCCCTAATCCAGGGTTTCGCTGTCAACGGTACGTGAGAAAGTGACATGAGACTGCTATAGTTCTCTCAAACTGATCATGATTGAAGGCGCGATGTATATTGTCTCTCGGCTTATCATTGGGTTCGGACTTCCCTACGCTATTGTTGCAGGATCAAGTTTGATAGGAGAACTTGCGTATCCTAAAGAGCGTGCTATTCTGACATCCCTGTTCAACGCGGCCTACTTTATCGGTGCTATCGTGGCTTCATCTGTAACTTATGGAACTCAGCAAATCCCATCAGACTGGTAAGTCTATTGCTATGAATTTCTATTATCGTGTGTCAAGTCTAATATACCTTTCTCGTTAGGTCCTGGAGGTAAATCGATACTCTGACATTATATTAAACTACCGACTGTTCTAACGCGTATATACTAGAGTTCCTTCCCTTCTTCAAATGTCGCCCTCCCTATTACAGGTTGCCTTGATTCTGTAAGACTTTCGTAGCTTACTTGCCATAGTCTTCTTTACTAACTTCTCCTAGGTTTCTTCCTGAAAGTCCTCGATTCTTGATTAGTAAGGAGCGATATGAGGAAGCCTTCAAAGTCCTAGTTACATACCATGCTGAGGGTGACGAAAATTCGGAGTTCGCCAAGGCGGAAATGGCCGAGATTAAAACTACTATTGACATCGAGATGGAACATTCGAAGCGCTCTTGGATGGATATGTTCAGCTCAGCAGGAAACCGAAGACGTGTGATTATAGGTTCTCTCGTAGGTGTTATGTCGCAGCTTTCCGGAAACGTGGTTATCTCCTACTACTTGGGCGACATCCTTAACCTGATCGGCTTTACGGACCCCAGCTTCCAAGCCAAATACAACATCGGGAACCAGGTGTGGGGTTTAGTTTGTGCCGTATTGACCGCACTTCTGGTAATGAGATTCCGCCGGCGAACAATGTACTTGACGTCCATCATTGGAATCTTGGTGATCTATGTAGCATGGACCATCTCCGCGGCAGAGGCTATCGTGGGAGGTTCAAAAGCTGCGGGTAAACTCTGCTTGTTCTGGATCTACGCATACCAACCAGCCTACAACATTGGTTTCAATGCTCTCACATACAGTAAGTACTAAGATTTCATAATTATGAGAAATATTTGCTAATAATGACCACCTAGCGTACCTTATCGAGATTTTCCCGTATGCCATGAGAGCTCGTGGAATTTCAATCTTCCAGTTCTTTGGAAAAGCCTCCCAGGTAAGATTTATGAAAAACTGGTTTTATTTATACCAAACTCGCTAACCTGAACTCAGTTCTTCGGTACTAACGTGAACCCTGTTGGTTTGGACCCAGTTACCGGCATCGGCTGGAAGTTCTTAATTGTGTACTGCTGTTGGATTACCGTCGAGGCCGTTCTCATTTATTTCCTCTGGCCCGAGACTTCGGGCCGTACCCTAGAAGAGCTTGCCTTCTGTAAGATCACCTTAAGATTTCTTAGCTGAGACCATATGCTAATCGTGAAAATAGTGTTCGAAGACGACGAGCGTGCTCACGCTGCGACGGAAGCTGTCGAGAAGCAAATCCATCATGAGGAAGTCAACCACCACGAGGAGGTAGACGTATCCAAAACGGCTAGCAAAGACCAAGTTTAAACCCCCAAATGTTGCCTCTGATATTATAGCCCATTTGGTCCTAACTTCGTTCACCACGGAAGATTCTAATCTTGCCATGGGTTGAAGTATTGAATGAGTAGCTTCAAATATTATCTTAAATTAAGGAATATTAAGTGGCCTCTTTCGGGGACTGCAACTTGAATACATATTAGAGAGATACGTATGTGTCAAAAACCTCAATTGTGAATGAGTACACCCTTTTTGATTTTTCATTGACGTCTAAATCCCACAGCTTGTGGATGATATCTCTTAATATATATTCTCATTATTAAACACTTCTCTCTCGGGTACTATATCAAGCCATTGCTAAAAGTATTAGTCACTAGACTATTATGAATACCTTACGATCTTTAATCTCGATATCTTTATTTAATCATGTGATAGGACCTTGGGGAGATTACCGTGGATAAAAAATAACATCGGAGTTTCAATTCAGTCATAGTCTTCTTAATAGTTGGTACTTTAGGTATCAATACCCATACAAATAAAAAGGGGGTCTGTGGTGGTAAAGGGGAAAATCTATTGGCTGCCAGAGATAAATCTCGATGATATGCCCATGTGGGTTATGCGCTGGTCGCATACGAGTTAAAGTCGGTTCGTCATGTGAATGAATGAACAACTTATCTTACAAAGAGCCCTTCTTAACACTCGTGTCAAGGATACTGGATTGAGTTAATGAGTGTGGTTTATATATTCCGTAGACCAATAACCTTCTATTGAAATCTTTGTTACATGGTAACAATTAGGAATTATCTTGCCGAGTGGTTGCCACGCGTCTCCATCAGGCTCTGAGCCGCATGGAGCTCGCAGTAAAATAATAAGTCGCTCATACCTCTTTGTGTTATGTATGTGGAGATGGGTAGTATGTAGAAGCCGGATGTATGAACCTGTGTGGTATGTTACCAGAGAACCAAACATATTGAAAGAGTGGTTGAACGCCACTGTCAGATCACGGCTGCATAATTGATATCCAATACATAGAATTAGTTGACTAACTACATAGGTAGGCAGATACCCCGTAGATCATTCCGTTATGGTCTACCAGTCTGTTGGGAGCTAGTTAAGGGGAGATAAGGGGGTACTTCTGGCTTCAAGCGTAAAGGTACATGGATGACACCGGAGCTCGCTCCGTAGAAACTAGGAAGGATGTCGGCTCCTACTTAGGAATTGCGACTGATGACATTATATGACGATTTCATTGTGAATAATTGCATAGTAAGAATAATTTTCTGATTTAAGCACTATTACGCCAAATAACGTAGTGATAGTACAGTTCAATTAACAGCTGCATCGTAGAGTTTCGTATGATCGGAGTCTGAAGACCTGTTTTCATAGATGTCCTTCCGTCAACAGTATGATGTACCTAGCTCATAAGATTATGGTATATATATAGTAATATTGGTAGTAGTGATGGTATTGAGACGGATGAATACTACTCACCATGAGGTTGACGCATTGTATGAGAAAAGCACTGATGAGTATATGAAGTGTCAGGCCGGTCCTGTAAACACGATCGTAAACAATTAGACGAGACATGGATCCGAAGCCAACCATGACCCATATCCCATCTTCGGACTCGGACCCCGGACTGACCCTCTATCGACCTGCTGGCAAGCTCGCGGAGAAGAAAGTCCTCATCACAGGGGGAGACTCGGGGATCGGTCGGGCCGTAGCGATTCTCTTCGCGTTGGAAGGTGCCCGAGTAGTTATCAGTTATCCTCCCGAAGAAGAAGAGGATGCACAACAAACCAAGGCACAGGTGGAGAAGAATGAGGGTGAGATCTATCTCGTCGCCGGTGATTTAACCCAAGCCGCAAACTGTACCTCATTAGTGAATCGTGTGGTGACGGTCTTGGGCGGTATCGACATCTTAGTCAACAATGCGGCCACGGGGAATGAGAAAGGAGACATCGTTGATATCACCGAGTAAGCTGTGCTTGACCGGGTAAGTTTCCAATATATTAGCTAACCTCAATACCTCAATAATAGAGACCAGTGGTCGGCGACTTCGCGCACTAACGTTGATCCTCTTTTTCACGTCACCAAGGCCGTTTTGCCACACCTATCTAGCGGTGCAGTTATCATCAACAGCGCATCAGTGGACGCTTACATCGGAACCCCTAGCCCCGTAGACTGTGCTACCAGAAAGGGAGCCGTCATCGCGTTTACCCGAACGCTATCTAACCAACTGGTGAAGAAGGGGATCCGTGCAAACGTCGTGGCTATCGGTCCCGTATGGCCTCCTCTCGTTACTAAGAGAGTAAGCGAGCAAGGCCAGCAGGGGAAAATTCTAGGGAACTCGATACCGATAGAGCGACTCGGGCACCCCAGTGATATCGCGAGAAGCTACGTGTTTCTCGCGGGGAGCGAGAGCGCGTTCATGAGCGGCCAAATATGTACGTGACACCGAGAGTACTCCTCTATATCTCACGATGTTTTTATAAAAGATACGCCTATGTGCTTCGAAAAGATAATTGATAACTTATTGTAGTACACCCTAATGGAGGTATTGTTGTGGATGGCTGAAAAGGGGGATTTGTACGAACTTCAACAACATCGGAATTTTGCACGTAGGTAGTGCGTGGAGGAATCCATCATATCGGTAATGGCTATTATCATCACTAATTATCGTTTGAAGTGATACAGGTTCTCGGAGAATGGAAGATGATTCGGCATTTTGGTATCTATACAATAATATTCAGCAAGTCATAGCATTTAAAGTCTCCATAAGCGAACTATCCTTTCATCAATCTCGTAGGTAGGTCATTAATCGTCATCGTTACACGTGGCCAAACTTGTCATAGCATACAAGCTTCACGAGCAGCAGTATAAGATAGTTGCTCATGTAGTTCTTCTGCATTCTCCCTGCTCTGAGTCCCTTCATCGCGTCCTCTAACAAACCTCCTCGCGGCTTGCATCAGGTAATCGGTGATAGTCTCGCAGCCACAGCTTCCATGGAGCAGGAGTTCGTTCTTTAGGTTAATCATCTCCAACTCGAGGGAAGCTTTGTGTGCGATGAGGTAGTCATGCTGCTCGCTCATAACCCGCGCCCTTTCTTGTAGCTCCGAATTTTCCAACTTCTGTTTCTTTCGACATTTTGTCGCAGCTACACGGTTTCGCTGACGTTTTTCGACCCCAGACTCATCGCTAGTTGGCTTATTACTTGATCGCGATGACCGGCGGCTATGCGATCCAATTGGGTTTGTAGTGTCTCCTTTGAAGACCATATCGTCCTCGCGCTTTTCGTTGCTGTTTCTAAAATGTGGTCTCTGGATCGTATCGTTGCGATCTTCCCGGGCTAACCCCATTTGCTGACAATCGGGGTCCATGGGTAATGTCAAGTATTTGATTATATTGGGGCTGACACTGTAGCCTATATCTGCAGGGCTGTTTTGCCCGATGAGCAGGCCATCCGTATTGGATGTTTTCTCGAACCCCAGTGAACTGTCTATGAATTCTATTTCCATTGGTAGTTGTGGTGTGTGGAAAGACAATATAGAGACGCAGCCATGCATAGGAGATGGGAAGGTTGACAAGTCCATTCGTAGCTGGACTAACGATTTTGGGTCTACATATAGCTCGGACGAGGGATCCATCCGAATAAGTACTGCCTGTGTCCCAGTGTATGAGGTTGAGCCAGGTACATAGAGTGGTGGAAAGGTAGGGAATAGAAAAGATAGATCAAACAATAAACATGTTGATCTAGTTACATTAGGTATGTAAAGAATAGATTGTCATTTATTGCCTATCTTATTTGGATATCTCTATTGGATACAAATGTCGCAAATGGATAATAACTAACTACTCGTTACCAGGGGTAAATTTTGTGATATGCTTTCTCAAGGGAAGCTATACCGACCTAAACTATGCAAAATGGCGTAAACCACAACTGTTCGCGTCCACATACAGCTACATTATAAGGCCGCAACCTTTGGGTACCGTCATCCCAGATCTCTGGTTGATTTATCGATTGGATGGTGAATCTGACATGCCTTAAGCTTTCCTTATAAGTCTCGCGTACCTTGATGTTGAGATTCGATCTTGAACAACTTTCAGTTGGTATACGTAAGTCTCCACTAGGTAGTGTGGGTTCCGTATATCAAACGTATGCCCAAGCGGTAGTAGTGAGAGTTCTCTATTCGGAGCACAGTCCGGAGCGGGGCTGACCAATCATATCCTATATGGCCTCCGCCCCTTACCCCCTACTAGCGACGTAAGGTAAAGCGAAGATAGAATGCCTACGGCCATGTCGCGACAAGGAAAGGAAAATCTGACCTGATATTGTTTCCATACGAAATACTGATGTCACTGATTGCTGATCGGGGTTCTATCTGTTTTATCCTATCCACGTAATTGGCAGATCCTACGAACATATGCTCGCTTAGAAGGGCCTGCTATATCTCAGTGTTGGACGACATCGACGTTCCTTCGGGCATACCGAATTGCACAAAAATATAGATTGATGTAACTACGGAAATAAGTCTGTCTCGGGTATCTTACTCCGTGTTTGTGGTCCAAGTATCTCAACCAACATGTCCTTATAGGTATTTCATATTCGATGCTCGATCTACACTATATTCTGTGATAGCAAACTTTCTCAAGGAGGCTTGGCAGTAGTATCGTATTGATTTGGGAGTCGAGAAATATTACAAATCTACTATTTTATACTCTATGAGATATGTATATATTACTACCCTTTCTATAATAGAAGCATGTATGGGGGATGTTTGTGGCAGCAAGCTTCCGATCTTTAGGTAATATCAACTTTCATTGTGAAAGCAAACAAACCAGGTACCTACCATAGGGGAGGTCCGGGGGTATAGGGAATCATTCCGTATAAATGAAACCATTCTACCTGATAGTAACATGGGAATCAGCTTGGTGCATTCCAACATCGTAGAATGATTCTATTACTAAAATGATTCCGTAAAATAGAACGATTTGCCTTTTCACGTGACTTTCACGTGATATTCACGTGAAAAAGTGGGATCAAAAAGGAAAAAAAGTCAAAAAATTAAAAAGACTGGTCCTCGAACCCACTACCCTTGCGTTTGTGTAACCTAACCATTAACCCCACTATTAAGGTTAAAGTTTAAAGTTCAAACGTTTGAGCTAATGGGACGAGGTGGCCAATCTCATCGAATTATTTCATTGTGGAGATTTTCCTGTTTTTAGGCCTTATAACCTTTACATTAAAAAAAGTAAAATTTTAACTTAGAAAAAAAAACTTTCGAAAATTTTATTTTTTATTTTTTTATTTTTTTTTCATTTTAATTTTTTTTAAAAAAATATTATTTTTTTAAATTTTATTTATTTTAATAAAAAATTTTTTATTTTTAATAATATTTTTTATTTATTTTATTTTTTTTTCCTTTTATTTTATTTTTTTATTATTAAAATTTTATATTATTAGTAAAATAGTTTTAAAAATTGGAACGATTTTACGGGATGGAATGGTTTTACGGTTATAAAACGCTTTCTTTAAAATAAGATATTAAAAGTGGGTACCCAAACCCACTATACCTAAATTCTGACCAATTAAAGCCCTTAAAACCCAAAAACGTTCCGCCGCACGAAATCATTCCAGTTTTAGAACGATTCCCCCAAACCCCCCTCCTCCGCTATGGTAGGTAAGCATGTGAATTCCTATGTGACCAAGAGAAATCAAAAAGAATTCAAATTAGATCACCTTTAGCCTTGTACTTTAAACGATATGCCGAAGGGAGAAGACACTAGGCCCTTTTCCATACGAATGGACGATTTGTCGCCTATTGTCTGTACCGGTCAAGCCTTGGCTCGGCACATTCTCCGTATCCAGAATATCCTTCTGGTCAATTCTCAGCGCATAGTAGCATGAAATGCGCCACATAATGCAGATGCTTGGTTTCGTTATTGTTATATTAAATAGGTATCGTTAGCAAACGGTTATCGTAAAATAACAACGAATCTGTCCATATTAAATATTAATCTAAACTTTAACTAGCAATTACAGTTACTTATAAGGTTTAAATAAGAAAAAAGTTTCAATTTACTTCTTTTTTACATTAAGTAATGATTAACGTTTTTTTTAAATGGAACGAAAAGCTTTCCCATTTTTTTTTTAACATATTTTAAATCTTAACGGCCACTTTTTTTTGCTTTACAAGCCCCGAACTGTTAGTTGGTTAAATAAACATGACCGAAAAACTATTTATTATATTAAAACCTTGAAAAATACGGAAATAAAGAATTATAATTCCTTTTTAAACCGGGGTTCAAAAATAACTAAACCGTTTTAAAACAATTTTGAACTTAGATTATGCATACCTAATAAGTTGATAATTAAGCAAATTTTATTTTTTAATGAATCATGATAATAAGTACCTATACGCTTGTTTTTTTCACCTTGTAAAACATTTACAAGAGAAAAGGTTAAGCTTCCGTAAATCTTGTCACTTATGATACTAGAAAAATAGTCACCTAATGGTCCGCAATTAAAATACATTATAATACATTATAGTACATGCAACGTCATTGTTCGTTGTGGTCGTATTTCAGCTAGGTTTATTGTTAATACCCCTGTTGTACATTCCTAATCTCTTTTCACTGTAACATGACTTATGTTAGGTACCTAATTCATCCTGACGGTGGATGTTGGGATGTTATGTACATGCCAGCTGTCAGCTGTCATGTCGTTGGCGACATTGAGAACGTAACGCAGGGTTGCTACACGACTACCATCTGAATTGTGAGCTGCTTAAAGTATCCTCTCACATTGTATTTTTATTCCTTTCTGTTTATGTGCTCATTTTCCGGTCATTACCCACTATCCCTATGAAAGGATTCTCTTACCACTTTGTACCTTACCCCTCGATCGGATATCTACCACACTTGATGATTGGTGACGAGTGATATTGAATATGTACCTAGAATTGAAAATCATTTATAAATAATCAATAAAATCAGAGCATTTCAGAGTCCTACATCACCCACCTCATTATACCAGCTAGAGACGAGTGTATAATTGAATACACCTAGGCCTTAATTTAAATATTTACGCTCGGATATAGAATTTTAATTTATTTTCATTGCGATGATGGAAGAACTTTGGTAGGGTTGAAAGAGTATCTTGACTCAACCTAACTCATTTTAACCCTTGCTTATTGCTATGGCATTTGTACTTATAAAAAGGACTATCCTAAGATGCTTTGTAGACGTCGTAAACAAAAGGATTGTATTTCTCAATACTCACAAGTAGAAATTAGGCAATTAACCTCATGGTTACCTACCTGGGTACTTAATCTAACATATTCGACTTCTCACCGGCTCGGTCGTATCGTGATACCTAGTGCCGTCCTATTAAGTACATGAAAAGGGGGGGCATGTTACCACCCAAAGAGTATGCCGCACGGTCTGCCTCAACTTGGATGTCTGACGATTTGGCGAAGAGGAAAAAAGTCAAAAATTAAAATGGAATTCTTTCACAATAGCTAAACGCTGTGATGTTAGGATCGGGCTCCTGCGATTCGCTGTGGTATAGTCACGTGACACAGAGACATGTGAGCCCAAGGGGGTAGATTGACTATGTGCTAGTATAGGATTGAAATAATTGAAGTACTATACTTAGAATAAAATAGGCTTACTGATTTAGCAAGGTTCGACACATTAATATTTATGGACGAGCGCCTATTACAATCCCAAATAAATCTTAAATATAGGATGAGATGCAATAATATCGATGGGAAAATGTGACTAGACCTGAAGATTATACTGCAAAATCGCAAGATAAAACGGAACAAATTAATTAGGAAATATGATTATAAGGTATGGAACGTCTTAGTCATTTAATCCTACTCCATGTCAACTTTCTTGCGGTTTTGACATCATGTATACTATGTAAACAGTACCATTGGCAATTCTTATTTGGTATTAATTGAAATTATAGATGGCTCCTCTCGACCTCTACTGGTACTGTGGGTAGCCCACAAAGATTCGGTTGCACGCGGTGTGCGGTCAAAGTTTTGCATGGAGTATCCTGAAGAGCCGGAGTGGTAACTCCTCATAGTAACACGACTCCAAAATAGGCGGCGGTATTCGCGGTCCTTGTCTGAGGGGGAAACTAAGAAGCGGTATGATGGTAACTGACTAATAAGCACAGAAACTAACAGTTCGAGATAGCTGTAGAGGTTGGTGAGGTGATTGTCCAACTGGTGTAATTTTACAGATCGCAGTGTCTCAAATGCAATTGTAATCATTGCCAGGCTGCAGATGGCAGATAAAGCAAGCTTCTGGTTCGTGCCCATATTCAAGCGCCAAATCACAGGCATCGGAAGCGCAATAACTAGCAACGTCAGTAATAAGTACTTCTGTTGGGCTTAAAGCCCCATAATATCATAACTCTAGGAACTTACCAACAATATCAGACGTAACATTGAAGAAATAATCAACCCATACTAGCCTCGAGTCGAGCAATGCAACGTAGGGCGTTCTACAGCCCTCTTATGAGTAGTCCAGTTAGTATGAAGATTTCTAAAGAGAGGAGATATATGCAGTTGAACAAACCGTAAGATAATAGATTAGCTACATCACCACACTGGCCGTATACACCAATAAGGCAAGTTCCATAACAAAGCACGATGTAAATCAGACTCCATAACCAGACACGATTAAACTTGTTGTGGGAACAAAAAGCAATTTTATAAAGAAATATGAAGGAAAGCTTAACACAAAAAAGCGATGTCCAGAAGAATGTCTCGGTGGCTACATCCCACTTGCGTAGCCTAATGGCCATATTTGCGAGTTCGGACTCAGGGGGTGCTGGAGACTCGCCTATTAAAATCGAAGAATATTGATAACTCAGTGGGAGCTCAATTGTTGCGATAATCATAGCAAGGATCATCGAGAGCCAAGATATGGCCCCGAACATGTCATCCAAGTGGAAACTCTTGAGTATAATACTTCGAATGAGTAAGCGGCCGACAAACAATACAGTCGATGCGCCGGCCAGCGTCCAGATAACCACCTATAAACAAATGTTAGACCTAAAAACTAAGTGTATTCGTGTATATAGTGAATTGCAGCCTTTCATATCTCATGACAAGGATTACGTACCAAAAGACCCTCAGATGAAATGCCTTGGCCAGCCTCAGACATGTTTTATGAGTGGATGCTGTAAAACTTGAATATAGAAAGGCGAGGTGGTAATTCCGGATACCAAAAGACTTCCTTATTTATGGCCTGAGATTAATAAAATGATATATAAAAGGAAATCTTATATTTAGGCCTCTAAGAGTAGATTCTTCCACTCATTCACTTCATTTATATTGTCAGAGACAAACAATTACACAAGATATTTTTAGGTGAGCACGGTCTCATATTAAATAGCGCCACTTAGATGATATATATACCTATATATGCCTATACCGGCTGGCTGGTATATTTAACGCCGAGGTGTAAGGGATGGATCGGCTATCTCAAATGTCCCTAAGGGTATGCGACATGCAGAGCTACCTAAGGACTCGCCTACTAGGTTACCGTTGGTTCGCTTTAAGCCCTTCTATATCACACGACGCCTATTTTGGTGAACTTGGTAGGATAGTTAACCGGTCAAGCTTTGAGAATTATAACCATTGTGAGCACCTGGTGTTACAGCTTGGAGCCTATATTGTCTGCTGCTACCCGGTAGGATACGAAGTAGTAGCACCTTTTATTGAGACATTGACGCCTCATACTCCCTTATCACTTGGGGTTGTACTTGCTTATTATTCGTAGCAGATGGGCACCGCAGATAAGCATGCTCCTCATGATGCAAGGGATGAATGGTAAAGATAAACCCGTATCTGAAACCTAATAATAACATACCCATCAATATAAGTTCCGTAATGAAATTCCTATCATTTACTAATGTAGTATTACTTACGCGAGACTGCATTCATTTCTTTTTACAACTTTACCGCTTTTCTTTACCCCCAGCGCCCAAATCCTTGATCACTAGTCTTTTTGGCTATTTGTACACCTGTGTGGCTTGACCGCCATTCTCTATAACGATTACACAGAAACAATGGCATACCATCCTTCTCACGTTGGAGAAAGCCCTATCCAGACAGTTGACATTTCCCCCTTTCTTACTGAGGCTGGCGATTCTTTCGATGATTTGGGACTTGTCAGAGCTGGACAGGCTCTTGTCAGGGCTCTCCATACTCTAGGGTTTGTCAAAATCTCAGGTCACGGAATTGAAAAACATGAAATTGAGACTGCTCTTGCTTGGTCTAAGAAACTTTTCGATCTATCGTACGAAGACAAGATGAAAGCCCCTCACCCCGCTGGAAACATGCCCCACCGAGGCTACTCAGGGATCGGCCGGGAGAAAGTTTATTCTTCAGCAGATGTAGAGGCCAATACAGCGGCCGACAACATTGCCCAAGAATTGCGAAAGATCTCTGACTTCAAGGTATAAAGTCTAATCTCACTTTTGTCCTACCCCCCTTTGCCTAACCGGGCGTTTCGTTCTCCGTCGGATGCTAACCAAGTACCAGGAGAGCTATGAGATAGGAAGTGAGGACGATCCCGTGCAGCAGAACATATGGTTACCCGATGATGTACTCCCCGACTTCAGGCGTCGTATGACAGACCTCTACAAGAGGCTATACGGTGTGAGCGAGCTCTTGCTTCGGGCTATTGGTGTTGGCTTAGGCCTTAACGATGAAGAACGCACCGCACTTGATAGGCTGATTTCGGACCGCCATTGCCAACTGCGCCTATTACATTACCCTACTGTTAGCAAAAGCAAGTTACAGAATGACCTAATAGCACGCCTACCACCCCATACTGACTGGGGGTATGTCCTTCGAATATACAACCTTAGCGCGACCAGATAAACGCTAATGCTGACCCCTATCATAGAACATTTACGATCCTTTTTCAAGACGGTGGTGGGGGATTAGAACTAAAGAGCCCCCGATCACAAGAATTCCTTCATGCAGAACCCGAAGACGAAACATTTGTATTGAATATTGGTGACATGCTCCAGCGGTTTACTAATGGTGGGTAATATATTAATTCCTAGCCCTTCATTGGTCGCTCATATAGCTAATATACTCCAATACAGACTATTTTATCTCAGCCCTGCATCGAGTATCAGTCCCCAAGGTCGATAAAGTACCAGAGACGGGTATCCCCGCTCGCTACTCTATTCCCTTCTTTACTTGTCCTGACTTCACTCACGTGGTAGAAACTCTACCACGCTTCATTACAACTGAAACCCCCAGTAAGTATGAGCCGGTCAGGTTTGATGAATACGGTTCACTCGTTAGCAAATATCAGTACGGGCGAGACAACTTGTAAATAAATGTGCGAGTAGCTCAGGAAGGAGAATCATATTCTCTTCACTATGAGTACGTGAATTACCATTAAGTGAACTACACACCGCGATATATTCTTTCTCACGTAGCGAACAAACTTGCCAGCATTAACCCACGCTTCTTTTATCTCCATGAAACCTCCGTTTTAATCTGACTCGTCTGTAAAAGGGATGTCCTCCCCGTCAGGAACATCCCATTGATTCTCTATGGGGGACACAATGAAGCCAGCCTCGGCAACCTCTCGACTAACAAAGGAACAAGTTAGGGTCATAATTATTAGGTCTCTTTAACAATAGGTCTGATAAATCTTACTTGACATCAGGTACTCGCTTCACCATGCTGAGGATCCCTAATTGGTTTATTAGTGGAGTGCTCCAAGTAATCATATATGCTTATCAAATGCGTACTTCCTAAAGGTGCAGCCATAGCAATAGAGCTCAGAGCAAGCATGATAAAAATAGGCTTCATGTTGGCGATTAAAGTTACGTAATGGGCGTAATTGTTAACAGATAAGTTGTTAATAAATTGGCCTTCTAGAGGACTTTTGATGGTTAACGTGGAAGTAAATTATATGAGATCAATACTAGCGATAGATTGACAGAAGTCCCTACATAGGTAAATATATATATCCAGGATGCTTGTTGAGCGGAAGACTGTGATCCCCGTCGAAACAAATAATTGGCCGCTCAGAAACGCCCTCTCCTAAACAGTCCTATTCTTGTATAACCGCACTTTGAAGGAGAAAGATGATACTTGAATGAGTAATTAACAGATTCCTTAGTCTCTTCGCCAATATTGCAAGCCTCCTAATATATCTGTAAGCTTCCGTGATAAGACAACTATAGTTTGTGATACTTATCGTCCTACGTGGAAATATGCACACTGACCAAGAAGTATCGAAGGATCGTGCCTACATCCGATTGCTGATCATGTTGAAGTGGGTTGTCAAAGTGATTAATTCTTCAAGGTGGATTTCTCTAGCTTCTCGCGTTTCTCTTCTCCTCTATCCATCCCCACGAACCATGCTACTACGGACTATGATGGACTGCTACAAAATTGACGAAGAGGTTTCTCCAGACTGCGAGAGATTGATATACGACAATGACTCGGGAAGTGCGCAAAGCCTAGTGCCGTTTGGGCTTAGAAGATATGATTCAGTACATCGTATCATTAATTATGCCCTTACTGCAACTCTGCTTTGTTCCGTCGTCGGCGTTTGGATATACGGCGCTACTGAGAAACGGTCATGCGATTTTGATATAGAGCGCTATTATTATTATTGTATGTGCTCTTTCTAACTCGTGAATATGCTTGTTCTGTATCGTTACTCACTCATACGTCCCATAGCCCCTGCTCTTAAGGACACAAACCCCGGATCTAGAGTCACTCAGTTTAATCACACTAAATGGTCGCCTTTCAGCCCGAGCAGTACCACCTCTCTTGAATACGTCGAGAGTAATTGGACGGCCATATTGCGCGGTAAGTCGAATTCTATCCTGATGGCGAATGAGTATAATACTGTCGCTGACGCGATAGGAGTGTTAGTGGGCATGATGGGCCTCAGTGAGGAAGAGCTACGCCAAGCAGGAGGCTCGCCAGACTCTATGCGTTTACCACCAGAGAGCGGTGGTGGGTATATGGCATTACTTGCCAGTCATCATTACCTTCACTGCCTATATAAACTCCATCAAAGTTTGCACCCGGATTATTACCAAATACGCAGCGTAATGTGGAATCAGAGCGCCGAGTGGCGGGTTTCACATTGGGACCACTGTATCGAGACGTTACGTCAATATGTAACGTGCAACGCAGATACTACCGTCATGACTCACAGTTGGTTCGAAGGCCATAGAAAGCCATTTCCCGTTGCCGGAAATTCGCGCCGATGTGCTGACTGGGATGCTCACTTTCGATGGCAGCTTAACCGTCAAGTCCCTGCACCTGATAAACCGTTTTCCAAACCTCCTGACGCCGTGGAACTTCCTCTATTGTCTATATTACCCCCTTCAGGATATATGTCAATGTATTCTTCGGGATAGATGGAGAGAGGGAGAAAGGGAGAGAGGATGTATATTATCATACTAAAGGACACTCCTTTAGTCTCATCCTATCTCCGAGGGTATCATACATATTAAGCCTGGGAATTATATTGAATAGCTGCCTTAGGTAGACCTCGGTATGACACTTTCAGTATAACGACGTGACAAATCATTAAGCTGAAACCCCTGAAATGATACAATATTTACACAGCCCCATAGTCTGTTCAAAGTTGGAGTTGCGGGGATTTAGTTTATCGGCTGTCGTTCTAAGTGAAAGATCATTTGTTGATCGGACGGCTATCGAGCACGTCAGGCCGGTTGTATATGTCACAATCCCCCACATAAAGCAGCGTTGCCCCCCAGTATTGCGAATTCGAGATGCGCCTCGCCAGTCACGACATCTTTATACTATCTTGCATGTAAATGCCTTATCTGATCAAAGATGTTATCCAATCCGGAATTCACCTCCACCTAAGAGATGATATCCAAGCATATGGCGTTAGAATGGTTTCGCTTACGCCATCTACTAACCGGCCGGGCTCGGCAGATCGCTATTATATATACGTCAATTGGAGATATTTATATAGAGTTTCATATAAAGTCCAGTCTTGAAAATTCAATATTTATTGAAATACGCTGTCCTCGTGTGAACTTGACGATTCATCCTCATCTACTTATCGCCCGCACATCCTAAACAATGGCACCATCAGCTACCGAAGCCGTTGCTCCAATTGCTGAGCATATCAAGCAAAAGGTCATTCCTGACACCCAGAAGGAAACACAAGAGAGTCCAAAGGTGGAGAGCTCTCTTGCGGTCGGCGAGACGAGCTTAGAGGACGAACCACCAAAGCTTGAGACGAACCACAAGGAGCCCCTGAAACTAAGCGGTGCCCTAGACCAGTTCAAGCAGTTTGATGTCACACCCGTGATTGGAAAGGAGTTCATAGATGTAGATTTGGCTGAATGGCTACGAGCCCCTAACTCGGACGAACTCATCCGTGACCTTGCTATCACAGGTATGAGAAAGAAACGGACCCCGCGAATTGATTTAGTCTAATAAATATGCTTCAGTATCTCAACGCGGTGTGGTCTTCTTCCGCAAGCAGGACAACATTACCAATGACCTACAAAAGGAGCTAGTACAGAGGCTTGGTGAATTATCCGGCAAGCCGGCTACCTCTAAGCTACACATCCATCCCGTGATCAACTCTGGTCGCGAGCACGGTGGTAATGATGACGAGATCAGCACTATCTCGTCGCAACAAGCCAAGAAGCTCTACTCTAGGAAAGATATATGGGCTGAGAAAAAGCAATCTCAGAAGAATCAATGGCACTCGGATATCACATTCGAGCCTATTCCTAGCGATTATGCGCTTCTAAGACTTACTGAGCTACCTAAGACTGGAGGTGGTGCGTACCTTTCAATCCTTTCTCTCTTATAGTATAGCAAATAGGGGCAAAAGGAACTTGAAACTGACTTATCGAACAGATACCCTCTGGGCCTCCGGTTACGAACTATACGACCGGATCTCGAAGCCGTTGCGGGGTTTCTTAGACACGTTAACAGCGTACTACGCACAACCGGCCTTCAACGAGGCCGCAGACCGCAACAACTTCAAGATCTACTCCGCGCCGCGCGGTGCGCCCGAAAACGTAGGCGAGGTCCTAGAAGCTGTGCACCCGGTAGTGCGCACGAACCCCGTGACTGGGTGGAAGAGTGTGTTCGCCGTCGGCCACCACGTCAAGCACATCCACGGATTATCCGAGGCCGAGTCGCGAAACTTCTTAGACTGGTTCGTGCAACTCATCGTCGAGAATCACGATCTCCAGGTTCGCCTCCGCTGGCAGCAGCCCAACGACCTGGCTATCTGGGATAACCGCAGCGTCTACCACGCCGCTACGCCGGATTACCTCAACCAGGGGCTTGGTGAGCGCTCGGGTTCCCGCGCGGTGAGCTTGGGCGAGAAGCCATATTTTGACCCTGAGAGTAAGAGCCGCAGGGAGGCTCTAGCTGCTGAGGCGTCTGCAGCAGCGGCGTAGTGTGTTGGCCTTATACTCATCTAGCGGGGTTATTAATATAAGTCAGTTACTATTGCTTACATGTCTTCATTATTGAATATATGTACTTGAGGCTGAACCAATTGGATTAATTACATGGTGAGGAGAAAATACGCCGAGAAGATACACAGCAGGTACGTATCCTAAATGGGTATAATAAAGGTACCTATGTTTGATATAAGATATAACACTTGATGATCTAATTTATTAGAATGTATCATATCACAGGAATGAGGCATAACATGTGTGTGTGACAAGAAAGCAGAGTTTGGCCGGACTCGCTTCCGCCATCAAGTTATCCTGTCCCCAAGTGAAAACCAGCTTGGTTAGCAACCAATCAATTCAATATATCAGATAGTATGAGCATCAACTTGTCCTCGATAGAAGAGCGATAATGATCCTTAGCAATGAGCGGAATGGGGGGTGGGATGCGGTGATTAGTTTACACCAAGAGCAGTCTGACATAAATGCCATGGTAGTAAATAATTGGTGGAATGCTGTCGAATCGTACTTTACAGCGCCTCCAGCGGTTAGAGGAAGATAAAAGCAGAAGTATCAAAGTCACGCCACTGAGGGGTCTGAAGTATCGCGCAACTACGTGGAGACAAATCTTTCCAATTCATTATTGAAGACTGCAACAAGATGGCCTCTAAGAATATCGCAATTAATCAAACTCGGAAAGCCAAGGTACAGTGGTGGGATAATCGGGATATGCACATCCTATGCCCATGGTGTAAGGAGATCCATCGCCACGGCTTTAATGGGAACTATTCCCAACACCATCGACGCGTCCCCCATTGCGATCCAGTTTTCGACGGAAAATTTCGACACTTTGACTACGATATACAATTTCCACTAGGCGTGTTGTCAGCAGATAGCTATGAGATTGACAAGGACAATCTTCGGTTTGTAGCAGGTGGAGCTCATGTGCCTGACGACGACGACGTCATCCCGGAGGATGAGGCAGATCATTTGAGGGCTGATTTCAGGAGATTGATCGAGAAGAAACGAAAGTGGACGGAGGCAACCGAGACCGAGATTATTGAGAATTTCCCAACCAAAAAGATAGGCTTGGTGGTAAGCCAGATGGTGCAGGGCAAAATCATGTATGTTCGAGAGTACCTCGAGTCCTCCTCAGAGGCCGATATCTTCCTTTGCGGTGTCGAATCATGGGAGAGGCCTCAGTACAATGCCTCTGATAATGAAAGCGAAGAAATAAGTACGGAAGATAATACAACGGAGACATTAGGAGATACAGCATTACATATGGCCGCATGCGAGTCATCGTCTGAAATGGTTCAACTTCTTCTCTCAAAGGGCGCCGACCCTAACGCTATGAACTGTGATGGTCGAACTGCTCTCATGGAGGCAGCACTGTGGGGTCGGTTGGAAAACGTTGAAATCCTGTTAGAATGCGGGGCTGACAAGTCTAAAACATGCATCGATAGCGGAAAACTTCGGTGCGCTGCTTATTTTGCAAAGCCGCTAAAGCAGAACGTAAAGGTACGAAGGAGGCGCGCCGGTGGTGATGAGAGGCGGTCCAAACCCATATATATGGAAGATACGTATGCAAGGGATAAGGATCGCGAAGACATTGTCTTCCTTCTTGAAGATGTGGTAGACGAGCTAGGTCCTCACCAGCTAGACACATGTGTCTATAAACGCTCGCCCAACGACCGCACGATGCTCTCCCTAACGACTCACTATAGTCTTCCCAACGAATGGAAGACAGTTGCGTATATGGACCGCGGTGGAGGGCTTCCAGAAATTGCTGCCATGAGCGGTTGGTCGCATGCACAAAGCAAAAACATCTGTGTTGCTGGCCGAGACTGGACAGAGGCGGTACTCGACCTATGTAAATTAGTTGGATTTTTCCCGGAATCCAATTACCGCGACCGGGGCGTACCAGGACGATTCAATGCTTGCCACGCAGAGAAACAGCTAATTGCGTACTTTGCTCACAAACATCTATTTTTAGAACTAGGCATCCGTAAGGGGTCGGGGGTTGAGTCAACATTCTCGATGCTCACTTTGGAAGAGTTGGCGGATCAGCCGTATGATGAATACAAGGTGAAGCTTGCGAACCTACGGGAAGCATCTCCGAGTAATTCCTTAAAGGAGGCCAAGATAGTTGTCAGTAGCCCTTTATGCGATGACTGTAAACGCTTTGCGGCAAAGGTGAATCGTGTACTAAGGCTGGATTTGCGGCTATACCACCGTTGCTTGGAGTCGTCATGTACTGTATGTCTGAACTAGACTTACCTGATACTATCAATTAAGCTATATGGAGTAGGATTTGATGGAGAAACTAGTACCGCATTTCAGATAGCCACCTGTATATACAGCCCGTAAATCCTTTTGGAATTCTATTTGCTAGAAGTGATGATCTATGTAAACTTTGCATAGTCCACAAACAGAAATCTTTCTGGAAACCGCTTGCCAACAATAGTGACCAGACTATCGCATATTTTTCCATTGTCATCCTCTCTGTGAGTGTATATAAAGTCTTCTTTGTGGTGCCGTGGCTTTATAGCCAAGGCATGTTTGAAGCTTTTCGTTTTCCAACAAACAACGACTGAAAGTAATCCACGCCAATAAATTATATGTAAACTGTGCGTTATTTTGTTCGACCCCAGAGAGACTCTTTGGCGTATCTTTTTACATATCATAAATCTCTTCGAGAGGACTGTAGGGCTTTTCTTAAGCATTAGAATATACTAATCTGACACAATAATGGAGATCATTAGATACGTGGGAAGGACAGATGGCTGTATAAGACACTCGTCAACATAACCTGTTTCCTTTGGGTACCTATTCAGTTCATAGATGGTCAATGTTCCAGCACCTTAATCGGTTGTTAGTCTATTATAAAACTACCTCCTAGCATACGAGCACTTAGTTGCTTAATAATTCCTGCTAGGCAGTCACGTCAATATCAAAATGAGCAGTTCCAAGGTCCATCTATATCTCCTAATTATAGAATTATAATTCATATAACTAAGCTTGATCATAGTCTTCTCTTATATAAGGATTACCAACTAGAATAGTCAGATGATTCTTATTAATTTCCCTCAAATCTCTACATCCTTGGCACTTAACAGCTTTATCCTACGTCGAAATAACATTTCTGACAAGCTAGGAAACTTTATAATAAATGTTGAAACTGTGCCCAGGGTCAGAGCCGGGGAACCGTTACATTGCATGCGAATGTATGGGTCTACGTCAAATTGTCAATATCGGTACCCGGTTAACACTACGAGGAAATCCATACATATGCCCCGACTAACTATCTTCGTCAAAACCTCTGCTTATCGCATCACGATTGCTATTTGATTATATAGAACTTCTAGTTTGCTTCTTTCGTCAGACTCAAAAGGCTTCTTTGAAATTGAGAGATATCTTATGTTAGATGACTATAAGAGCGTATTCACACTTATGAATGCACATATTTCAGGGTCCTCTTATGCCGAAATACGCTGTGGACTCCACTATGGCCTAGCCCTGTCTGATATTGCTATTCCGTAGACGTCTAGTGTCAGGATCGATCGCTGTCGGGAAATTCCATCGAAAATACATATCCTGGCTTGGCGATGATACCCTACGGTATTGAAACATGGGTAAGGTCTTGGTCCCTTGATTAGACCAGCCATAACTCGAGCCATCCTTCTCGTCGAGAAAGGTCAAGAATCCGATGATCTACAGCATGGGGCTGGGACAAATCCCGGATTGGATGAGAGCAGACCACGTCTCAAACCATATGCCGCGTATGCATATGAATGAACTCCTCCTAGTCTCGAAACATATACGAACCTCAAACTCTTCAACTGGTCGTCTGGACCTACCCTGGCAGCCCTAGAGAAGACGTGCCGGCGCGGCAGAGTCATATTCTATCTTAATATCCTTTATACCCCTGCTCATTGACTCCCGAAAGGGAATACCCTGGGAAAGGGGACTTTACAATCGGATAGTCCTAATTAGGAACCCGAGTTACCGAGTGGTAAGAAGAATGATCCATGCTCTCTCCTCTTAATTGTTGTCTATTCCCTAAAATAATATTTTTAACTTTTCTGTTCCAAGGTTCATATTGAATAATTACCTCATAGGGTTATATATAGCTCACCGCTCTAGTTGAGTGTCTGTACCGAACTGGTTTATACCTAACCGAGATGACACCGCGTCCGTCGGCAGCAGCCGAAGTCGATAAACGGGCCGCCGAAACCACTTCACCCGAACCCGTTCCGAATACAATCGGCCCGTTATCGTCCAGCCCTTCGGCTACGGATGCCGACTCATATTGGACATTATCACAGGCACGACACCCATCTAAGACTCCAGGAATCTCATTGTTGTTATGCTGGCCATGAACTTATTAACTCCCGAACTCCAGGATGACTCGTATGAAGATGATATGGATTCGTCGCTGGGCGAGGATGAGTAAGTAAACAAAGTCTTTGGCAACATTAAATATATACATTTACTCAAATTGGTGTAAAATAGCTCGAGCTCGACTGCCTCGCTATCAAGCAGCATTTTAGAGTACCGCACGATCCACGGGCGAAGGTATCACAGCAAAAGTTGGGGCGATACCGACTATTGGTATGACCGTTCCCCATTGTGTAACAACAGGATAACTTTATATTAACCAGCGTAGGACACCTAACGATGAAATACAAGCAAATTCCATGGACCTTACGTTAGTAGACTTTGTCTGGGTCATAAAATACAAAAACCTAGTACTTACGTCTGAACAGCCACCACACACTCACACTACTACTACACGATAGGATATTCCTGGCCCCCATCGGCAATGACCCTAGGAAAGTCCTAGAAGTCGGATGTGGAACAGGTAAGCCTCTTTGCCTCTCCCTTCGCAACTATCATACTAACAGACGGTTGACCCGGTACAGGAATATGGGCAATGTAAATTCTTCCCTTCCTTGCCTCTCAACCTACTCGCCATTTTCATTATACTCTTCTTTTCTCCCCCTTCCTCTTCCCCTCTCAAACCCATCCAGATTCTAACCCCACCCTTCCAGCGACTTCGCAGACGCCTTCCCACACTGCGAAGTAATCGGCACCGACATATCACCAACCCAACCATCTTGGGTCCCGGGTAACCTGCGTTTCGAAATGGACGACTTCAACCTAACACCATGGACCTTCCAGCCCGCCTCCTTCGACTTCGTACACCTGCGGTATCTCTGCGGGGCAGTCCTAGACTGGGACGCAGTATACGCCGAAGCATTCCGGGCAGTGCGTCCCGGTACCGGCTGGGTCGAAGCTCTAGAACCCGCTCTGCGCATCCGCAGCGACGACGGCACTGTCTGCGAAGGCGACGGCTCGGCACTTGCAGCTTGGGGACCTCTTTTCGAGGAAGGTGCCAGGAGGTACGAAAGCAAAACTAGGGTCCCGGGGAGTACGAACCGGGGGCCCTCGAGGCCGATGAATATCGTCGAAGACGGGACGATGGAGCGCGCGTTTCGGGGCGCGGGGTTCGTCGATATCGTTACGCATACGATTAAGTGTCCGCTTACGCCGATTTCGAATGATCCGCATCTGAGAGAGGTAGGGCTGTATGCGCATGCTACGATGGAGGAGGGCATGGAGGGTATGCGTTCCCTATTTTCTATACTCAGAATCCTTATACATGTGTATAGATATGGACACTAACAAAGAACTACCTACTCTATAGGTTTTCTACTTTATCTCTTCACGCAAGGTCTGGGCTGGACCCACGAGCAAGTCATACTCTATCTAAGCCGCATACGCAAGGAGCTGCGCGACAGGCGGAAATCGCCATATTCACTAGTTAAGGTGATATACGGCCGGAGGCCCGAGAGTAGTTAATTGATCATTTTCAACTTAAAGATAATATAGGAAAGGAATATGGGCATATGCATAATATGCCTCGGGTTATTTGGTGGTAATACAATCCCATTTGTCCAGCATCTAGCATAGCGTTTTCATAAAGTCATGTATAGAAGCGCCCAGCATGTTCAGACGCGTTATAATATAAAACGCACGGGAACGTGTTCTGTTACTTAAAATCGGAGCAATCTAGCTACGATCTGCACATTATACAGCCAAGTCCTACAGCATAATAGTTATAATCTAGTCCTTTCACTTTAATACCTCTAGTTAGTACAAGACTATGTTACTTTCCTCCCAATTTCAGCGATTTAATCCTCTAGCAAGGTCAGCCCAGTATGTAATACACTTGATATCCATCAATCCACCCTTTCCATGCCTAAATTATATGTCGTTCGCGTTCATGATGCGTACATGCTTTAACCCCATGTCATATGGAGTTGCTGTGCCGCTCTACACTAATTATATCTCGGTTTACCGTCGATCCCAAAAGGGGTCAACGCGCCTGATCACCGAACCCATGAAAAACGCGTATTCCCCAGATGCCCAAGCTCCAAAAACCCCATGATTCTTGTACCAAGAAAATTACCGAAAACGGCTTAGTGGCCAACCTATAGCAACAACGTGCCGCCTAGGGTGAACAGACCAACAATACCAGTAAGGACGAAAATACTCATATCCATTGGAGGAGCTGGTCGGCCAGCGGCGTTGCCGTTGTCGCCGGATGCAGTTGCAGTTACAGATCCAGCACCAGGTGAAGCGGTCCCAGTAGAAGTACCTTCGGCATCCTGAGAACCAGCGCCTTTGAGGCCTGGTCCCTTACCGGCTTTCTCGTTCATGTACTAGAGTATTGTTAGCCCCTTTTTTCGAGCCAATGAAAATTGAGGTGAGATGTATACCTTCTCAGCTCCCGGGGGAATTGCGGGGAGTGCACTCGCGTCCCATCCACCGAGATCCCAAACTTTATCGACCGTTGGACAAGCAACAGAAGTAGTGGTGGAAGTAAAACCACCATTGCCAGTCGGAGCTGGATACTTGGACAAAGCTGACGCTAGCTTGTTGAATTCGGGCTCTTCCTTGACTGAGTCGGACTTTCCAGAGACCTCAACAATGCCGTACCCATTGCCCTCTCTGCTATACTCGTACACGAGACCACCCGAGTAAACAGCAGACATCTGATCGCTCATCAATGCATCTAACTCCCCAAAGTCACGGGCGCCTTTTATGCAACCCCACTCCGACAGGAAGATAGGCAGACCGTATCCAGTGAAGTTCTTCACCTTCTGGTCCCAACCAGATTGCTGGAAGGAGGACGGAGCACACCAAGAATAGTCATTCTTAGACGGGCTGTTAGTTTCTGATATCTCGATTGGCATTAGAATAGACTTACAAAAGCGAAAAAGTCGCTCCGCTCGTCATCGGTACCACAATTGAAATACTGCGCAGTCTGCATTCGGTTGTCGCTGACATCGGCAGCCGAGTAACCAACAGGAATCTTGCGATAACCGTGAGAGCCGATGTACTGTCTCATATCACGAGTAGTAGCCTTGACGTAAGGGGCTGATTTTACGGAATCGGGTTTGTCGTTGATGACTTCATTTCCCGAAAAGAAAGCAAGCGTGTTGTCATATTTTGCGAACTCGTCGATGGTAGCAAAAACACTTTGGAGATAAACATCGTTATACGACTGCCCTGGCTTGTCTCGGTTTATAGAGTATTGAGGGTTGTTGACGTCGAGCACTAGGTAAATTTTTGCGTCGCTCAAAGCTTGCATACACTCAGCATGGTCGGCCGAATTGTCGACGGAGTAAACACGAACTGTGTTCACACCGAGTTCCTTGAACTTGGCGATATCCCTCTTGCACAGGTCGGTATCAGACAGAGGATCGAGATTAGCGGAAGAACCACCAGGCTGGTAGTCGATACCTCGAATATAGAATCGATCGTCGCCGGCCCAGAAAGCTGTTATCCATCATCAGTCTCCAGCCATTACCTGCAAAGCGGATGTTGGTATCATACCATTTCCAGACGCGGTTACCGTAGGCAGAGAATCAGCACGTCTAGGTAACTCTTCTTCGGTAGGAGTAGGCCCTGCGTGGACCATGCTCGCCGCTGCCAGAGCGGATGCGAAGGCGAACGAGCGCATTATGGTATCGTTATTATTCCAACTGGTCAATTGCTTTTGGTTTAGTCTTAATAAAGTGTTCCGTCAAAAAAGAGGAAAACACGTGATATGTTATAATCCCAAGCGAGTGAGGGAAGTTTGAATACCAGCAGCAGATCCAAGATCAGGGGCACGAACTATCAAAACGATTGAATTGGAAGACGAGATGCCAACAGTAACGAATGAGTTGCCAGAAAGAAAGGGGATGGGAGTCAAGAAGTTAAACAACGAGTGAAGGGTGAAAAACTGTAGACGTGGAATGAGAAAAGGAGAGTGGAAAGAGGTAAGAAGTCGTTTCCTTGGCTTGGAGATATTTACGCCGCCCAGAAGTCAAGAACAAGGAAAGGGGGAGTGTGGTAAAAGCAGGTGTGAGCCAACTTGGCTACATAACAGGGAAGGAGGGGGTGTCTGCAACATCTTGAATCTTGCAGTTAGGTAATGGTGGCATAGTTTATGTACGAAGTAGTTACCGTCGAATACGAAGTTAAAAGCATACTAAGCACGCGTATGCATATGTATAGTATATGTATCCCTCAGGTCTTAAACCGAGACATTACGAGAGAGGGCTATGCATTTTGTGGCGTGCATCGTGTAAATTACATACCTACCTAGGTACCTTTGTACAACAGAAATCCGAGAACCGTTCAATATATTATAAATATACATACCTGGCTTATAAAAAGAGGTATTCGAATTATTTCTGATAATATTAGCACAGAGAAAACATACAACAGTAAGCGTCTTCATCTATCTCCATGCGCATACCCGCGGACGCCTCTGTTGCACGTATTGAAAAAAACGAGGAAGCATCAAGATAGTGGGTTAATCTTGGCTTGATTGGCCGACGTCACTGCCAAACCCGCCAATGCTGCATTTTCTCCGGGAAAGGATCCACCCTGTTTTACAGGTCCACTTTCTTAAATGGACGCCCGAAGAAAAAAGAATGGCGATGCGAAGAGCGCGTAGGTATGTACATGTACGAGGTAATGGTGTGTCCGTAGCATTATTGTTTTTGTCATTTTTCAATGTTGAAAGCTTGTCACACCACCCGGCAGGTCCGTGATCCACGTGGGATTCGTATCCGAAATTGGTTAAGTAGCTCGTGATAGTTATATGTACTGCCTTGAGTGAGGACCGTAATTTCTACGTATCAAATTGGAGTTCGTAAATAAATACATAACATATCAAAAGACGTTGCAGCATCAAACAGTTTATTTCCTCGGAAAATGAATCCAATGCCATATTAGACCAACTTGCATTGTAAAATGTCCCAGCTTGGCATTAGTGTTCGATTTTAGCTCTCGGGTTACTGCATCGGGGTGGGTTCATGCCGTCATCTTGGTCAGCCACTACCGGCAAGCCAAGTTTAAGCTCAAATACTTGGCCCAGATGAAACAAGGCCAGTATCAAGCGAATACATGTTTTAGATGACGATCTTTGAATAGTTAGGATACCTATTATATCAGGTACGGGCTCTATACCTATGGGTAAGTAAATTGGATAAGCACTTTCACTTTTTTTTTTTAAAATCCTTCTCTCAAATATATTAGGAAGGTAATCATGTACAGCCTACTCGCCTCGTTGGGAGATATGTAGATCTGTACCCTGAGTTCAATTATTGATAACAGTCATATAACTCTCCTATCTGTGTACAGTGCAAAGTCAGAACTAAATATGCCCCCAAATTGATAGGGGTCATATATGTACATTTCACGTGTTTCCAATAATAGATCCCCTTATCTTTTACACAATGCAAGAAATTGTTTTATCAAACAAAGAAGATATGTATGTTCACCCCTACATAATTAGAGCATACAGGTCTATATACATATACACTGTGACTACCAGTCTTCTCCGAACCATATATAAAACAAGATCCGGGTTATCCCAACACACATATTACCAAGCATTCTTTTTTTATTCCTCTACCGGTCTCCAGCCGGACATCCATAGCGCCTGTTGATGTTGTCTAATTTTGTTTCTGCTGCGGTGATCCACAGGCTGTGATCATAATCCTCATTCGTTCTTCCAGGTCGTCGAAGTACTGCTGTGGAGGGTCGTAAGGACAGCTCAGAATTAGCCCCTGAAAGGTGACACAGGCCGTAGCGGCGTATTTCATTATGGTAGCGATAGCGGAGATATAGGCAAATTGTGCAGGTAGGTGGCAAGCTGCTGATCGTGACGTTCCTTTTCCGGTTTCGATATGATCCACCCAAACGTCCAGATCATCGTACATGTCGTCGACGACGTTAAGAGTGCTACTGGCATCGTTGAAGAGCTTGCTCCAACGGCGTTGCTCTTTGTCCGAGGTGTTGAACGGCGTCGAATGGAAGCCTGTCGCGAGGTACTGGATTTCCTTGGCTATGGCGTCGAGATCAGTATAGAGCGACCTCATATCAACTCTAATACGCATAGCAGTTAAGCGGTCTGCAAGATTGACAGAGGGAGGCGGCGGGCCTCTTGGGTCGTGGGCTCTATGTTGGTTTGAGCCGGGAACTGGTTGTGGCTCCGGCGTCGTACCGGGCCTCTCGAAGGGGGACGGCATGTCGTGTGGGGTTGAAGAGTGTGTATAGGTCTTAGATCGTCGTCTAGCCCCATGCGCTCTTGAACCACGGGTCTCATCAGGACCGTTAGGCTTATCATGCCCCCATTCCTCGAAGTAAGGCTTCCCGCGATGATTAGGCTTCGCTTCGTAGCTACCTGTGTGTCTGTTAGAAGAACTATCTTTAGGATATCTGCTCTGTTCGTACTTACCGCTGCGCTCCTTCCGACTACGACGCTTTGAACCTGTATCACTGTCATGACCAAGATCCTCGGCGCTTTCACGATGAATATCGTACTCACGTCTTAGAACCTCGTCACGGAGAATCTCCCACGCCTCCGAAACCTGCTGAAATCGCGCGTTGTTCTCCGGTGTGTTTCCACCTTCTGCCTTATCTGGGTGGACCTTTCTTGCGAGTTCTCGGTAGGCTTTCTTGATGTCCTCTAAACTAGCGTTAGTCTCAACGCCGAGGACCTTATATAGGTCATGGTTAGGGAAGCTAATTTGAGCCATGTTGAAAATCGTCGGTGTAGATGATGGAAATGTCGGTTTGTCTTCTGCGTAATATCGTAATACTATTGTGTGAATGTTGCTTGAATGTTTAGTTTTTGGAATGACTTAGAAGAATTCGTACACATATTCACCAGTCGTGCTGGTTTATTATGTAGTATCTCCAGCCAGCTGAGCAATTTGCATATACGTGAATAAGATAGTCGTCATTCTTCGTGATATTGTTTTGGCATAAACCTCAAGTCTGCCGACAAAGAACAAAACAAGGCTCATGTTTATTATATCCTACTCTTCTCCCCCTGGCCATTTTCGCAAGGCTATACACGTGGGGCTTTACTGTTAATACACGACTTCTTACGTGGTGTCTAATCGCAATTTGGTATTCCCAAATATCCGCTATGGCGCCAAGAGTTAAACGTCACCCACGAGGATATGCCAATTACCCCATACATACATACCGGTATTTGCTCATGTGCCAATAAGAGGAATTGGCTAGGTGGTAGACCCATAGACATTGTAACCCATTGGATCGAATTCTGATCGTAGCTCATGGGTATCTGAATATCCTGCATAGTGCCTTTTGCGGCTGAAGGTTGATAAAGGGATCAAATATTAGTTCTATTAATAATAAAAACCCATATTGGGCATGTCTAGGTTGGGAACAACACACATGCCGAATCTGTAACACTTCGAAGGTCTGGCCGCAAAATCAAAGGTGTTTATTGCGAGGGCAGCGGGGGTTCAACCATTTAGAGAAACACTATGGATTGTGAGGTGTGGGCTAGAATTGAAACAGGAAGGCTTACTTTGTTACTATTGGATATCCAGTTAGTTTCGATTACCTATGGCTCCTCTTAACAGGGCAGACTGATCTAGCGAGTTGGACAATTGGACGACGTGAATTTATTTCTTATTATCGTGGCACGCTAGGGCCCCGGAAGAAGGCATCTTTAAAGCCAAAGATACTGAAAGATTCTCGGAGCTGCTGTTAGGCTCTTATTTTGCTATCTCGGATGAGAATCATCAAGGCCTAACGGTAGCACGGGACGTATCCGGAGTTAGGGACGGGCTGCCGAGATGATAATTTTGATTGCTTTTAGCATCATGGTGTCACATGCCGACGATCCCCTGTATCCACATCAATGCTCTTATATACACAAATAGGGTACCATCCGGTCTATATCCGCAAAAAGTGTCCCTCCGAAAATCTAGGTAGACTAGAAATCTGATTGTTCAAAGCGTCGCCGCTGCTTCAACTGCACCTGAAGCTTTAAATGCCGTTTTATTCGTCCATGTGATTTCAACATTATGCATCCATTCCATATATCGTGCCCAACCTATTTAGACAAGTGTCAGCCCAGGACTATCTACTAATAGTGATTTGAAATCATACTCCAGTAGGCAAACTTGCGGCCAAGATATTTCCCAGCAAACGGTACCAAAACCATAGTTAAGAGTAGTTGTAACTGTTCTAAGCTCTGCTCCCATTCCCTTTGCGCATCGAAATCGTCATCATCGGTTGTGAAGCTTTCGGTAGAGGTGGAAGGGAGGGAATCGACATCGTCATTATCGGAGCCCGGCGTATCGGGCATGGCGAAGGAACCAGAAAGCGACATAATTCGAAGGTGAAGTGAAAGATCGAAGGTTATCTATGCGTCGTTAAAGCTCGCGAGAAAGCGGCGGGACTAGTCGCTATTGCTAACAAATCCGATGCATTGGGTTTCACCAGCTTGGGGGGGCGGCTAGCTTATCCCCAATACACAATCAAAGTTGAATAGCGAATGCAATGAAATAAGCAGAATACCTAAAGGTGCAAGTTGCTGTATTAAGTGACGCCCCTTCTGTTTGTGGTAGTTGATAAGTTGGAGGTAAGCTACTAAGCTTCTATCTGGTGTTAGCTCCGAAATACGTACCTTCTTTAAGGCCAATCAAATACGTAGAACACTTGCCGACCAAAGTCAACTTGTTATTGGAGAGCTTACTTCCATTTAGTGGGGGAATGATGAGATGCTGTAACGTGGGGTGGTAAGACAATTAAACTGCTGAGTCATAAGCCTGCCTAAGTCTTCTTCTACCTATCAACCCTGGGGACTCCTTATTGGGGTTGGATGAGATTCAGAAGTAGGTACCTAAGGTAGGTACTCCAATGAGGCGGTAGAGAAAGTTGAAGGCAACAAATTGATATGCATTTCTCTCCATCGTAGGGCTCAAACGTCATAGGATCTTCCTGCGCTCCTAATTTTTTTTCTTTTTCGATCTATCCAACTTCAACAACCTCAACTTCTGTCATTTCCAAAAAATCATCCGGGTTGAGCTAAAATTAAGAGGAAGCTTCCTATCACCAATTCGAGTGTCAACCCACCATCACTATATTGATCGCCACAGATATCGTCCTACAACATCAATATTATTTCTTGGGCGTCGACAATTACTGTGACACAACCTAAATTCTTTTTTAACAAAAGGCTAAAACCAAAGCAAGGTCAAATATAGAAAGACAGCAAGGATGGATGCAACAGATGCAGCAGATACTGTAAGTTTAACTTGACATATCTCATTATTTTCACAACTTCTCCATTTAGATCGCAGGTGCTGGATACAATTTGCCTGATCATTTTTGACTTCACTTATCGATCGGGACCGGTGTTTGCAGCCGCACTGTCACCACCTGCACCCCCTTCTTGGGTCTCCCTTCTATCCTCTACATATCCTATGGTACTTCCTGCATGTACTCGGTTTAGGTACCCTCCCCCCACTAAGCAGCAACAAGGGGATCCGATAAGACCAATACTTTTGCCCCTCCAATTCCATAGGATATAATTGTGGGCCCCACTACTTTATACATTGGAGCCACATTGAAAATTCCGAGACACAAGCCACCGCTCAGAGTCATACTTTCCAGTCATACCTTCCCACATCCAACGTTCAACTCCTGGACCATCGGATTTCATTTCGACACCAACCAACTTTAAATATCCTCCGACCGGCGGATTCCTATTTACTTCATTTCTTTACCTCGATAGGACCGGTTAAGACATTCTTTATTGACATAACTGTAACTAGCAGGAACAACGTCCCTCAATCCCCGACCGTAAACAGCGAAAATCCGTCGTTTTTAATTCCGAAGCTCTCGTAGTTGAGCCTGACGGCAAGATAGTCACCATGGCTTCCGAAGATACAAAGGACACTGCCCTATCCCATACACCTCGTACGCCGCCGCTCTCAGCCGCTCTTGAGGCTTTTACTGATGCGCGAGAAGCTGCCGTCGAAGACGCTGCCCCTCCCACCGAAGAAGGCGGTCTTGATCTTCTCAAGAAGAAAAAGAAGAAGCCTAAGAAGACCGAGGATGCCGAGGGAGAAGAGGCAAGCGGTGCCGCCGACGGAGCTGCCGATACCGGTGGTTTAGACTTAGCCCTGAAGAAGAAGAAGAAGAAGAAGGCAACCAAAGCCGACGAAGGCGACGAATTCGCTGCCAAGCTCGCGGCGCTCGACCTCGATAAGGAGGGCGGTGCGGAGGGTGCTGCCGACACGAAAGGCGAAGAGCAAAGCGGAGATATGGAGAAAGGAACTGGTATCTGGAGTCACGATGAGACTAAGGCGATCAGCTACGATTTGCTCCTCAGCCGCTTCTTTAGTCTATTGGCTCAGAAGAACCCGGATCACGCCTCCAGCGGCACACGAAGCTACAAGATCCCACCTCCTCAGTGTTTACGTGAAGGTAACAAGAAGACTATCTTCGCCAACATCCAGGAAATTACCAAGAGAATGAAGCGAAGCGAGGAACACGTCACCGCCTACCTCTTCGCCGAGTTAGGTACAAACGGTTCCGTCGACGGTAGCAGACGATTAGTTATCAAGGGTCGATTCCAACAGAAGCAAATCGAGAACGTCCTGCGAAAATACATCAGTAAGTCACCTCCCCTTGTTCTTTCGTCGTATTTGTTTTTGTCTACGGTATTTCTAACTAGGTTATAGTTGAGTATGTTACCTGTAAGACGTGTCGATCTCCCGACACAGAACTCAACAAGGGAGAGAACCGTCTCTACTTCATCACGTGCAACTCGTGTGGATCCCGTCGGTCCGTCACCGCTATCAAGACCGGTTTCTCGGCCCAGGTCGGCAAGAGAAGGAAGATGCAGGGTTAAGCTGTCCCTCGTTCCATTAGAATGGTCTCTATTGCTCTGTTAAGAGCATGTTTTCGTATGGACTGCTTTTTCAACCGTGCCATAGCGTATTGTACGGTACCCTTATTAGTTTAGTTTAGGGGCTAGACAGGAAAATGGAAAAAAGCATTCACGTATATATAATTAATACTCTTTTGTCTTATTTCGTGATCTGTGGGTGAGGTGCCTATTTTGATTAGGCACTTACGTTATATGCCCAGTGTAATATTAGTGGTTTGATTCGCTCGCTATTCCATAATTTGAAAGTGTTGAAAATACATTTCTAGACTTTTATAAGAATATATACAGCACTAAGTGAAAGGTACCTAGACATTTCAGGAACAACGTAATCATACATAGGGACTAAGGGGGCGGAGAAGAGGGGATTGTTCATCGGTCATCTTATCCGAGCTAGCCCTCTCCGAACCAGTCTCGAGATCTTGTCCCGCCTGCGTTCGTCTCCTCTCGCCTCCTCCTGCCCAGGTTCTTCTAGGAGTCTCTCGTTCCATTTGTGCTCATCTGAGTTTGTCTCATTCTGTTTGAACTCTTCTGAGCTCGTCTCGTCCCTTCTCATCTTACGCCATCCAGTCTCATCCCTCCAAATGTATCCATCGTCCTCCCGCATATTACCATAATCCACTCTCCCTTTCCAATCTGGAAAAAAATAATTTTGGTTTAGCTGAGGCTGGATTATAATATCTACTATGTCGATGGGCTGCTCGGGATCATCCCCAATATATATCCGTTCCGTGGCGATGCGCACACTGGGCCCATACCTACTTCCTATAATTGCATACTGGTCAGGAAATCCCATTGTTCTCCCGCCCTCTATGCTATGCCAATTATCCCATAAAAATTCCAAGGTCCTATTGGCGTATCCGTACTGAGTTTCCGTAAATGCCAGCTTTGCCTCTTCCGCATCTCCTTGATCTTCTTCGTCCTTTCGGTTTTCTGCCATAGCAGTGGCATCTATGTGCAGCACGATAAAGTGTAACTTATCCGTACCGTTATGGCGCTCCCCCACACGACTTATACATATCGCCAAACCTATGGTGATATCATACTGAAATAGAAAAGCCACGATACGACCCTGTGTCGGACGTATTTCCTTTAAGATAGAATTGCATTGCTGTTTCTCGATGGTCTCAGCGGTACGAAAAGTCTTAAAGTTCATGGAAGATACAAGTCTCCTCATGATTATATCTCCAGTATGCGGCTGATAACAAGGCTGACGTTCGACGATCAGTTTGCTGCAGTGAATATTCAGCATTGAGCACGGGAACTTTTTAAGTGTAGTAGATTCGTTGATAACAATCTGTTGCGTGCGTCCATAGCTACCCGAACAGGTAATGAGAGGAATGCTAACTAACATAAATTCGTTCTCATCGTAATACCCACATGTTAGTATCGCGGATTTCATTTCTCGCTGCCGCCCCAAAGGTAGTCCATCACTAAAGGAGCAATAACTATGGGTTTCATTCGGCTCAGTAAACTCGGTAAATTCAAACACGGGTAGTTCTAAATGAATTGAGGAACCAACAACGGTTGGCACCATTCGTGGACTATATAACAACTTGAGTAAGCAATTAACTCTTTTAAGTTGAAGAGAGTTAGGCACCATCAAGAAGATTTCACAAGTGAGACGGGAGAAAGAAAAAAAGGTAATGAAGCGGACTTGGAATTTACATACGATTTCCAGTGACGAAAATATAATTGATAATCCCAATGGCATACAAACCTTCCTGAACTCTTGAAGTCGACTGGGCTCTTAGCTAGAAGCCCAAGGAGTGACCCATCATCTTCCGGGTTGTACTCAATAGGTTCGTAACCTAGTATTTGGGGGGTTGTTAATGTGCACCTAGAAAACCGTTGAACAACCGTTCCCCAAGCGAATAGTGTGTGGTCCTCCGGATACGCCTTTACCAACGCCTCCTGCAATCTGAGGAATGCACGGTCACCCTCACCGTATAGAAGGGGCATGTTCACGTCGAATATACCAAGGAGACAGTATGCCATGTCTTCGTCACGCGTCGTTTTCCTGTTTGCCGCCCATGACATACGCTGTGCTATACTGGCGTTTTGTGTGTTCGCGCTATCCAGATATGTCTCCTCGATACCAGTAATACTGGATATGAGAGCCGAGAGCTGTAACTTTGTCCCAATTTGGCACCAGTCCTCAGAGTAGAATATCACGTTTTCGGATGCTATTAGCTCCTGTAACGTCCATCCGCGCTCATACCAGCGACTCTCAGCTATCTGACTCTCGATCGTTGATAGAGGGCTGTGTTTCACGTCGGCTAGGTAGGCATAGCAGACAGATGCTTCCTTATACCATCTGAACATCGAGTTGATAGATTCGGAGAGCTCAGCACTGCTAGTTTTATCAATGCAGCAACTACAACTTGGTAAATATATACTCCTAAGCGTAGTGTTTCCAATGGCTTTTTAGACCAGACTCACGTGTCGACCCAAACCCAATCAAGACCGTCTTCGACTGCCTGTTGACAGCAATATTCTATTTTTCGGAAACCCTTCATCTTTTTAACTTTCTCGCGCTCTCCTTGCCAATCCTGAAACGACACTTCTTCCTCGCCCCAGGTATGTGATAGTATGGCATAAGGAGGGATATCGGCACGTGAAGGGAAGAATTTCATTTCCCCGCTCGAGGAACTGAGAAGACGCATGGTTTATAACGAAGCTTTAACTTGACAAATCTAGTAGATATGTATATAAACTTATATGACTCTTAAATGGACAGCGATATAACTATCGGTATTGTATTTTGATTTTTTTCTTCTCAGGTACGAGAGAGGGTAGCGAGGTTGATTTTAAGCCATCGAGTAGAGGCTGTGGAGTTATGTTGGATCCATACCTGGCGGTCAATAACATAGCCACCACCAACAGCAGAGGCTGAGTTCGGTGATAACGTCGGGCTGGAAGATATAAACAAAATATAAGGCTAAAAGAAGAGGTTATCCTTAAAAAAAATTAATCTAACTAACATATAAAGTCAATGTCAGTTACAAAATATGATTTATTATGTATGATTGAAAAACTAACATTTTCATAATGAAGCATTGAAAATAAAAGAAACCCAAGTCAACGTACCTAAGTACATTATTGCAAACATTAAAATAGCCAAATACCTAAGTACCTAAGTGTTACACCTGCATATCTAAACCAAATCCTAAACCACGACATCAGTCTGGTTAGGTGATGGATGATTTAAAAAACAGTAGAGTTAATATCGTAATTAGCTTTATCCGCCAACATACCCAGGGATTAGTTTATCCTACTCGGTTTCTATTCTAGAGCATATTACAGCCATAAATTAGAGGATATATTATGGTTCATTGAGATATAGGATTATTATTATTACTTTAAAGAGTTTAAGCTAACTGGGATAGTTAACTTATATAAGGTCTATGGCTTGAGATATTACGATTACGGGCTTGTATCTATTTGAATAACGCATAGTTAAAACATATATCACTTATAATAGGGGTTCTAGTTATGTATTGTCCAATATGGTAGAAGAACGATACATATTAGGTTCATAGACATGTAAGTAAAGGTAGAAACTAGACGACTCACTCCTAAACTCACTTAGCAGGTAGCAGATGCTGTCTATGGGCTGCACACGACCTATTAAATTAATTACCTTCAGTTATGTACCTCCAGTTACGTACCTAAAGGCGAATAGGAAAGAGCCATACCTTGATAATGGTTGTAGATACATGTATCTGAATTTGCAGCTTGGACCATGGCAACTACCTCAGCAACTGCTTATCATATAATTTACCTAAGGCAGGAACCGCATGTGTCATGAGAAGGAAGGTACCAAACAACTTTAAGGTGGTGACCTCTCCTGCCAGAGTCATTACAGTGAGGTTCCACTTTCGCAGCTCCTTATTGGGTGGATTCGTAGACTACAGCTCAAGTTCATCACATTTGTCGTCTTCCAATCCGTTTACAGCCGTCAAGGTCTCTGACGCACAGCGTTCTTTGGTGACAATCAACGACTTTTTTTTTGGAGTTGTTTCCTCTTTTTGGACTTTATTGATTGATTAGCCCGGACCACTAATCACATGGTAGCTAGTTTTCGAGCGAGAAGTCCATCTACAGTGCTCGAGGTTTTTCTTCCACTTACTTCCTTATATTTCCTACCTCTCGTCCTTGACTCACGAGGTTTCAAACTTTGCCTCGCATCTGAAAAACAGCAAACTTCGGTTGCTACCGAGCGGTGCCGTCTCCGAGCCTTTAAACTTCTATAAATTGCGACCTCTACCCTTCCCTTCCTCGAGTATTTGTCAATCAAGTGAGCAAAGTATTCAACAGCTAGGCTTTATATCAACTCTCAAGTCATCCTCATAAAAACACGAAGTACTCTTTACTGGCCACAAACTTCTCTACTGGTACGTTACCGCCTACAAGTTCTACACATTTGCACCCGATTCTTCGCATCCATTTTCTAGATCTGACAACCTTCCACCCCTCCAACAAGTTTTCTACCCGTTCTCGAATTTCCATGTTCCCTTTTATTCATAAGCTGGTTACCTACACTTTACCCTACCTTAATCTTTCCCCTTCATCATCCCAAACATCTGACAATATTCCAACTATACGTCCTCAACTAAACAAAAGCCTGCGCATTGCTTCTACTTAATAATACCTCCCTTTCCTTTTACAACTAGCATTCACTGTTCAATTCTCTAACTTAACCTTAAGCGCGTTCTCCTCAGTCTACTGCCCAATCTCTCAGAATACCCAAGTCACTTTGCCGCCAGCTGGAACAACCAATAGGGTATATGCACTTGACTGGTCCGTAACATCACTCTTCCATAACTCGAAGGTTAAACGCGCTAATAATTTAGCAACAGAAGCAGACATCGTACGGCTCTACATACTCCCCGCCACCATTACTTTTATTATAAAAACGACGCGGCTTGATGTAAGTCTGCTAGTTCCTACCTAATCTCAGATTAGGTGAAGTAATATGCCATAATTTGCTAACTATGAAATTTTGTCTTTCAGTTTAGTCAACATGCGAGCTGCACAGATTCTTAAGGCCAAGAGTAAGGCCAAGGAACGGGCCAGCGCCCTTAAGCTCAGTGTCAGAACTGATCTTCATATTGAGGATCCTGCGTCGAAAATCCCGACCGGAATGAGCTTCACCCAGGTAGCCTCCGCTCCACCTCGGAAAGTCCAGTTTGACACAACGAACGAAGTGCCGTCCGTGCCGAAAGCGAGCGAAGCCATGATGAACTCTGATTGGCGAAACAATCGCCGCAACGGAAGCGGTGCTCATCTCACAGTCCCAGCTACCGCATCCGTGGAAACGACCGAGTTCCAAAAGGCCGGTGGCAAGAAAGTCAAGAAGCTCACTATTGATACGGCTCTTGCTAATCAGATGACTGTTCGCCGGTACCGAGATACACCTATTGACCCGGATTTCATCCATTCTGCCCCCATAACCAAGAAAGATTACGTGACGGCAGACAACGACATTAGGCCTGATAGCTCCGAGGATGTCCAATATTCTAGCAACGATACAACTCTCCCTTTTGTTTCACCTACTACCAACATATCCACGATTCGACTTGAATCCCTGACGCCCATCACTAGCGAGGGCTTCCGGCAATTTAACATCATGTGTAACGATGACCTAGATGAAGAGTCAAAATTCGGAAACAGTGATGATGCCTACTGCGACAAGTATGGTCAAGTTGACATGGCAGTAAGAGCAGTCCCTGTCGTTTCCTCGCACAATAAGAAAATAGGAGACCCTGCCTTCCCAATTGCCACAGTACAAGTCATCAAGAACTCCAAGAGATTTTCCCTTGCTGGATGGGACGGCGTCGACCAGGAGCTCGAGAAGAATTTGGCTATGCTTCAAGGCCCACGTACAGCTGGCCTTCCAGTCGAGAAGCTTAGAGAAGAGTACGAGTCCAGCTACTCCTCCGAGGCCGAGGTAGCAAAGAACCAAGCACGTTTCGATGCTCTCATCAGCAAACTTCAAAAGTCATCCGCCAATCGTATCAACGCGCAGTCGGTCATTGATACTAAGCCCTCAAATTCTCCCAAGAGGCTAGAAGAGAACATACCTTTGAGCAAATCAGTCTCTCACGACTCTGGGGTCAGCGGTATCAGTACAAAAACATCGCAGAGCCAGGGTACTACATTGAACCCAAAAGCTTCCGAGTTCCAAATTTCGCCTAGCCTCGGTATTAATTACCAGCCAGATCTTCGCAGCTATCCACTGGACCATAGCCACAATGTACCTTTCGAACAGAATGGCTATAAAGTCACATCTTCAACGGATAGCGGCTCAAATGGAACTCGCTCTGCGACTGCTGATGATCTAGAAAAGATTTATGCATTCATGGACGATTTGAAGGCACAACTGACACGGATTGAGGCAGGGTCTCAGCAGCGCCCAACAATGCTGGAGACAAGTCTTATGGCTCAACTAAGTCATATCCAGAACATGACCAGCCAACTTGTCTTGAGTCCTGTCCTTCAAGGGCCATCTCGAGATACTCAAGGCATTCAAGGCATTCACAGCTTGGGATCCGGGCCTGGCCCATGGTCAGGAGTTCAGACAATACCAAATGCTCAATCTCACCACAATGGCAATGGTGCATTCATACCCCCTTCGCATGTTCATGACACACAGGCGCCTACATTCCAGATGGGACCGCCTCCAATGCCGTACGGCCCAGGGCTCAGTGCACCACCAAATATAGGATGCCAGGGCTTTACGGGTCCCGCAAATCCTAGCCCTCTACCCCTTCACGCTCAGGCTCAGATCGCGTATGGTCCGAGACCTGTGAGAAAGCCTAGAGGACCCCAACGCCCCGGCGATCCAGTATTCACTCAGCAGCAGCTAAATTATGAAGAATACTTGGAGAATAAACGGGCATCAGACCGTGCCTATGCTATGCAATGCCGCGATCGCCAGGCGAGACGTTTCCACCGACAGAGAAGCCAGCCCTCGGCCAGTTCCCAGATGACAGCGCCCCTCCAGGGAGCGATAGCCCCTTAGGTGATGCCAATCCCTGAAGCAACTACGGCTGGTGTGACTGAGGGATTTTGATCCTTTACCCAATATCTTCTATTAAGTGTTCACCCCGAAAAGGGGGGAGTGAAGATATATGAAGTTGTCTTCAGGTGGATTTTTTCTACGACAAGAACAACCCGTTTCTTATCATACCGCGAAAATATCTTCATTCATGGTTTCAACCCTTTTCTTTAACGTTATCATATCCTTAGATGAGCCTGCGATTAGGGGAAGATGATCCCTACCTCTCTAGTTTATCTAGTCTGGCAGCCTCGCGTCCGGTTTCACACGTTATACCCAGTCTTTTCTTTTCTGGACTTTTATGATTACATTTTCACTAGCAACGTTCAACTATCGCCTAAGGAAGATACCCCGGTAACACTGCTTGCACCACATCGGATGCATGGTGCTCACGCCCCTATTCTACGTCCGCATTTTGTCTAAGGGAGGAAGAGTGGCCGGGCTGGGGATATTGAATAGGATCTTCCTCTCCAGTATGCGGTACTTTACTTGGCATATCGAGGCAAAATTGGCCTTATTTTAGTGAAGTCTTAAAGGAGTGGATATTTTTTTACTCCAAAGTAGGTTACCGGTGATCCTATCATTACACTCTCGGTTAGCTAATATGTTTTAGTCGGATTATAACTTTTTACATGCCCTGATTTCTAACTGGTAGGAAATACTGGCATTGCGTGTATAAAGAAGGTTCCATTCGATACGGTTTTCTCGGCTCTCAGTTGATCTCCAATTTCAAGCCATTAGCGATAGGCTTGTCAGACAGCGATATAGATACGTAAAACAGACGAACGAGAACTAAACAACAGGCTGGTACCATATGGAATCAATAGAGGGCAGAGATATCATCATCTGGCCCCAATTCAGCGCATCTAGTTCAAGAACATTCTCAAGTTAGGTTCTCTTGTTTATACCTGGTCACTCTCAAGGCAAGCGACATACACATTGACGATCCTGAATTAGGTGTCGTTCATGGCCAACCAACTTGCAACTTTGGCCATAGCATCCCGGGGGACGGCAAAGGGGTAGGAGTTGAGTGTGATTTTGACGAGGCACAGAAATGGTGACTTGGATGTTCCATCAAGCCGGTCTTGAGTTACAGCTGACATTAGGATTCGGAAGCGTTATGTGGTTGATTGCCAGGATAAATCATGATACCCTCTAAGGAAATACTTAGGTAGTGGTTTGCTTTTTGCTGTCTAATTAAGTTGGCAAATGATTTTTTATTATTACAAAACGATTGGCATGCCATTTGTAGAATTGTGACATTTATCTGTGCTACGATATGATTCGTATAAGTTGTGAATAATGTTGCAAACAGTGATCTAGGTAGTCTATGCGGCTGAACTGTCGATCTTCAAGTTCGTAGAAGTCTGACGAATCGGATGTTTAGAGACTTTACCGAGTATTTCCAAAGTATTAAATCATGTATGGAATTGGTGGCTTACATAAGGTAGAGCATATGTGGGTCTAAAGACTAGCGCGTCTGTTAGCCCTTGCGCGTCAAGCTTACAGCACCCCCACCCACTATGTACAAATGGGAACCACAATGGAGACTTTCGTAAGCTTCCATTAACTATGCAAGCTTAGAGAATTAACCTTCATCTTTAACACATTTAACATATTTAACACATGGAGCGGTGGTAAATCTTAACCTACCTCTTTCCTAGTTATCTTCCTCGGGGTTATTCGAGAATGCGCTTCGTCCGTCTCGTACTCGATTTTATTTGATTTTCTTGGTCGCTAGTGCATTTCTATGATTCTCTTCTCATTTACTTCGATTGTATTAGTTTGATATAATCTCTTCTTTTTCCTCATCTTTACGAACTCATTAATCAGTCGCCCCAAATACTGTTGCGGTTACCGTCCTTCTCCCATTGCTACCGTCGCTACCGTCATAATGTCGACTCCGATGCGCCACGGCCCTTCCCAGCAGGGTCGTACGCCCTCCCAACACCCTGTCGCAGCTCCTACGCCTCAAGCATCAACGCCCTTCTCGAACTCCCAAAACGCCGCAGTTTTTTCTCCTCACGGGCCTAAGTCGTCACCGCAGCAGTTTAAGAAATCTCCGGCGACTGGGACCTCGGGTACTATGATCGGTACTGCTAGTTCAACAGCAAACTTCGATAGTCCATCCGCTGCTGCTGCTTATAACACTTTAGGAATGGCCATAAACGATCTCAACTTAGATAATATCAGCGTTGGAGGATTAGTTGCTGCCGCGGGACGGACAGATGAAGAGGATCGAAAAAAGAGAATGGAGGCTGTCATTGCGGCCCTTTGGGTAGGTGATAGTTGATATTATTAGGATCTGGAATTGGGGGCTAACCATGATATAGGCTCAGAACAGCAGCAGAGTGAGCAATCAGGGACTAGAGAGGTTGGCTATTCACCTTAATCTCGAGTGTTTATGGGAGGATATGAAAGGTGCCGGCGAGAATGCCAAGACTCTGATCATAGCAGGACAGACAGTGGCTGTCGAAGTCGGTATTACTAATCACATCGTACATCAGGCCGCTTTGGCGTATACAGATTCTATACCAAGCGTTGACAAGCACGTTGACAAGGCATCGGCTATCCTTCTAAAAGATCTCTCGCTCGCTCCCGGTCAGAGTCCCTTGACCAAGAGACTTACACAATTCAGAGCAAATCTTGAACGTCTAGCTAACTTAGATAAGTTAAGTGTCTCTCCAGGTCTTAACTGCCACGAGGCTATAGCAGGCATCTGGGAGAGCTTAGAGAGACTTCACCGATGGGATGTACAGAAGCTTCGTGAGAATCCATCACTGAGTGATATATCCGATGAAAACCTAAGAGTCTATGCTCTTTGCCTTCGCCATGGATGTCCCCTCATGCATACTCGGGGTCGGATCGGTTTAAGCCTCGACTACTGGAAAGAGAGGAGAAAGCTCAAGTCTACAACAGTAGATAGCGAAGACGCCCAAACGTGGGGGATTTTGATCGAGTGTGCAGCTTCCAATAGTATGGTCTATAACAGCCCGATACGGGTGTCTGACAAATGGATTGGAGATAGAATTGAGAAATCCAACCTCACGGATGAGGAAATGATTTCAGCTACTGGACCAGTTTTGGATTGGGTAGAGCCGCCTAACACCCTTTTACCGCCCTCAGAGGAGTCAAAAGAACATGGGCTTGAAGGTACTGTAGGCCTATCCGGTCCTAAGCCACCTGATGTCGTATTTATGGCGACCTTTGACCCACCGGTGGTAGTCTCGCATGCTGTCGCATTAGAGATTTATAAGATTTCGGCAACCAATGCACCCCTATCAAACATTACATTTGACGCATTGATATTTCCTATCGTTAACGGCAGCTCCTACGACCCTAGCGAGCCGCGCGAGGTGGTATTCACACAGACAGTCCCCACCTTTATCAACAATATCCATGGCGAGTCTCAGCTAGAGCCCGTTTTAAAAGCGCACCGTAACACATTATTCATATATAAGCCAGTCTACGGGCAAGTCCTCAGCCAAATTCCGTTTTCGCATCCGAAGGATCTTGTCATGCTGCTCCCCGTGCTCCGCCAATATTCCTTCCTCTCTCTCCTCTTAGCCAACAGCTTTAAAACCAAGGGTGACAAGCCCACTGCGAAAGAAGCAGACGAAGACAACGACGCTCGCTTATCGCGTACCAAACATAACGAGTTCGACGACTTCATGGCGCGACCTGATGCAAAGAGCTCCGTTGATAAGGCCCTCAAGGTAGATATTACGCTTACGGCCCACCCCATTCCCCGCATCGCGCTCGTGTTCCCGTTTAAAGCGCACACGGCCCACATCAATATGGAGATCCAGCTCGGAGGCCGTGTACACATCATTACGGACAATATCTTCAACGGTGACATGGGACATATCGGGGGAGATATCGGTAATAGGAAGAGGATGAAGAGCGATTGGGAGCATGCGCTGGAGACGATGGAGGACTTGGGGGCGTGGATTGAGGTTATTAAACATACGCTTGAGTAAGGGGAAGAGGGGGTATACGAGTAGGAAAGAAGATGGGTTTAATAGGATAGGATAAGTGGGTTTAGTAGGATAGGATGGATGATGGGTGGATGGGTTGTAATAATAGGATGGGGACGAAGGTGAAGTTCGGTTACGATGGAGAAAGATGAGGAGAGTTATGAGTGCATGTATGGTTATGATACCCCCTTTTCTTACATACGTCCCGGGTAGAGCAGAGCAGGGTTAGATACCTGAGTTAAAAACTGCCTCGTAGGGCCGGGACGGTGGTAGGTAGGAACTAGGAAAATGGATAATGTGTTTGCCTACTCAATACATGCTATGCTGTTTTATTCTAGTTCACTAATCGTGCGTTTATCTTTGGCTAGCCATGACCAATATAAAGATCGAGATTTGACTCTGGCTTTTAAATTTCAGAACGGGTTGAAATACTAATCGTAGTCTACCCAGCTGATATCAGGCTTCAATGAACATACCAAGCGTAACTTATTCTTTTAAACGCTAGTTTAACATTTATTCGCACATACTATACATACACGCATCTATATAGATGACAAAACGGGCGCGCAACAGCAGCCTACTTTAGGTATCTAGGTACTCATGATATATAAAAACAGGGCAAATAGTAACAGCAGTAGCAATTATATTTGCGCATTACACATCCCTTAATAGGTCCATCTCTCTTTCTGGATGCTTCATGGTACATTGTTATTAAGGCTTATCTATTGCTGCTTCAATGGGTAATATTATACCATGCAATCCGCGGCAAGCCAAGTCTTCGTCATCGTCTTTAGGACAACGGACGCGCAAGATCCCATTGTCTTTCCTCGCCGCACACCTTAATAACCGTTGCCCGAGACTATGCTCAATTCCTCCTCCTCTTCCTGCTTCACCCTACCGACTCATAGGTTACTGATAGTTAGGGTAACCCTAACTTTATATTACCTGGTCGTTGGATCCATATCTTGCTTTCGTTCGTATAACTGAGGTATCGATGAGGGGGATATTTGGGGAATAATTAGGAAAAAAAAAATGGATGACACGCTAAAGGGAAGAAAATGTTATATGTAAGTCTGGGCCCTCGACTCTGCTCCTGGCCCTTACTAAGGAACCTCTGGATGATAAGAATAGCTGGCTGGCTTATCGTTCAACGAAGAAATATAGAATGCCGTAATTCGAAGAGAGAAGTGACGATAGTCTGGTTTCTCCTAGAAAAGGAGAACCGAACCACCAACGCTACGGATCAAATGATAAACCGCTAGGCGCTCTGAGGAGAAGTCAGGATGGCTACACCATCGCTCTTCTCACTATCGAGTGTCGACTGCTTAGTTGTCGTGCTATCGACTTTCGAAAGGCCTAACTTCTCGAGACCGGAGACTGCACTATCAACCTCTCCAAACGAAATGCCCAAGCCGTTCTTCTTCTCATCATCGCCATCCTTCGCACTTTCTTCGACCTTCTCGTCAAGATTCATCAGAGCGGGTGGTCGGTGGCGCATTGCACGTGCTTTGGTAAGCGATATTGTCTTTTGTTGGTATGTTGTTGTCATCGGCTGGGTATCGTCACGGTCAATGGTGGCCTTTACCAGAGCTGCCATCCAAGTTCGTCCTTGCTGTAGATTCGGAACAGCAAAATAATGTATGGTTGGCTTGGTAAAATTGACTGCCTTGGAAAGTCCGGCTCGGGGAGGCATGAGCTTAAATATGAACATCGAATCCGTACCCTTCTCGGCAGGCGAAACGGTAGCATTATCTGCAAGAGTTGGGAGGTTACTGTCGGCCGGCATGATTGGGGTGTTACTAGCTCCCGTCAATGTGGCGTGTAGCCCGGTGAGTCGTTCGTTATCGGCTGGCAACACGCGATGGAATGAAATGTCGATCAACCCTTTCTCCTCGGTATCGTCTTCCGAGTAATAATACGCCAGACGTCTTCCCTTAAGGACAAAGAGCCGCGGTTTCCATGTTGTCATCAGGTGTGAGCTTTTCTTCTTCATCCATCCACTATAATCTGCATCTTTAATTGCTTCGCGTGGACTAATCTTCAGCAGGCCGCGAAGATAAGCACTTGTTTCCTGTTTCGTCTTTTTCCCGCTCTTGCGACTGGTGGTAGTAGCCGTCGAGTATGGACTTTTTCCTGTGTCAGGGGAATCAATCTCGAAACTCGGGCCACCCGAAGGCGTACTAGAACCGGCCCTAGATGGAGATCTCAAAGGCGAAGCCTGGGTAGAAGAATCGGTTGGCGACCCGACTTTTGTGTTACCAACCATGGCATCGGAAATCGCCCTCAAGCCACCAAACTTACTACTGGCATTGGACATCCAGTCGCCATGAACGGCCTGTCGATTCGACGTCGAGGTAGGCGAGCCACCGTCAAGCTTGGTGACTGTTGGGTTAGGAACATCCTTGGCAGGGGGGATAGGCCGCACAGATTCGGTAGTATTAGTAGAGGCTGTCCGTCTATGATCCCCAGATAGACTGTAATACATTTGCGCGGCGCTCGGAGGTGTCGAATCTCTGGTTGAATCAATACTTCCGAACCTAGAACGCCTGGCAATAGCTGTTGCGCTTCTAACGCGTTGCTGTTCTGTATAACTTGACTTGTGAGCATGCGCAGTGTTGCTTTCGCGCTTCTTAAGCACGTTGCGTTTTCGACCATCAACTTCAGTACCAGAGAAATAGCCACGATCAAGGTCCAGCGCCGGATTATGTGCGACCTCCGTATCAGATACATTCACAGCATCACCCAATTCAGTTGATGACAATGGCCTTGGAGGGTGGGGAGAAGAAGCTGCACCCATAGTCCAATTGCGGTCGAACGACGGTTGTTTCTTATGTGAAGGTTCGGTTCGCGGAAAGGTACCTGAAGATATAAGTTTCGGTGTTCCAGCATTGACAGGAGGGGCAAGTCTAAAATCGGTAGAGGAATGCCGTCGCGAATGGTGCAGTTCTCGGACGGAGGCTGCCGAGGGTCTCTTGTGATGCGACGATCTTGTTGGGCTATCTTGGGCACCTCTAGGAGATTTGGGAGTTAGAGGCGCCATTGATTCCATTTTTGGTGTTTGAGAAAGACGTCTTGCATGAACTGAGCCTGGTCGACTTTCAGACGAAACCACTCTCTGCGAGTTTGTCAAGGTATTTGATCTGCTCCTCACTCTTCCACCAACTTTGAAGTCCTCCGACCCCGCCTCACTACCATAAGTTTGTGTGGTTCGCCTCGTAAGAGTGCCAATCCCACTCACTTCATCCTGCAAATTTTTTATCTTTTGCCATGTCTTTAGTCGCCTCCCAACAGAGCCGAGGTCGAACGCCTTAAGAAATAGCGACGATTGATCCATGCCTAAAAGTACTTCGCCTGATATTTCCTGGTCCTGAAATACTTCGCAATGCTTCTTCTCTACACCGAGAGTAAACAAATATTCTGCCACGTCATCGGCAGTCCAAGCTTCGACTTCGTCACGAGTATGCAGGACTTCTTCCTCCTCGTCGGTCTCCTCGCCCTGAATATAAGAGAGTCGATCCGGTAGATGAGAACTATATTCGCTCCCGGAATCTGTTGTATGATGGAGTGCGCCGTTCTGCGGGGTCGAGTGCAGGTCCGTGATGTGCTCGTCGATAACTGTCAAAGTCTCATGCAACACTGGATTCTCCTGACTCTGCGCATTGAGACGACCTAACCCTTCGCTACTGCTACTACCGTATGCAAAGCTTTTGCTTATGAGAGGCGCTATAGGTGCAGGTGCCGTTTTCCCATCGGATTTTATGGAATTTAGCGGTAGGGTTACGGGAGTGGCCTTTGGTGAAACAGATGGAGCAGCTTGCGGGGTCGAATTACGATCCTGAGTCGGTGTAGTGGTCGATGACGGTTGGCTGGATATGGATGATGTTCCATTGGTGGATGAGAGCGAACTCGCGATCGGTCTTGGTGCGGTAGGTGAAGCCGCGACACCCCTTGGTGCCGGTCGCGTATATACTACAGAGGACCGATCAGTTGCGATTCTATCGCAAGTTATACGCAGTCTTCCCTGCGGTAACGCTGCTTACCTTCTGGAAACAAGCCACTATTACCATTCACCATATGGCGACCCAAAAACCACCCATCACCGAATTCGTCATCGCGTTCGATTAATTCGACACGGTCGCCTTTTGCTAGACTCAATTCGTCTGAGCTTCTAGCCTGGAAGTCATCTAAAAATTTCCCCCGTTAAATGGAGTTTTTTTTTTCATTTGCGCAAACCATGGTATTGGAATTTTCCCATATCTTTTATAGCCAAATTGCAGATACGAATATCTCAAATAATGAAAGGAGACCAAACTTACGGATGACCACCAAAATATCACCAGCGTCTGGTCTCGCCATGATGTCTACGACGGGAATGCGCGTGGTGAGGTCTCGAAGATTACGCCGGACTCAGGGGAGTAGCATTCAAACAACGGTCGTGTAAACACCTAGGGCTGAAAGAAAAGGTGGCGATCCTGATCCGGCTCCTGGTTCCGAATGGACTGCGGAGTCTATCGAAGACCTGACTCGAACAATGTTTCAATGGTGACGAAATGCATCGATAAAAGCGGCCTTTGATATGGAGAAAAAAAAAGACTACTACAAAATAATATATACGAGAAAGGGTCGGGTGGGAGTACAATCGTCTCGTGTTATTTTGGCTGTGGATCTATGTCGCCTCTACCGTCGCCTTCAGCCTTCGGATTTGGGACTTCGAGTTTTGGCTAGAACCTGAGGACCGTTGTCCAATTGGGTGTTCCCTCCTTTTTACCGTCCTAGTCGCACCAAATTCGCGAGTACAAGAAAAAAAAAACCCAGACTAGGGGAAATGAATGGACGAGGCACAGGCCTACGTCGCTCGGTAAATGCACATAGGAGTAAAGAGGGGGGGAAGAGAAAAAAGGGATATAACCAATATCTATCTCTCAAAGGAAAACGCAGACGATGATGTAGTGTTTTTTTTTTCTTGAGGACTGAATTGAAGGATATGGAGGGTATAGATTTGACGAAGAACCTATTGTAGGATTTGAACGCGGATGGATGGGATGAGAGAAAGCAACCCGTTTGGATGGGTTTTTAGTGGACGGATCACGGAGTGAGCTGTGAGGGGTCTTTTTCTTACTAGGGTCTTATGGATCCACATATATGCAGTTATCCGTTAAACATGTAAGTTCCCTAACCAAAACCGGGCCATGTATATTTTATGTTGTATGGAAGGACGTACCGAGGCGCCTTAGTTACTAATGTAGGTAGGTAGGGTAGTTACACCTATTGGCATATTACAGTTCTTAGTATAACATATAAGTACGGATTATGTATACCTCCATTGAATATGCCTTCTTTCTTAATAGTATCAAATGCTCGGTTATTCATTTCTCTTTTTGGTATTAACCCCGATCTCCTTTCAGTTGAGTAATTTTATGTGTATATGTGCTTTTGTCTAGGTTACTAAGCTGTTAGCTTAATATCATATTTATGTATTTATATACTTTATATCCCCAAATCTTCGGCGGCCGAGGTAGTTCGCTAAGCTGAATTTAAGAAATATAAAATGAGATGGGCATTTATAACAATTACGCAATCTCATTAAAACGTATTCGATATCTGCTGAGTTTTTAAACCTGTTTGAAGTAAAGGTTTAAGATTAATACATAAACCAAGTAAAGTGAAAACATTGATCGGGAGTTCAGACCTCTTCTCAAAGATGTGTCTTGAATACCAGGATATCCACCACTGGGTTGTTTTCAGGGCCATGCAGGGCAAGGCTCGATTTCCAAGATCGCCAAGGGCCGGCCTTGCAATCCAGTCCCGAGACCATCCCGAGACTACTAAAAGTAGGGTACCTGATGATGTAGTCTCGGCAATTAAATATTAGTCTACCCGGTTGTTTTAGATATTTATAAAGCTGTTTTGAAAGGGTTAACATATCTAGGTTCGTATAAGATCAAATATCAAACATACATGAAGTAGGTATTATATACTTGGGTATATATGTATAGGATATTGGCTGAAGCAAAGGAGTTGATGAATTGAATTAGGTACCATCATGTTGTGATCGTAAATTGGTTAGGCTTTATGTACCTTTAACAATCGGGCAAGCTTTACATGTACCTACAAGTAGATAAGTGCAGCTTTTATTGTTTTTCATGCACGCTAACGAAATAACTACTCCGCAGTGGAAGTGCCTTATCCTTGGAGTAAACAGCACGTAATACATCTTACATGTATGTATGTACATATATGTATACTAGGGGTAACTTCCAAAACTTAAGTGTTTGGTTATTTGGTTGTTTCCTTCAAAACCTCACACTAGTACATACTAGAGATCTTAACGTCGATCCGTACCATGTAGGCCGGCCTTGGACCCAACTGTCACATCCTTGCACGGCAGTAGCTGCCAGGGCTGCCAAATTGTTTGTAGCCGCCTACAACCGCCGTGAACTTGACCCTTGAATTTGAACTTGAATTTGAACTTGAACTTCCACTATCTACATTCACCCACCCACCGCCGTGCCGATATTTGACAACTCAACCATTTGTATATACATTTGTATATGGGCATCTTCAATAGCCGAACACGTAGCCTCCATTTCGCTCTATCATTATCCTTATATATTCTTGCTATTTCCTATATTACTTATGGTGCGTTTGTTTCCTCTAACTAGCTGCATAGTATATTCTTCTTGCATTTGTCTTTTATAGCTTTAGATTAGACTCTTCTGTAATTATTTTATATTGATTATATTGACATATGATTTCCCAACTTTAGTATTCCGTACTTAAACGTTTACGATACCGAGGAGGACACGAAGGTCAACTTGTAGAGAAATTATTAGAAATCACGAATGACTGATGGCGCCAACTGGGGGGCAACGATCAGGAACAGAGACAAGGGCGGGATCAAATATAAACTCCAATGTGTCGTCGGACCGACAAGTTGCGGCCTCAAACTCTACTCTAAATGCCTGGGTTGGTCGTCGACAACCTTCATGGCTTACGAACGCAAAACCCGTGAAGCCTTCTCCCCGTCCTCCGCAACCACCTAAGCAACCTATCACCACGGAGACTGTGCGCCCCATTGTCGAGACAACCCAGCCCGTCTCAGTCCCAATCTCTAATACCCCGGTGACGACGACTACTCCTGCCCCACTTCGACAACCTCGTCGTCCTCAACCTCCGTCGGAACCTCCGCCATTACAAACACAAACACAAATACAACAACCACAAACATTGTAAGCTATATTCCAATACTATCACCACCTACGCGTCGCGACCCTTTCTAGATCTCCACCTAAATCATCCCCCCAACTCTCCCGATAAATCACCCACTACTTGATTCATAATTACTAACTACTGCATCCTGTGACGCGATAGAACTTCGGCTACGCGTACCGTACTTCCGTCGCCTGCCCCTAGTGACGAGTCTAGTCCAGGCGTCACCAAACCTCAAAGTGTGCCTGCGGTGGCCAGACCTCAACTCATCCTTAATACCACTTCGGATGACGAGCAACAAGCTCGAGCTCGGGTCCCTACACCCCGTCTGCGGACAATATTACAACAGAACAGAGATATCTCAGTGTCCCCGAGGGCATCCACCCCTGCTAGCATGTCCCTCAATACGCCTCCTACACCAAATTTGCTATTACCCAATAGTAATTTGGTACCTTTAGAGGACCCACCTGCTAAGAGGCAGCGTCATGGGTATGTATAAAGCCTAGCTATCTTACAACAATCGTGCTTGGCGATATTGGGGAATTTGATAACTAATAGTATTTACTATTTTAGCCACCCTACGCTTCAGTTTCTCGCCGAGTGTGGAGCATTCGTAGCGCTCGACAACCGTCTTCAATCTATAGGGGGGGTACAGAATCTAGACCCGGCAGTTGAGCGACCCCGATATCAACTCTTACTAGACTCTTCTGAATCGGGTGACCTCTTCTTCGTCGTATTACACCAGGTCTTTTGTATCTGGTCTAGAAACCGAGCTCAAGCTCGTGATATCTGCATGAATTATGGGCGCGACCCAGGAGAGATGGACAAGGGGTTTAGCAGCTTGGAAACGATTCTTAAAAGCAACGTCAAACTGAATCTAGACCACATCAACTTCTTAGCTGAGTTCCCAGCTCCGATAGAGGAATTGCTGAGCAAGGCTAGATACAAGGCCACTCTCGGGCGAGTACTTAATTTCCTCCACCGAATGGCTCTTAATTGGCACAGAATACTCACAGATCACCGAGCAAAGGGCTACCCTTTCCTTCTAGGCGAGCTCCTTGATGAATTTCTACTATACTCTCCCATACTCCAGGGAATAATGTTCCGCGCCTCGAGGAGGAGTATAGGGGCCGGAGATGGACCTACTGCAAAACGTATGGAGATTCTATTCAAGTCAGACCAGGACTATCATCTTAATTATCCTAACGACTTCGCTATAAAGCCCCAACCTCCAAGGTACCGAGAGCACAACGAAAATCTCATCACTGCGTATATGTCTATCCTTGTTTCCGCGTACCAGTCACAGGGCTATCGAGTGGACCAACAATCCTATCCGACTGGACCGCCTAATATCCAGCAATCAAACCAATACCCTTATCCATACATTCAGATGGGTTCTCCGACCAACTCTCAATTTATTTCCCACGCGAATCCTCAGATGGGTGGTCAGATAAGCCCTCAGGCTAGCTACCTAGCGAACCCCCAGATCAGTCTTCAGATGAACACCCAACTTAATCGACAAATAGATCCCCGAGTGAATTCCCCGGTGGGTTATCAGATGAATCCCCAAATGCGGCAGAATTTCTATCAGGGTTCCCTACAAGTACCTCAGGCTGCCGATCCTGCCTTTACTCAAGGTACGATGCCAGCCACGATACCGCCTTCGTACATACTATCTTCAAACGCCAATCCAGCCAATAGCTTAACAGCGACAACGCCGTTACAGCCGAACCCCAATTACCAGAGGACATGTACACCTACGCAGTCTGCTCAATTTAGTCACATACAACATCAAACAGTGCGGAGACTTTCTCAACCAGAGTCTTATATGGCGCCAGCATCTCCACGGCCTATTGCCCCTGCTTTGACAGGTGCGTACGGTAGTCAAACTCATCAGGTTCATTTCACTGGACAACGGGCGCAGAGCCTACATAGACTTAACAGTCAGTCCGGGCTCTTTCCCTCCAGTCACCTAAATCCCGGAAACCAAATTCCAGACTATAATAGTTTCAATTCCGCACCAAATACACCAACGACTCCGCAGCTAAGGTACTCCACGACTCAGTTTCAAGGAAATCAACTCCAGGGGCCTAATTATACTCGATCGCTTTCGGATCCCCGGGTGCAACAAAAAATACCGTTTGCCGGTCATGACGATAACCTTGACCGTCTAATTCCGGCGCCCGGTGTAACTATCGATCGGCGAGACTATCCGTATACTCAGTATGACAGAAATTCTGTTGCGATGTCTCTTCATCAGGTTCATCTGAGAAGCCCGAAGCGAATACCGCAAGAACATGACCCGGGAAAGCTGGGAAGGTATTATCAAGCAATCAAAGAGTTCACACTCCCCCCAGTGGCGATCCCGCCTCAGTCATATTTATATGAGTTTCATTTTGAGATCCCGGAACATCAGTTTATTCAGCTAGTAAAGGAAGAGGATATACAAGGCGAACACTTGCCTGTAAGTTTATTCTCCAGTGGATCTCTACGTCTCCGCGTTCGATGCTGTCACATGAAGAAGACGCATACCTCTCTCAGCGACACTTGGGTCACTACTGAAACAACTTGGCCGCAACACATTTTTATGGAACTAAACAATGAGGTCCTCAGTATCCCTCGGAAGTCGCACTTTTCTAAAGATTTACCAATTGAGGCTTCCTGGGCCGCTATCGCAAACAAGAACATACTCAAAGTCTCTATTCCAAAGATTAGTGAAAACAGGGAAGAACCTAAACCCGGTTGGGAATTTTATATTGCAATTGAGCTCATTGAAATTCTCAGTCACCGTGATGTGCTTCAGATGGTTAGAATGCATCAAGTACCAGCAGATGCGACAAGAGAGGTAATCAGGACTCGTCTCGTGGGAGCAAATGGGTTCTCCCAACAGCCTGCGGACGAAGACGAACTTATGATGCTGAACGAATTATCTATCGATCTCATAGATCCTTTTTCCAGGGTTATGATTAAAGTACCCGTTCGTGGGAAGTCATGCACGCACCTTGAGTGCTTTGATCTCGAAACCTGGCTGAATTCTCGGTTGGGTAAGAAATCGTGCAACTGGTGTAACAACACTCCCGGAGGCTGTTCGAAATGTCCCAACGAACCATCTTTTGTAGACAAATGGAAGTGTCCACTTTGCCTCGCCGATGCGCGACCCTATAGCCTCGTCATTGATGAGTTTCTTGTCCAAGTACGGTCGCAGCTGGAGCACCAGAATTTATTACAGGCGAAGTCGATCCTTGTCTCCCCGGATGGGACGTGGAAACCGAAGGAGCAACCAGCGGACGACGATGGAGACGTTGATAGTGAGGACGATGGTAACATATCAACCGGAAGACTATCCAAAGCACATCAGCGCATAGAATCTGGAATTGAAGTTATCGAAATTGATTGATTCAAGTCCCATAGAAAGGAAATTAAAGAATATTAAGAAGAGGGTGCGTTCCCAACAATGGATCATCAGTTTTAGGTCCAGCCCAGGCGACGAAGCAACCACAATAACATGAGACCAGGATGTGTCTGAAATCTCAACTTGTATTTTGTTTCTTTTAACTATTTCTTTTGGTCCGATATGGATTCATTACGGCAATCGTTCGTTTGAACTGATACCCCTCTGTATACCCAAGTTTTGCGACGCGGAGTTTTTCGATGATAATGATTTTCTTTTCCCGGCCATACGTCTACGTAGTGTCAGGCACTGCTATACAAAGGAGCGAAGAGGATATGTTTAGGCCACCAGACACTAGCAATGGAAAGGGGGACGGTTAGGAAAAGGGAAAAGGCGTACGCATCTGTATTTGTGGAGGTATGTCTACGGACTACTTGCGTTGAGTTTTCGGTCTATTACATACGTGGCATTGAAAATCTCGTCTAAGGAGTCGTCAGCTAAGCTAACAGCAAGCGTCTACTCGACTATACATAATACGCATTTTCTAAGTGACAATCCTTATGAACGAGAGGTCGGCCTTGTCGGCGTTTTGAGCCAACGACACAAGAGTGGATAGTATGTCAGGTCAAGGACTACTAACATATGATCTGGCGATGATTTCTCTTTCTTGTGGCACCTCAGGAGTGTCTGCCTCAGGACAGGTTCTTACTCATGTATCCCCTTTTATATTAAGGGTTGACCTTTTCTTTTACAAGGAAGACACCAGTGCGTTCCAGACAGACAGAGGTAGCTTTCTATAGTAGGCAAGACCACAAATGGCGAAAGATTTATTCACCTTGATAATTATGGCGATATAGTGTGAAAGGTCTAATTGTAGAATGCTAACGTAGGGTAATGATACAATACTTGTTAGTTAGAAAGCTCATTTCTGTAGATTTTATGCTATGCGACAGGATTTTTAATATTTAGATAACCCCCAAGATCACAATATCCTATCTTCATCTCGTATAATCCTATAAGCTAAGTTAAAACGTATTGACCAAAGTTACCTAGTTTACCCAACACCCGATGTCAACGCAGGAATAAAATAGTCTTACCTTCCTAGTTAGTCTAGCTACAAAAGACACCATCGTCTTAACCAGCTTATAACCTCAGGCCATTCTCACAAATAGTTTTGGCGGGGCGTGAGTATACGAAGCAGCGATTCGACCGTACTAGACCCACGACAAGACAAGCCCCTCTTCGTATTTGCGACTAGCTTCAATCGCATATAGCCGCGTCATTTTTTTTACGACAACGACCCGTAGTCTAATAGCCTAAGAGGGCTTTTGATTTTGGGCTTAGGTAGGGAGTAGAGGGGTGGGGAGGAGTAGGATGAGAAATACTAGTTAGAAGATACCATGAGCTCAAGATCCTGTGATCTAGACAACATGGCAAACTCCAGGCCTATCTACGAACCAACCACACTTACACTCAGTAATTGGGTAGGTACCTATCTAAATAAATCACACATAGTCTTCCTTGACACCTAGATCTACAAGCCCAAGTAATTTTCATTTTCGATTTTATTCTTTCCGCGACCCAACCCAACCCTACGCCTATAAGAACCAAAGCCCAAGCCCGCTATGATAGTAGATAGTTACAACCGCGGAGGCGTAAAAAAAAAAGATAGGACAAGACAAGACAAGACAAGCGAACGCTTCCGTTTTCCTATCTTAACCCCCCTTTACCCTTGTGCCAAAAAGTACCAAGAGGCTCTACTCATGCGCCAAAGAGAAATATGCCCGCCTGTGCTTCATACCGGTCGATCTCCAAGGACTCTAGCTCCTACTTGACGACTGGCCGGCGCTAGGGCCGGGTTTCCGGGCAGTCCTCTCCGGCTCCGAGTCGTCCTCATCCTCGTCCTCACTTTCGCTATCGCTTGCGTTTCCCACGCTATAACGCTTTTCTTTGCCTGCACCTGCGTCTCTAGGTGTTGTGATATGTAAATCGTCTAGCTCTCCTTCATCGAAATCGCCTGTCTCCAAATCGCGGTTGTTTGCTGCCCTCCGGGTTCGGAAGCCCTCCAGCCCAGTGGCGCGCGGGAAGTCAGATAGTATAGGCAGACCTGAGTACCCGACGTTTCGGCGGCGGCCGCGCCAGATCATGTAGCCCCAGATAGTAGCGCCGATAACTACGATGACTAGGACAACTTCGCCTGATCTCTGGTAAGCGGCCCACTTGGCATCGCTGACCTCCTTATCCTTAGCCGCCTGGTCGGACTCGGTGTGGTTGGTAGCACCGCCTACAGTAGTATCAGGTAGTTTTTCGCCATCGAGAAAACTCTTCGAAGGTATACCCCCGATTTTGCTAATATCGACTCCCATGAACCGATCAAGCATATCGCGGGTTCGGCGCGGATAGTCGAAAGGCACCATATGCGACGAGTTGTACAACAATACATAGGTTAGGTTACGAGCTTCCTGCCAGAAGCCGGCTGGTTCACCCTCAAAGGTCCAATCGCGTCGCGGTGCCCAATTTCCTGGAGACAATTCAAACCCTTTCCCACCGTTCCATTGCATGTTGCTTATGAAGGCTTCTGTACCCAGATGGTTGCATATAAGGTCTTCCGCACCCGAAAAGAGAAGCACGTTTACTTCCTTTATGAGGTCCGGTAGAAATTCGATAGACGGCTTTCCGGCATTCCCCCTGAGCGCATTGCCAACAAGACCGTTACACTCGGACCATCCCGTAGCTTTATTCTTGTCGATGTGTAGTGCACTGACCACTTCTGGCTTTCGAAGGTAGGGCGTAACGAATTCTAGGTCGGGGGGCCAATTCATGCCACAGCTCGGATACACATCCTTGAGTCGGACGTCGTACATGTTGAAGCATTCGTTATTACCCCCCGAACCTTTCGTTTGGGTCAGGCGGAGAATTTCCTGGAGCACCTTTTCGCAAGTATCGACATCCACACGATGGGCAGCAGATGAAGCTAAATCTTTTTTACACTCGCGGTATTGAGCCTCAATCCCGGCGGCTAATTCAGAACCCTTCTTGACAATATTCTTTTCGTATGCGAACGATAGGTACGCCTCGTACTGCTCCGGAGGAGAGATCCAGCCATTTCCGATCAACAGGCCTTTCAGATTCCACGGAGTTTGGGTTTGAGGTAGCTTGTTTCGCTCGAGAATCGCCTTTGCAATATAGGGGATATGCTGTCCGGCGAACGATTCACCCGCGATGTAGAGCTAAAGAATTAGTTAATATATTGTAATAGAGGGGGATATTTTGGACTTTTACATCATCGTGCTCGTATTCCGGGAAGAGATTGTACCATTTTTCAAGGAAGGTAACGAACTGGCTCGCCATATCGTCAAGGTTTTGTACAAAGCTGTTGGTATCGACATAACTGTATCCGGTTCCCACGGGGTTATCGACGAAAAGCAGATTCGCAAACTCATTCCAGCTACCATTGTTATACTGTAAGGTATTCTCGTCCTTCAAGCGATAGGGACCGATCTCCATCAATGCGCCATCCTCGGAACTGCAGCCAGGTCCTCCGTTTAGCCATATGACGGTGCGCTGTCGGTTTGCAATGTGCTGATTCTGAAAATGCCAGAAGAAAATGTTCCCGTTGTGCTCTGGTGTGATCTCGACGTGTCTATGGGCGAAGAGTGAAAGTCAGTAAGACAAGTTGGTGATATATGTCAGGTATATGTCAGGGGTCTTCACTCACCCAGCATGCATCTTAATCATATCCCCCTCGGGTATACCTGGCAACGAGTGAACATAATAGTCTCCGGCACTCTTTTCGGCGTTGGTTATCGATGCCCAGTAGGCCAGTCCGAGAAGTGCGCCGGCGGCAACGCGCACCGAGCTCCAGAGTGAAGCTGGAGGAGGCATAATTGCAAACGCCGAAAAGGATTCTCGGGTTCTCACTATGACGTTAACATCCGTTATCTATACATCCATCAAACTTGTTGAATTGATTGTTTTTTCGAATAGGTTGAAGTTATAGAAAAAGGTAACAAAATGTAAAGTTAGTAGCCAAAAGAGCTAAAACTGATTATGATTGAATGTACGAAACACAGCGCAACTCAATCTATGATTTTAGGATAAGGAAGGCGAAGGTGGCCTCTGTACACGACGAGCTAAGCCAGGTTGTTTAGGGACGTATCTTCTTACGATAGCGGCTAATAAGGGTCGTACGGATCAATGCGGCAGTGGCAGTTGCAACTTGCAGCTTGTAACTTGCGGCTCGATGTGGATGTAAAAGCAGGGGCGGCTTACGTTAGGTACCTACAAGGTAATCTTTTGATCTTCTTACAGCCAATCAATTTCAATATTAAATAGAACACCTCGATAAAAGAATACTAAGGTAAGTACGTATAGGATATCTTAGTACTAAAATGCATTAAATTTTGAGCATGCGAGCTCATTCCTAATTGTCTCATATCATAACAAGTACTGATATCATAAGGTGAACGGGCCAGGAAAGTACAAGGTGAAAAAGATTGACCAAACCCGCGTTGGCGCCGGACTGCATAAACCAAAACCAAGGCCAAAAACCTTCACCTTTTCTTTTTACAACACTTACTTACCTACTTCAGTTACTTACCTACCTCAGGTAATCAACCTATACACACATAGATATGCCTTGAAACGCATCGCACAAGCTTTTCTACACTAGATACTAATAGCAGCAGTATCATTATCACCAGTTCTACAGTTTTGAACAAGACTCGTGTTGTCTTGCTTCATTTCCAGTGGAGATGACAACAATTCTCATTTATATCACTTCAACATATATCCCACCATTTCTCTTTTCCAAGCAATACTTCGGCTGCGCGATATCCAGACTTTCGGTAAGATAATTTCCAAGGAATCGGTTGATATCGCTGCATCGGAGTATGGCGGCAATGATATCAAGCTTGGAAATATCACACCCCGAGACAGTACAGTCCCTAACCTCGGCCATTGCACTATTTCTCGAAAGCTGTTCTCACATCATCCTGAAGGCGAGGTACGGTATGATACCAAATGCCATGCTAACCAAACATATTCCCAGCTGTGTATTGTACGGAAGACAGACATCTCGAGAGTCGCAAACTAATATCGCATGCTTTCCTTAAACGCCTTCGCCTTTGTTATACGGATGAGGTTGGGGTATATTCCTATGTATACCGTACACTCCCAAACCCCCCATCAAAAATCCAGAACTGAAATGACGTGAAATCCGACTCATGCACCCTAGATGTCTTTTTCTTCCAACTTGAACCCTTATGAAAACCTCATACGGTTCATTACACTATTACGACGCCCTTCTACTGAAGGCTGCTTGTTTCGTTTGCCTAAAGGGTGAGACTAAAGAAAACCGAGGTATCTTATGACGGTAGATACTTATTCTGACTAGACATGATATCTAGCGCACCGGTGAGCGAAGCAGTTTTCGCCAAATGTATCGGGCGAGCAAGACACACTTAACCCTCGCGCTCGAAGTCAGAATGATATAAACCGTCAGGGGTCACTCTCGAAACGTATGCTATGATCATGTCAGCGTGTATCGAACCAGATTGCAGACAACAAGATAGTGACGCTACCTGAAGAAGTCCATCAAGGAAGACTATTAAGCCAGATGGCCCAGGTAGATTGACTAACCCCTATTTCCTCAGCCTTTTTCTCAGCATGATAGCAATTCTGTATACTCGCCGAGAAATACAGACTAATCTGCTGTCTTATACTCTCTTCACTATTCCCACGGCGCTCGAGCGATATAGTTGACCATTCCATTCAACGCATTATCGCCTTCTTCATCGGTAATAAGTTTTGCGTCTTGAAGCGTCGTCAAAACGTCTCCGACCCAGCTCTGGCAATTCCAATCCAGCTCGGTATTGTTCAAGTGAGTCCCAAGAATTGCGTCGCGTAGCCGCGTATCGGCCTCCGAATTAGTCTCAACTGTCGCAACTGCAAGTCGCCTATAGAAATGCGGTCTCGTTCGCGGGTGAGCTTGATTCCATACTTCATTCACACTATAGTGAGGGTAGCTGCCCTGGATTCGGACGGTGAGGTTTTTATTCTCGTTATCGTCGAAGACTATACACAGCTCTGTGACTCGGGTAGACTGGATATCGCGAGGGTAACCCCGGAATATTAGGATCCAGAGCGTTTGCGAGTGGCCGACGGCATTTGGATCCCCCTGATCACCATCCAGTTGAGTCTGCTGGTTTCTGTCCTTGCCGTTATTTCCGTCCCGGCGTCCGGCCGTGCTTGAGACGATACCCATTGGAGCCTTGAGCATTAGAAGAGTACTAGAACCACCTGGAGAGGCCCTGGCGTCCGGTGGTTCTTTCGCAAAGCTTACTATGACCGACGAGTGTTTTACTTGTCTCTTTAAGGGTCAGATCGTGTAGATCATATCCTGGATCGAATACGGCGATGGACGACCGGCCTTTGTCGTGACAAGTTCTAATTATTGCAACGCGAACGGGTAGTTGTCTTTGTCTTGTCGTTATCGATGGGAGGCTTTCAGGAACAGCAGAAATCTGGCCCACCCCCAAAAGGATGTGCGGGTGGTGGTAGTGGCCTTTACAGACACACCCACTCTGCCTACATACCTAGGTACAAAAGGCAGAACAGCCAGTAGACTATCTTACATAGGTACTCACATATCCCGAGCTCGCAGGCAACCCCGGTAAAGCGATGACAATCACACCGCAAAGTTATTCTCCGATGTACAGGAAATCATCTAATTACACAGATCAAAACGATATATGCATACGATCACCGTGACTTGGCAGAATTTGGCCCCTCTCGAACCCACAAATTGGTACACTTGGAGACACCGAAGTTTGCTTGGTACAGAAGTCTACCGCCGGGCACATTCAAAGAAACGGTGGAGTCTCCTACCTAGACATATACATCAAGGTAATTTGTAACCCCGTTGTCTCCTCTAGACAAAGATTGCAGATATGGCTAGAATGGCTTGCATGGATTATGCAGCCCGGCCCCATCGAGCGTTCTAGACCCAGGGATCGTTTCGGGTGAATAAGGTGACAAACGGGAAAGGATTGTAAGACCACCAGCGCTATACGATTTTGCGCTTCTTCCGACACCATTGTGTACCTACTGTTTTACAGCTGACAGTCTAAACAATAGAATTACCTCCGTTTCAGCTTAATTTGGCGCGGAAAAAAAAGTCTGCAATTTTTTTTAGCAGATGGGAGAGAACACAAGGTTCAAGGCGCGAGGAAAAGGCCACAGAGGCGTACGCGCATATCATTCCTCCCTTAGGATGCACTTTCGCATCCAACTATGGGCCTAGTAGGAAAGATGGATGTCAGCTGTCGATCACTCATACGATTTGATCTCACATTCCTGCAGCTGTCCGATTGAGTACTATTAGTCCGACTACCATATTTGTTGTCCGGCTTTCAAAAACTGATGGTCGAAAGAATACCTATTATAATCCCTGAATTAGGTATTTTGGGGGGAAGCTTTATGCTCGTCGCCACATTGATGTACTAACAAACCGTTACTAGCATAACCCGTCGAATAAGGCCGAGGACGACCGCCGGTTTCGCGTGCCTATTAGGCAAGTCAAAATCACAGGCACCCCTTTATTAGCAACAGGAAATGCATGTTTTTCTTATTATAACGAGCTATTTGAACACCGAATAAGAAACTATGCTTAAGTAAGAAGGAAGAGGATATCACCACTGCCCTAACTTCGTTGCGTTCATGTGGTATATTATTATTATGCATGAGGACTAATGCGTGAGTTCGTTAGAATTTGGCGAATCCGCACATATCGGCGATCTCTCCGCGTGTACGGTCCAGGGAGGTCGGGGATGCTTGACTACTAGGTACAATGCCTGTAGCAGCCAGGGTAAATAATCAGCGAGCTCGTGACGGGTACTCCCACCTTACGCATGTCTGTTCACCTTAAGAGCCTCTTTGAACCGCACTTGGATTGGGCACTCGGGCACATGACACTACGGCTGATTTTAGAGACACTGCGCGCTATCATGGTCCGACTTTAGGCGAGTGACCAGCCAACTCCCAAGGGGAAAGCTAGATTCGACGTGTGCTGAATATGTCTACTGCAACCGCGCCTATCTCGTCCTGAGCATTCATCTATCGCTCAACAAGTGGGTGATGCTGCAGCCCACTATAGCCTGGCGCCATTCCTAAGACCATATCAACCAACGATAGTATGCATCATATATATCTGGGCCATTGATTCGCAATAGGTTTACATCCTGAGCACGGTACGGTCCTCTCCGACTACACGCCCGACGTATCACGCCAAAGAGTATCGCAGGTCTCCTATCTTTAAGGCTGCGATTCGATATAGAAAAAGACTTATATGTATAGATGATCTGATCGCATTGTTCTCCCGGCCTACTGGCTTGATTAAAAAGCCACCTAGCATGCTTGGTATTTTGCATAACGCACGCGGGCTGAGAGGTCCTGAGGGGCAACTCGCTTGGTGTCCATATCATATCTATCTCAGAATGCACCCAGACTTAATATCCACACTGTAAGTGCTTTCTACCATGATAAATATTTGGAGAAGCTTGGGACGGTAGGATAAGACTCTGAGGAACACCAAATACTGAGTTTCGAGGTCACTAAACAAAAAGCCATATTACTCCCTCAACTCGCGTCTCGGGGCATTCGCCGTCTTGGTCGCAGACTACCATACACCACATTAAAAACAGCCTCTTAGCAGCCTTGATACGGGCCGACTGGCTTAGCTATGTATCAAGCGATCTGAAAGGGATGTGCCTATCTCACATTTGATACCTTCTTTACGGGACTCTCACAAGCTGATCTTGACAAATATCTATATAAATCATAAGCCGTGATGAAAAAAAAATTATAGTATCCACGTGTCATGCATAAAGACGCCGGTGGTGTATGATTACACATTCGGCCGTGCAAGGCCAGAGGTGTTTCAAGACTATTATATCAGTGACTGATCACATTCTAGCTACACGTATCATAGGATGCCAGGCGACGCTGGACCTACATACCGAGCCCAATAGAGGAAGTACTAACGATGTTGCTTTCGCTCTCACCGCCAGCATCCAATTAAATCCGGCTATCTGGAGTTCCCGAAAGATAGCCTACACCTCTTCTTCAGCGGCTGGGTGGACTGTTCCAGAAGCATCCTACCTATCAGGGGAACCTCCAAAACCACGTGAATTTCGCATCGCTGATTTCGCTTTGACGATACGGTATCCCGTCTGCCAACCCACCAGGCAGGCCCAGAACAGTAACCGAGCCGAGATGCCGGAGGACGTCCCTCCCCCCTACCACCGAGAAAATCCGCTAGACTAGATTGGGGTTGAGGCTATTCATATTTTGCCTCCCACGCCTCGGGTGGTGATTCAACAGTCCAAACCTACCATACCATCGGGTGCGTTACATGTATAATACCTCTACTGCCGCAATAGCTGGGGTAGGTACGTAAACCCTATCTAGCTACGGTAGGTAAGTTGGTATATAAGTAGGGAGGTAAGTCAGTGGACGGACAAGACATGCAAGTCGAGTTACACAACTACGTTCACACTTACACAGAGGCTGATTCAACAGCCGGAAATTCTTTGCGCTCCTGTGTGGGAAATGGCTTTATACCCGACGCTGGTGTGTAGCGTACACATGTGCACATGCATCTCAGCCTATAGGTGGGCACGGTTTGGTAAGTAGCGAGAGGTACCGTACCGACGCGAAGATCTGTGAGACCACGAGATCTAAGAGCATACAAGGGTGACCACCTAACCTATACGTTGATATATTTTCTCTTGGAATGCCTTTTTCGGATCGCCTACTCAATCGCAAACGTAGTACAGGCTAGGGAGACCTTACCTTATTTTCGATGACAACGAGCCAAGTCATGATACCAGCGACTCGTATCGAAAATAATTTATGGTTGGAGGTTTATTTATGTCACATATCATTTTCCGCGGGGCCAAGATGGTTGTGTATTCGAATACCTTGATATATCTTACGTACGGGGATTACTCACGTTTAGTGTAGCGCTCACTCAACCCTAACCCTTTTCTGCTACCTCTCCTCCCCGACGGGAAGAGTATTTTCCATCTATAAGCGCACAAGAGAATTATAAGACATCTTGGAGCACACCCATCGTCGACCCGAGATAGAACTCTGAGCCAATCTCATCCGTCTACGCCGGGACCAAGGGCACGGGACAGTTCGCCTAGCATAACTTACAGGTCATATTTCCCTCCCATTGTTTACCGCCACCAAGCAAGCCAGCCAGACCCTCGATCGAACCGACCTCGCACAGACGGCGTCGTGCACCCTCGTGCAAGCCGTCCAGGCGCGTGTTTCGTATAAATTGGGAATGTCTCCACCGCCGCCTATTTTTGGCTCCTAAAGCTATGTCTCGCCTGGGAGATAATATCGGGGTACGAGATTTGTTCGAATCCGCCGGTTTGAGAAGAGGTAACCGTGCCTACTTCCTGCGTATATATATGTAGATAGGTAAATAAGTAGGTATCGTTAGGTATTGGGATCAAGGCACGACACGTGGCTCGTGTTTGCTTTTCATACGCATACGCCCAGTTGGTGGTGACCGTTGAGGCTCAGCCACGAATCCTGAGGATGACATAACAGACCTAGTCTAGTATCGTGGTAGGTATGGACGTCGCGAGAAGAGGTATACTGCTTGAGATACGTGTCGCAGGCACCCGTCGTCATAATGTGCTGCTGTTTTACCGCCTGTGTCCCACGAGATATGGGACACTGTCTTACGCCTCCACGATCGTACAATACTAGCTTATATGAGAACACATATAATTACCCAGATACCTAACTTAAAGGAGTAGGCTCTATTATGCCACGTAAGGTTAGGAAGTGAACACTCTGGTGGGTCATGTTCAATCAGTTAGGTCATTTCAATCATGACAACCGAATAGAAAAACAAATACCAAAACCAAGAGCAATGAGGGTTTGGCTTTGAGAAACATTTGCGCGTATGTATTCATGCGTCATGTCAAATCCTCTATCAGGTAAAAGATAGAGAATTATCCAAAACTTTGAGTTGATAGGTACTTAGGCACAACCAACACAATATCCCGAGACCCAACGTATATCTATCATCATACCAACGCCGTAACTCCCACCTTATAGTACCGAAACAAATAAGGCATCAACCATTGCTCGTCAACACGTATCCAGCAGAACGCTATAAAACCATGAAAAGCGTCCTCAGGACGCTGTACTCACAATTCTAGCGTCGCCCACATGTGAATTAACCTCGGCGCATTGTTTTACTCCCGCGGGACACCAGACTGGTTGAGGCGGAATAGGATATCGACTTTGTCAAACGGTAGCTGTGGGTAGGACTCTTTGATACGCTGTAAAATGGCGCGTTTGCACGAGGGGCACTGACCGCCATCCATAATGGCAACGAATATCCGCACGATGGACATGAAGCCCGGGGGACCACTATCGTGCGAACGTGATAAATGTAGCCTATGCGGCGCGTAGGCTAGCTTGTGCAAGAACCATACCCACGCAATCAGGATTTCCTCCGGGCTCGAGCATAATCCTGCAAGTTTGTACCGGCTGTTGTACCGGGACCCTCCGATGAGGGTGGCGCTGTTATAGTTCTCCCATTCCAAAGGGTCGCGCTTGGAGAAATTGCGTATGGCCTGGGGCACGTCGCCGATAGTGATGCGGGAGCCGAAAATCCATTCTTCAAGGGACGAGGAGCGGATGGCGAAGACTTGTCGCAACAGAGGTTTTTGTGGATGTACGTCGGTTGTGGCTTTTGGGCAAATTACCACGGAGAGATGGCGGGAGGCCATATCGTATAGGAACTTCTCCTGGCTAATCTCTAAAACATCGGTTACCCACCCTCTCATCCCTACAGCGCGCTTTATCCGCGCAAGATTACCGACAGGGCCATATGTATCGTCCTTCATGACACGGTATTCTTCTAGAGACGTGAGGAACCCGACGTCGATAATGTCGTGTGTAGAAATATAGCTGCAAGTTATATACCTGGGACTCGTCAAAGGTCTCGATAATGGCACGAGATTCTCCAGAGCGACCATTCTACTCTGGTGGCAGACTTTGAGAGCCACGATGCCCGGCGGATATTTTGGGACATCTTTGAAATCGGGGGTTTCGCCGCACAAGTCTCCTTCGGATGGCTCTGGGAGCTCGATTACTGGACAGCGGGCTTCATCCACGCGGATCATCGTGATAGGTAGAGTGAACCTCCATATCGTACATTGAACCTCCGTTGGCAGGTCCGCGAAGAGGCTGAACTTGCTTAACAGCGGCGGGAGGGCTGGTTGAGAATTGTGGCCGACCATGGTGGGTATCTTAAATATATAGGTTAGTGTACAGGTTGTTTTCATGTTAGATAATTATGTTGAATTGACGCTAAAGCTGAACCTCTAATAGTCTAGGGCCATTCTGAGACCTGGACGATTATATATACACATATCTGAAATATAGAGAATTGGTATTAAGTCTAGTTGTTGAGGGGGGAATTATTCGAACTAACTCTATAACCAAGAAACTTCGCGTAAGGATATAAAGCTCTTGATGTAGACTTCAGAACTATAAGTCCTCTTTTGAGAGCATATCAACTATATCAAGATAAAATGCTATCGCATTGAAGCTTTTACCAATTAGCAAGTATAAACACGAGAAAGGCCTAAACTTACTTTGGTCCGTGACCCATCCATTTTGACAAGGTCCATTTTAGATGGTTTGTCCAGTTGATTAAATCTAGGTGACTGACACCAACTAGCGTCCCCTTGTATGAACCCCATTTCGAACTTGTTACACTGACAAGACCATCATTAGGTCCCTCTGTATTGCTAATAATATTGTGGGAATGACGGAAAGGCGAAAAGAGAGGGGGCCGATCCATCATGGCACCATATGAGAAGTATCGAACGCTTGGGTCATCAGGGGTCCGTGGGTTGAAACTTTCTGTCATATATGCCGGTGTAAGTTGCTCGAATGCGCCCGTATCCATACCTACGCCTCGAACAAGTTGATATATACTTGGAAGTCTGTCGACGCCGATCTCTTTGAATACATAATCCGCAAAAGCGCTCCCTCGGTGAGGAGTAGCGACGGTGACTAGAGATTTCACGTCCACATTTTTAGGTTGGAGATGAGAAATCATGTACCTGGCGTCGAGTCCACCCATAGAGTGAGCAATGATGTTCACGCTCTTATCCCGCGCAACATCGGCAATACTATGAGCTAACTTCTCAGCTCTTTGCTCGATACTTCCGGATGGAGGCACAGTTGCCGTTATAACCTCAACCCCATTAGCTCTTAATGCATCTGTGATGCCGCGCCAATAATGAATGCCAGGGAGCCATCCTCCAGCAAGTCGAAGTTCGGCGAAGCCTAATAAGCCATGTGCGAGGACCACTGGATATTTAGGAGTAGCTAAGGACTATGTCAGTCATAAAGTCTATAATATATTGGATAATATATTGGGGATGAGTCGCTCTGTACCGTAATGTTCTCTTAAGGTAGCATAATCATCATATATCTGTTTTCCAAGGTCCTTCAGCCTCGGATCGTCGTGTTGGGAAGAATAAGCCCTTGAGCTCCTTGGCGACAACAACCGAGTACCCAGGACTAAATTATTATATACACCATCGAAGGAGCGAGGAGAAACGAGGTATCTGCGGCAATGGCTTATAGCACATCGCGATAGACTCATTTCTAGAGCTTCACCCTCAAGAGATGGCTGGTTGTTGATGATTAAATTACATGTTATGGTTTATGTTGATTCAAATGTAAAAGTTAATGAGATCAACGCCCCACGTAATACGTCATGCATTAAACCAGGCACGATGCACGTAAGCGAAAGCGCGTTAAGAGGTACCTATGGACCAGGGCTGCCTCTTACCTAAAGCTAATTTAAGTTTAGATTTATATAACTAGCAATCTCTATTCTTCGACATACGGAAACTTTATACAACCCTATGACTATAACTAATTGTCATAAGTGTTAAAAGATGTACTTTATAAAAATAAACTTCAATCATCTTAAATATACCTGTTGCAAACTCAAATTATATAAAAACAAACACCAACAGCGGTAAGTAGTAAGAACTTTAAACCGATCTTAAGCCTTTTTTGGTCCTTCCTTTTTCGGAGGCTCCTGTAAGGCGTAGTATTCGCCCACTGGCCTATGTACTGTATGTATGGGTTAGCGTGGAGAAATCTCTTGGCGGTATCTCTTAAGCACGAAATTAGCGTCAGTAAAGCCGAACGGGTTCGACCACTAAAATTCAATTCTTCCACGGGTCGCATAATCGGTCGCATATGTTGAACCTCAGCTAACACTCCTTTCTTCACTATTAAACATACCTATGTACCTAAAGTAACCACCAACACGCATAATATCCTTACACGATTCACGTGAAATCTAACTCATTTCTACCTTTTGTCGTATTTACTTTTTCCATCGGTTAAATAAGGTGAGTCTCGCGGGACCCGTACTCGAAGCGCAACGTTGCGGTTCCCGCGGCTGTGAAGGTGCAGCGTGTTACATTCGGCGTGTTTATCGCCAACAGTCGAGCAAACAGGACTACATTATTGTCCAACCAAGTATGTCCGGGCGTCAATTACATTCGGCCGTTACACTATGCTTGCTCTACTTGTCCGATCATATCCTATAGTACATAATTATTATATGATGACCTTTAAATATATAAGCTTCATCTTATCTTTTACGTCCTACGGGAAGGGAAAGTCTAATAGATCTTAGATCAGGCTAAGTATATGGCCTATCAGACGGTTTTATCTCAAAAAGCGAAGGAGTACAGTTTAACCTCGAACATTTCTCGTACAGTGTTCTACGGCCAACAAGTCAAAAAACATGGGAGTAACTCGCGGCCATAGACGTGCTGATATTAGCCGCGCTGATTTCCAGATTCTCTATATGATTGGCCACTGTTGACATGGAGTCTATGGTCGAACCGTACTGTCGGGTCAGCCTTCGCTCCCCGTCGAACCCCGATTGAGTATCTCGCAGACCTGTTTTCATGTGAAAAGCACCTCGAGAGGTTCTCCCTAGCCTTGCTTGGAGATCGACCCAAAGTTCTGTTGTGTCCGAAAAAGAACACACCCCGGTCGAAGAGATGTACATAGGAAGCCGATGTTGCTCGGCCCGCGGAAAACTACTTGGACACCATCTATACCGATATTCTCGTTTCTCCACTGTAGATGCTGGTCTTACAGAAAGCAGACACATAGACGCCGTTTATGGACTATGGATTGGCTGAGTGGATCTGCGGTGTTCCCCTGTATAGACAGGTATCGTCGCATACCAACATCTTGTGTGCCCTCCTTGTGTTAATCATCTCTCCAATCCCAGAGCGGGCTGTGGAGAGAGTAACCACCACGATTACGATGGGATGTACCTTTTGCAGGGGCCGTCCTAGATCTTCTATCGGCTCATCACGAGGAAAATTCATCTCGGGCCGGTACATAGTAGGGGTTCGTCCGATTGCTTGTGCTGTTTAGGCATCGCTGTGATTTCCTCTCTAGGTACTTAGGATACCTAACTGGATTTGTGATTCTGGGTTTGCCTTATATCCGCATGACATCTAGCCGTCTTATAAGCTTGCTCCCCCTTCTAGGACTTTTCTCTTCCCCCAAACCGTCGTCAGCCGGAGCCGACAAGAAACATGCGATATGGCGAGTTCTACGGATTGCGTCTCGGGCCGCTGCTCACGGATCTTTCTCACATACGAACCTTCCCTCGCTGGAAGTGGCGTTTTCCTAGCCTTATTTGCCGTTTTGATTCCCATCACATTAGCCTTGGGGATCAAGTACAAGAGTTCTGTTTTCGCTACGACGGTGGTGACGGGACTCGCCTTAGAAGTGGTGGGCTATATCGGTAGACTCCTGTTGCACAATGCCCCGACCGATAGGAGTGGCTTTATTCTATTCTTGATCGGAACTATCATGGGCCCGACGTTCATCTGCGGCGGTATTTTTCTTACAGCGCCGCAAATCGTTACCGTCTACGGCGAAGAATTCCGCTCGTGGAGGCCGGTTTGGTATTCATTCGTACTCTATATGCTTACGGCTGTATCGCTTGTGCTCGAGTTGGCTGGGGTGCTCGTCTCGACAATTCAAGATGACCTAGGAGAAGTAGGTTGTCACGCTTGTGTTAGAAATGGCCCATGAGTTTAACTTCTATCTAGGTTGATATAGGCTCCCATGTCCTCGTTGCCGGGCTAGTCATTCAACTTATCACCCTGGTTATCTTTATTGGTCATGCTGTCCTGTTCGCGATCGCCGTGCAGATGAGACACCACATTCTAGATATCAAATTTGCTGGCATATACAATAGCAGATCTTTCAAGGTCTTCTTGTTTGGTAAGGAAATGCGATAACCACATACCTACAAAATACCAACAGGCTAACTTCCAATAACACATAGCATTTACATTTGCAATTCTCTTGCTCGTTCTGCGAACAGCCTATCGAATCGTAACGATCGCCGAGGGATTTAGCAGTTCGATCGCGCAGTCAGAGACATTGATACTGGTACTCGACGGGTTGATGGTACTACTCGCCACTTTAATACTGCTAGCATTCTTCCCGGGGCGAATTCTGCGAGACTCAAAATCCCGGACATTACCTCGTAGGTCTCCCAGAACGCCACTTCAACCAATACGAGTAGCCCCTTACGACTTGCCGTCGACCAGAAGCAGCCCGACTTATAACCAAACAAGTATCAAGTCTTCTACGCCAGGCCATTCTCCAAGGAAGTCAGCACCGCCTCCCCCGAGGAACATGGTGGACAGTGACGCCTTATGGTAAACGAGGGCGTTATATATATAAAATGGTTTCGGAGATCACATAGGAGATCGTGTAGGAACTCTATCGGTATTAGGAGGGGGCTACCTAAGTGGTATGTAATGTTTTCAATCACTACATCACAGGCTGGTTGTGGTGGTTTTTCGGTGAACATTTTCTATTATTGTCATATACCCTTCATTTGGATATTGCAGGGTTTGGCCTGAGGGGTACTGGGGCGTCACTCATTTAAAGTTGCTTATTCTTGCGTTACATGGGCGTGGGTTTTGGCATTGAGGATATCTCCTTTTAGCAGAGCGTAAGGTCGTCACTTTGGGATGGGTTTGCGTTGTGGATTTAGTTACCTTCTTTTGAACCATATTATCATTACGTCTTTAGCGACTTCTTGGACAATAGAATTTAAATTGACTACTATTCCCTATGCTATGAAGATTTTCATACTGTTCCTCTATGTGGCCTACGTGACAAGTCTGCATTACTCAACTTTGGTCGTAATGCTTGGTCTAATACAGGCGTTATTAGAAAGGACTGGAATTGCAATCACTGTACCTTGGGGGCATACACTATGTATTTTTATAAAAACTTTGTGTTCCGGCCGAAACCTATCTACCTTGCTTCCTATCTGTAACCAATTCTGCAATCAAGATGCGAATAATATGATACATAGGAGATAGTATAGTAATACGTCCGTACCAGATAACACACCTAAGCTATCACGCCAAGAGCTGCACTGCGTAACCATATCGTCTCCGATAAACTAGCCCACCGCAAAATCTTCTTTGTCCCAACCCTCGGTCCCGGCTCTGCTGTCGGCACCGGTATGAGCCAACCACCGGCTTGGGTTAGCAGTGCCCGTTCCTTTCATGCCCTGTAGATCGGTTCTTCTTATTGGCCTCCTTACTAAACACTAGACTGGTTAATGCGACCGGACGTATTGTTATCTTAACCTTGACATCAAGGAAGATGATTACTTGTCAATAATTACTTGCGGTATGGGGTCCCGGACCGCTAGTCGGGGTCTATGATCGAGGAAACTCTATGATCTTATCGATGGAGGAGGGGCAGAATAGGGGTAAAGGTCATTTACCTATGTACAGGAGAACCAATACCGATTATTAGGGATGGCGAGTGGGCCGTCGTAAGCGGCGGGTAGCTATCGAGCTAGGAATATTCTCCGATGGAGGAGTTCTTGTAATTAGCCAAGGGCCCGAGGGGTGCAACGAGTTCTATCCCTTGCGTGGGAAGATGCGCCAATTATCTTCAACGCGCGCCACTGCTGCATGAGGTGGGCATACGAAGTGCAAAAGTCTAGATATTCGTAGGATGAACGACCTAATCAACGCTTCACAGCACTTACCCCTTTTCTGCTTAGTTGGAGTTGCTATAAAGTGTTAAGCCTAACAGGTAGTTTTTTTTTTTCGACAGTCTGATATAAAACATGCCAAAGCATATCTCCATGATGAATATCAAGCATGTCCTAGTGAAATTGGTTACTTTGATTGAAGTTGGGTAGTCGTTATATCCAATGAGGCCGACTTACTTTTGGAACTTTAACTAACAGAATAGTATAACATGAGAAGCACTGCTCTAAAAGCCAAATGTGGGCATAATATTTTCAATTGTACTTTAGAATAATAGTTTGAGAGTTGATATTTGTGTGTAGTTAGTAGAAAGGGTATACAGTTGCCAGTAAAGGAAAAATACTATCCACGCCTCACCCTTCTTTTAATCCTTTAGAGTCTAAGTTCTAAAATTTACGACAGCCAAACTCAAGACGACCAGTATCTTCATCTTGCACCGGCTAGACTTTCCTGGTGCTTTCCCACGAGTAACAATACATTGTCCTATATTTAGAAAGCTTTAATTCGATGTTTGGCACAATATGCTTTGCCCATAGAACGTTCGCTTAGACTTCCACAAAGCCCCGGTTCAATACAATCGAATAGTACAATAACTTTTATTGTGTTCTATTTACAAGCATCTTCGAGATGATAACAATGATTCTGTTTCACAATACGTTCTTCAACTTTGAAAATAGCTTCATTGTCTATAGTTTCCAGCGCAGCAAACTCTTCTATAGTTTAGGAAATCTAGCTATGAGAAAAAAAGTATATAATATAGATGTAGAACCTAGAGCTTTCGAATTTTTACTCATCATTTCAAATAGATTCCATATCGTGAGCATTCTGCTTAACAGTAAGAACTACTACTCTAACAAGCTTGATTATCTATAATCATCGTCTGTCCGATTAGTAACTTTTCTCCTTTTACATAATCTTTATTCAAATATAAACAAGATGGCAGAGACTGAGCCTCAAGGCCCCTCAAGCGCTGCTGTGCAACTTGAATCTGACAGTACCCTCAATGGGTTCTCCATGCCCGACCCCAGCTTCGACCCCACTGACAACCATGCCATCAAGGAATATTATGAGAAGAAAGAGAGCCGAGGCATCCTCACCGACGAAGATAGTGTTGAAGCAGATATTGAAGAGGAGGCTGAAAGAACAGTCAAAGACTGGGAGGGGGAAGCCGGTCGAGAAGCGACGGACGAAGAGCGCGAAAATATGATGGCTAGGATCCGACAAATTCGTGCTGGCGAATGGTTAGAAGGCGTAAAAGCGCAACTCGTCGGGAAGCCTACCGCCCCTATCGCTTGGTTTAACCGCCTCGTAGCACAGAACGAAGGGATTATCCAGTTTGTCGCCAATAAATCCATTCAAATGAAACAACGGAGACAGGAGGCTGCCGACAAAATTGCGGAACTCGAAGAAGAAATAGAGAAACTGAAGGTCGCTCAAGTGGCCAGCGAGGACAGCAGCAAACTCAAGGCCCGGATCGAAGAATTGGAGCAAGAAGTTTTAAAGATACAGGACGACCTTCGGAAGGCCGAAGAAGAATTCAAGAAGCTCGGTAAAGACAATGAACTACTAAAGACCGAGCTTCAAGAAAGCCAGGACCGGGAGAAAAATCTCCAAGACAAGCACGACAGGCAAACATCCGAACTAAACGTTTGCTACAGAAACCTCCGAGATCGAGAGGAAAAGATCGCGCAGCTCGAGGAAGAAGCAAGGGAAATACGGAGAAGGGAAAGAGCTGTTAGAGATGACAACAGGAACCTCGAGGAAACGATTGAGGATCTAAAGCGCAGGCTCGAAGAGAGTGAAAACAACAACAAGAAAACACCGAGCCCAGTCCCTGCCCCCGCTCCCATTCCCGCTCCCGCTCCCGCTCCCGCTCCACCAGGTGAGTTCGACACCATGAAAATACTTCGAGAGCTCAAGGAGGCCAAGGAGAACAACACAGATTTGAAAGAGGAGAGTAGAGAGCTCCTCGACCGATGGATGGCCCAGGTTGGCGATAGGAACAACCTGCTAGAGTTTTACAACGCCGTGGGCGATGTAAGACAATCGATGAGCAACCTAAAGCAGCGGGTCGTCGCCTTCTACGCAAGTCTTGGCTACGACGAAGACAAGGTCCGGTCTGCGGGAGAGGCCCTTGATAGCCTCGAGAAGCAGATGAGCGAACATCCTGCACAACGGCTCAGCCCCCGACTTTGGGCTCTTAAGCTCGTTGCTGAGAAGCAGATGCTGGAGACACAGCTAATGACGCAAGTGGTCAGGAACGACACCCTGAACATGAAGCTTCAGATGGCCAAGCCGGACGAGCAAGTTGATATGGAGGTACGCATGGAGTACAAGATATACAATGATGCCGAGATTGCCAGGCGAGTTACAGCAGAGACGCAGGTGTACCGAGCGCATCGCCGCGAAATAGTTGGGAAGATGTTCGAATGTTCACACAGGTTGAGCGCGATCGCCGCGGCATGCCCTCATCAGCCGACTCGAGAAGGCATCATAACTGCGTCTGAGGATTGCCTGTCCCCGCTCAATATGATGAAGTCGCTCTCAACCCCTGCAGCAGATTTACGCTAAGTATCTCTATACATCGCGTCTTTAAAGTCGTCCTCGCTACCACCTCTAGCGATAGTCTTTATAGCGCGGCCGAGTGGTACCAAGAGTAGGGCCGGGGAAAGGGGGCTATCTAATAAACTGTCCAGGCGTCTGTGTAGGGATCTTCACGTTGTTTCTGCAATTGTTTACTCGTAGGTTCTGTTTTAGTTAGTAGATGATTATCAAGGTAGTTAATGCATTAGCGGGATATTTCTTATAAAACTTACTATTTCACACATACATATATCGTGTGCTTTAAAATGAAAACTTGGACATCGTCGTGAGGCCGCGCTTCTCCGCCACCCCTATACGAATGTTCTACTTCGGGCCGTTCCCGGCCATTATATTGTTGGCTACCTCGGACGCTCTCATAGCTCTCGTTGACGTAGCGCTGATCTAGTCGGAGTTTTCTGGAGTTCTGTAAGATCGATTTGCGGCGGTCGTATTAATGATGCGGGGAAAGCTCTCCAGCAAAATATCTACGATGTAACTCGAGGCTTGAGCTTATTCCGAGAGAAAGCCTAGAGGTAAAGAGACCTTTAAAAGACAAGGATCGCGAACCCACAATCAAGGGTACCGGTATAGTTGCGGAGCTATATTGTTACCCCCTCAAATTTCCTTGTATTTCGGTTCATTCAACGAAAAAAAATTTACCCCTCATGTACCTGCATATCTAGAATAAGTGGTTAGCCAACTTTGAATTAACTATGCACGGACTGAAAGAGCATGATGTTTTCGATAGCGGAACATCACTCCGTAGTCAAAGGACCGGAATAAAATAGGGTCACAACAGCGTTGTTACGTTATGGATCCGGGGATGTATGATGGACACTGGATGTAAGTACTTCCTTGTTGAACAGCAGCGTCCAGAATTTCCTAGATTTCGTCTCAGCCTAACCACCTAGGTATCTACCTCTCGTATTGACAACACCTAAGGCTCTGTTTAAACAAGCTTAATCGCTTATGTAAACGTCGCATAGCCAAGAGATTCCGATAGTAGGGGGTTGTTTTCGACCGGGAGTATGGAACGCCATTAATTATCGTGAGAAGTACAGTTGAGCTTGATATTACAAGCACGTCGGCTACTGCTGCAACTACCGCAGATCGCACGACGTCAAAAGAATACAAGCTTTATTAATTAATCCGGGGAGACACTTAGGAATAGAGTGTCTCTCCATGGTTTCCCCAGATTTTCGCCCGGCAGAATACGGTGGGATGTTCCTTGTGAAATGCCAATGCAACTGCAGGCTATCGCTGCAAATTAATTTCTGCGAATGCATAGGCGATTCTCACGCAGCCGAATGATGTTGTAGATAATTTAGGTACCTGGATAAATGGACGTTGGTGTATCCCGAAGAAACTTGGCGCCACGCAAATGCACCGACACCATTAAGCTGATGGTTATTATAAGAGAAAACATGTGAATTAATAGGCATAGTGAATTTAGTGAGGCTGACATTTGCATATCATGTTATTGTCTAGGTAGAGGGATTGCCGAATATGATTATCGAATCAACCGCGCAACGGATTGAATTGAACGTTTCCCCCCGGAGAGATGCGGTAGGATTGCTCGCTTGGTGAAAATGCCTATACACTAGGTAAAAGATAATGGTATGTTAATATATATATTTAGTTAGTCACGTTAATGGTTGTATCGGTCCTTATTTAGACTTGCATCCTGCTCTTGAGCGAAGATCCGATCTAGTAACAAGATTCGATGACTTCTTAAAAGTATTCCTAGATATATGCAATTATAGAATTGGTTAGATGTGAAATCACCAATTATAATTAATTGGTAAAAGACTTGGGTTAGATATTAGAACCGGGCAGGTATGCGAAAGAACTCATCTTGTCCTGATCTAGATTGTCGGAAAGATCGGTCAGATAGATCCGACATGCTACATGGCACTCTTCAAGTACAAAGAGCTTCATGGTCGGTAGGATCAATCCTCTTATAGAAGACGAGCGTAATCGATCCAGAGCTAAGGTCGAGTTAAAAGATAAGCAAAATACCCCTGACAAAGAAATCAGCAGTACGGGTTGAAATAATTAATTAGTTAATAAAGCAAGCTGTAGGACATCTTGCTACAATCAGTCTCTCGCCCGTGGATTAGATTATTCGGTTCTTTCTCTTTTTTATACTGACTGCCTAATTGAGCTTGTCGGTGAGATGGTTATTGGTCCGTAGTGGGAACCGCGAGCATGTCATAACCGGGGGCTTGTTATGTTATCCGGCTTGCCCGTAGAGGACTGAAACTTGACCGCGATAAAGTTGAAAACCAAGCTGCTACTGTTACATTGCTCGTTTTCAATTGCTAGGCCATGTTCCAGTCCGGATGGTACATAATTAAAGATCGCTTCTTGAGCCAGTAGGAGAGTTTCTCCACACTATAGCGTATGTAGTCTTTGTTGGCTAGTCGGAATATTTTAGCCGCCGTAGGGCTTCTTCAAGCTTTATCATTAGATTAGTCGCAATGAGGTAGGTGTAATAAATTTGATAACGATATAGGACGTGGTCTTTCACATGCTGACAAGTCGCTGACATGGTCTCGACCCGCCTGACAAATCTTCATGATGTCTAAAGATGTAAGGGAAGTGAATAACACAGCTAAGCAAAACATTTTCCTACCTAAAGACATGCTTGATGCTGACCCAAGGGCAACACACCGGAATTCTTCAACACCAGAGACCCGGTAATCAGAATGACTCGTGGAGAATGCCAAGTGTTAAGGGACCACGATCACGTATGTTGATTAAGCCAGTGATGACATCTCGCCTCTAGATAAGTATAAATAACTGTTACTATCATGGTACATCGGGCTACGAAGCTACACAGCCCGACCCCTAGATTCGCGGCCTGGAAGATGAATTTGGTGACACGTCCGCCTTGGAAGTAGACCTAGCCTGGATGAATAATCGCGAGTTTTGTCAATTCTCTGGCTTGACATTAAGGTTTTCTGTAGTGTTCAAGGAACCAGGCACCGTGACAAAGATAACGTACACCGCAGGTGAGTACATTCCTTTTCGTCGTAACCCATGGGTCTACACCCTAGCACCCGAAAGTCCAAGTCGGTAATAAGATGTCGTTCACCTGGGATTCGGACGGATTCCACGGTGTTCAACGGTAAGGCCACGAAATATCTACGGCACAGATATCTAGGAGACATTCATAGGTAAGTGGCGTCGATCCTCGCACGGAAAACCCCCAGAGTTTCGTAGGTAGAGAATTACTAATTCATGTCCTAATCGGGATAAAAGCTTGTTGACGGTTGTAAATCGTCCGGAACTTGGACAAGGTTCATAAAACCGATGTATTTATCCATATTATTATTGACTTCCGACAGCAGTATAGCTAGTTTGGGATTACGAACAAGGTTATCATTGGGTTACCAGGGAGAAAATAGAAGGTTGAAAAGGGAAAGAAATCAGGGAATGGGACGAATCGTAGTAAAGCCCGCTAGGGCTGCGAAGCATTAGGGTCGGTACTTCCTCTATTCGGGGTACGGAACGGGGCATTGGTTGTTGCGGTCCACTAACTTGGGCACTAAACTTATATCCAATAGCTTTCAATTAAGGCCCCTGCTAGCCTATAACCCTACCTTATGCAGTACATACCTACGGGTCCTTGATCCCTGATAGCCGGTACCAAATGTTGCTGACTTTGTTACACTCACCCTCACTTTCATCATCTTCTTCAACCATCTTCACCCTCCTTCTTCACTACGTCAACCTGTCAAACCAAACATAACTATTCTAAGGGTCCAGAACATCAGCCCACATATCCACATATTCCATCCCACATACACTATGTATTCTTTCTTCTATTTCCCCGAATAATACTAGTTATACTATCTTATTAACTCAGTCTAGTCCATAGCTCCGCCGACCTGGACCTAGAAATGCATGTAGCCATGTCACTTCGGCTTCATAAGCGTAACCTCGCTCCGTCCATACACGTTCATATACCTCTGCATACCTTAGTCACCCTCATAAGTCATTCGTAGGAGGCTTGCTGCTATACCCCCGAATGTATCACCGTATCTCCTTCACTCCAAAATGTAACTTCCTCGCAACCAGGAGCAGGGTTAGCTCACCACTACCGGTGAAGCCATCCAGCCCCTGTCTGATACAGATTGCATGCATGTAGAGTTGTTAATCATGGCTCTCGCTGGTGGACGAATCAATCCCGCGTCCTATATGGTACTTCCTCTTTGGGCATAGAGATCCAACTAAACGTAGTTTCTAACGGCCATGGCCACACGGACATGTGCTCAGCCAAGTTACTCGACTCCGACAAGACTGGGAGCTGCCATGATTTAATTCGGACTGCGCCCGTTCTCTTTTTTCACCCGAGCCAAGAAGGATTGCGTTGAGAATAGTTGATAGATTACGTCCACCTCCAAGGTGACCTATTAGCTGATCCACCTCATCCTTTGAAGACTCTGATATCAGATCAACGGCTCTCCACTCGGCCCCGATCTACCTACGTACGACAAAGGTGTGTCTCAACAGAGACGCGTGCTTGCGTATACTACTGACAGCACACCATACCATTGTTGTTTTATAAGACCTATCCTCCTCATTCGTTTCTTAGGGGTCCTGATCGTAGGCTCAACACATCGTCTCATTATTTCGAAGTCGTCATCACCTTTGCAACCATGAGTTCGCCGACATACGGGACGACGTCAGCGGCTGCTTCTGAATCTTCTGCCGCTGCCGCCGCCGCCGCCGCCGCCCAAGAAGCAGCATTCTATGAATACTTAGAGGAACGACAAGTTAGGAACGCAAAAATCTTGGTATACTACGCGGCCGGACTAAGTTCCCTTATTGGCGTCTTCATCATTGCTCACTGGCTTCGTTTAATAACTGTCAGACTCGGCTGGTCTCGTAACCCGATATTTCAACCATTCATTGCTATAGCAAGGTGAGCATGCCATTCCCAAGAGATGGATGCATTCTAACCTAGTATTTCTTCAGAGTTTCTAGAAGGATATTTATACAAAGCCTACCTGGCTTCACCTCCATCGGACATGCCGCCGTAGTGACCGCATATGTAGCTCTTAATGTCCTTTTTAGTTTCTACAACGTCGATTACAGCATGCCTACTGATTTATGTGCCCGGTTTGGCTGGTGAGCTCTTATACTATACTACACTTCTATTTGCCGCGCTAATGTGTGATATGTTAGGATGGCAACCGGAAATATGGTCTTGGTAGTCTTTCTCGCGCTGAAGAACACACCTTTAGCAATTTTTACGGCTTACTCTTATGAACGACTCAACATCTTACACCAAATTGCTGGATACACTACATTGGTATACACCATCTTGCATGGCAGTATATACGCGGCCTACTTTTACAACGCAGGAAGGATTTACGTCCTCCAACTCGATATAGTCACTGCTGGTATTATCCTTGGATTTGCCCTGCTCTTCACCGTTCTCGCTGGTATGATCTTAAGGCACTTTCACTATGAGCTCTTTTATATTGCACACTTGGCCCTCTTTATTGTGATTGTTGTCACTATGGGTCTACACCGTCCCAACTTCAACCCCGATAAGACATTATACGCGACCGTAATTATTGGAGCGTTATGGTTTGCCGATCGCCTCATTCGATTCTGTCGACTTGTGTATAACAGTATCAACAACGAAGCCACTGTCTACCCTCTTTCGAATGGTGGTACTAGAATAGTGCTTAAGAAGCCTCTCCTACGCGCTCGGCCTGGGAAGCACTGCTACGTCTGGCTACCGCGAATCCGCGCCTTCGAAACTCACCCTTTTACAATTGTCGCTAGCGAGCCCATGGAGCTCGTTATCAACACATATAGCGGCTTCACCAGAGCTCTCCACGATTACGCACTGAAGAACCCTGGAGCAAGTCTCAAGGTCTCGGTGGAAGGTCCCTACGGCACACTACCCGATCCTATGGATTTTGATAGAGTAGTATTGGTCGCAGGCGGCTCTGGCGCGACGTTTACATTCGGAATGGCAGCTGATATGTTGGCACGAATGTCCGAAAATTCCAAGCAGCGGATTGATTTCATCTGGGCTGTTAAAGGTCATGGTAGGCGATCACACTTGATGATAAAAATTTCGGGATTAGAAGCATGCTAATTCATACCTAGAAAACCTAACATGGTTTACGCAACATCTTCAAAACATTAGTAGCCATGTTCACGCCCCGAAAGTTGCTCTTAAGCTGCATCTTACTGAATTTGCACCCACATCGGCGATTGACCGAGATGATTCCATGGAACGACGTTCGACATCGGTTGCCTCTGCAGACACAAAGCCATCGGCTCTCGAAAGGGGCGCTGACCACTCTGCTATCAGCGCCCCCGGTTCTTCAGCCGCTACTCGGTACGAGTCCGATAAAGATGAAAAGAATATGGAGGCAATGCGACATACGGAGATCCCTTCGGCAGCTACGAGTACGACAATGCTACCTATTGCTCATGGTCGGCCGGACACAGCGGCCGAGATCAGAGCCGCAGTAGAGTCTCTAGACAAAGACCAACGAGTTTTAATCGCTGCTTGCGGACCTAGTAGCTTGACTAAGATAGTCCGCGACATTGGAGCTAGTTACATCAGGGTTGACGGACCTGCAGTTGAGGTTCACTGCGAGCAATTTGGTTGGTGATTTGCGATTTATTTACGAGTTTCACGAGTTAGGGATTTTCTTTTTCTATTAAGTACCTTTATATGGGATACCTACGATGATCTATTATCATATATGTGCTTTTTGATGTAGACGGCGCTGTTGGATATATCACCTTACACCAGCTACCAGCTAGGAACTAAGGAGGCGTTTTTTTAGAATTCGTACTACGATTATCGATCTACATAGACATTGACGTATTGTGTCTCTCATCACGGTTACAAATAATACCAAATTTACTCGAATATATTCTCCATATTTACGAAACATTTACCGTCATAGTCTAACAACTTAAAACCATGAATAGAAAGTCCGATATGTTTCTCGAAGGCCCGATGCAAGTCGTGAATCCAGCCAGCCATGATCATCACCAGGGATGAGAAAAGCTCATCCCATCCCACAATCTGTGGAGCACGTTACGGTGGACCATTATGACATTAGTGCCAAAATCAGGAAAATAGGTAGCACTATGTCTAATAAGGTAATAGTAAGGCAAAAATACAGTATAAGCTCAATTAATATGCGCTGTATACACAATTAACACCCCTTTTAACCTTATACCATAATAACTTTACGAATATCTATCCGAATATTTTTCGAAAACTATCAATATTTTGATTGAAAAAGGACAAAAATTACTGTTCAGGTTGCATGCGATTTGACCCAAAATTCGTAAAGATATTAAGACAGCTATATACACATAGTCTTTCCTATTCTAAAAGATTAACCAATCAGATATCGCCTTTACCTTAGCCTTAGCCTTAGCCTTATATATACGAGATACATAAATTCAACAATAACACTTACTTACACGTATACACGTATTCAAATAACTTTACCAATATACTATTTTAAATATCATAATTAGTATCATATTATAGCCCTATTTGATGCGAAAATAACAATGCAAGTTGCATTTATATATAGCCTTTAGCTGGCGTATTATGTCAGTATCAAATGAGTCTTATACAGAGAGGCTAAGTCTTATACAGATATACAGAGAGGCTAGCACGTGATACCCTTTATGACTACTTTGGAATCCCGTATATATATCATACATATATGACATATTATCTTTACGAAATAAATTTAAACAATTACCCAACTAATTTAATAATTTTTTCATACTTCAATTGAAATAACAATACTTTTTTCAAATTTTTAGAAAGGATACTTAAAAAGTTATTAATATAAATAAGTAATGAGAAAACTTGTATATACCCCGCATAGTATACTGTGCACCTTTCATACTAGCCTTTTTTGGACAGCCCTGACCTATTTTCTTGATTTTGGCACTAATGTCATAATGGTCCGCCGTACACGTATTAGCACGTCAACGATCTACAACTAAGTATCCATCGCTATGCATTTTCTACATGCCTTATTAGTAAGCTCTCTTACGACCCCGGCGCAACTTTTAGACCAGTCGGGCCGCTCCCCATTACCAACGAATTACATAGCTAACATCTGATTAGGAAACTAGAGATTTGATCCTGGTCTTTTGATAACAAGAGCCGGGATGTTGCAGTATCAGATTGTGTTGTATCAATCGGAAGATCATTCTTCAAGGATACCTTAATAACTTGCTCGCCAAGTCTACCATGGCTACCTTACCTACCTACCTAACCTAGTCGGCGAGCCGCAGGGTAGGTTCATTGCACCCTATACAAGCATAAATATCATCTTATCGCTTCGTCCAATCAGGGTTGTAAACAGCTGTGTTCGAGACCTGCGCATATATATGTGAAGCACTACCATAATGACGAGCATGAAGCGTGGGGGGCGTTTTCTTGTTAGTGGCTGGATGCATGGATAACCTGCCTAATGTACAGCACGGTAAGACAAGACAAGACGAGTCGGTCCCAACACCGGTATTTGCCTGGTCCCATGCACGTTCTGCCCTGCCCTGCACGCCGTGTTGGCGTCGAATAAGGGTATATCCTTCTTACGGCGAGCCAAGCGATTCACGGCCATTTCTGGTAACAGTCCTCGATGCCCATGACGAAGCCTGACTCTTCCCGGTATTTCGGTAACAAACCAAGCAGTACGCTTGTTGCGCCCTTACGCCAGCACACGTAACGCCGACGAATATAGAGGATTGCGAAAAATTTTCCTCATCGATGAGCCTGTTTATTTCTAGGTATTTTACCCTTCTGTCATACCCAACCCGGGCTTGGCCCGACCTGTCATTGACTGCCCGGCGAATCCTCTGCGTTGGGCGGCTGACAGGATCGCCATCCCAGCGCGGGCCTATCCGGATTTATAACAGGAGCCGGAGCGTGCGTGTGCAAATACCGTTGGAAAAGAAGGTGTTCTTCCCAGGGGCTGACTACCTAGTCCACGCACATACTACCTATCACTGGATATGTTGATGACGCTGGTTGTGCTTACATGAGAATCTTATATCCCCACGAAGGCCGCAAGCAACACACCTATCGGCGCGGACCCCCTCAGCCTCGCTAAGCCTAGATTGCGCGGACGGCGTGTGACGAGAGATTCGCCTGCAGCAAACAGTCTGGGGATCGGACTCCGGGGCCTGTGCGCCCCGAGGATTTACGGCTCGCGATGGAGTTTCCAGCAGGCCCAAGGTGCCGTTGGGAGATATGGCGGCGTCGAAGCCGTAGTTTTGTTTCTCCGGATGTCTCGGTAGTGTAAAGCCCGCCAACGGCTATGTATCACAGCTTCGTATTTTCAGTGTTTTTTAGATTGGCGTGCGTAGTAGAATGAATACTCCTTACTTTTCATATAACTAGGTCCAATCCCCTGGACTATTCAAATTTCACGGCTCCGATTGACTTGACCCCCTCTCCTTGGAGGCCTCACTTCTAAAGTGCACACTTACTTACTCCACGCGTAGCTTTTGATGACGACAGCACGGATCGATTCACATCACAATTGTGTTATTCCGTTGGAAGGCTTAATTCGTTCAATAATTAACACCTGGTCCGCAGAGCTCTACCGCCAAATGCGCCTTTATCCCACTTGGCGGGACCAGGATGAACCACCATCGTAGACGTTTTTTTGAAATCACTCATCCCCAGTTTGTCGCGGCGCCGTGATTCGTCCCGGGGTTGTGAAGCTTGATCTCTTGGCAAGCCACGTTCTGTTCCATGATCTGACAAAACCCCGACGCTTATCTCAACTCAGGTAAGTAGGACTTACATAGGTACACATACAATCTGGCATGGAATGGCTTGTACGACAATTACGCACCGGGCTCGTCAGAGGGCCGCGTCAGACCTCCTTCCATGTGGCTGCCGGGCCAAGAACGCTGGTATTTCTCCATTGGAATAACTTGTGCGCTTGTGGGTATATGATGGATATCGAAGCTGTGATGGATGATGTGTTATGACATTTGGCTGGCGGAAATAAATGACATTTACTCCCATCTCCGACACGTCCGTGCCGATTCGGGAGATCGTCGGGTTTAAACCCGATGCTGGATAGAGTCGCGACGGCTTCATATTAGGCAATGCTCTTCATTGTTTGATGAACTCGTCGTATACTTGAAGCCTTGTGAGTATGATGATTTATTATGGGTTTCGCAGATCAGAATTTGTACCAGCAGTTTGAGAAACTGGGTTCTTATATACTCACAACTGGGAGTGTCGCGATGATGTTCATCTCTCCTTTTTTAGTCTTTTATTCTCATTGATTAGATATTAATATTATAGAATTCAAGTATAGTTGTGGGTGTAGCAGTTTACCCTGTGCGCGTCCCAGAATGTTCGTGTTTCTAGGAGTTAAGGGGCTATAGGGATTGGTTCTTTAGACTATGAGTAAGGTATGTAGTAAATAAGATAGACTACTTATGAAGCAATCGTTAAGTATATAACAAGTCTCACACAATATAGCCCATGCATATCTCAAGTATATTTCCATTAACAATTGTCTCAAAAATTCTGCAGAATTGACATTTTAATTCCTATAATGACTTTAATTTTCTCTCCTAAGCCGGGACAACTTATCGTTGCAAACATCTTATAGACTCTATTATCCAAGGAACATTGGGTAATAGATAATACCTAACTAATCTCAGCTTTCAAAGCTTTTGGTATTCTTTCATCGCACCAATTATATCCATGTTATGAAGTTAAGCTTAAAGCGGCCATTTCGTCATTATAGAAGGCATCATAGACAATAATGTCAAGTATAGTGTCCAAGTGTTTATAGGGCCGAGGTATCTTACCCCTCTTCTTCACACGGGAAGATACAGGAACTAAACACGCTAGGCGCACTTGTGTCTAAGACTTACATCAAGAAGGTTTCATGTATAAAGGAGGTGGTGATGCAAACGGGCCGCGGGGCTTCATCCGTACGCATGTCTTAGATGAGCGTCTAAATTTCTACACCAATGATATTTTATCACTAAGATTATTGGAGCAGTATAGTCGCCACTATTATATGTGACGATATAGGCTATGGCTGCATTGCAGTTTCTAATAAAACATCTCGTATAACTACATCAGATGTGCAGCGACTTGAGACAAAGGTCATGCCAATCATGGTGACTATAGAGCTATATTGTTTATCATCAAACACTTCTAAAGATCTACATATTCCATTTTATATTATTGAGCATGGAATGGTTTGGTATTACAATTATTCCATTAAAACAACTTATACCTACTATCAATAATCGCGGGAACCCAGGGACTATTAATCTTTATACCTATTTAACTGCCTTTTTTATCTTCTTGGTTATTATTCAACTACAGCTCCACTGTTTTTAGTATTGGTACATACAAATTGGCTAAAAAAAGAGGATATTTTATACGGTATTAGATTGACTAACGCTATTTGCGGTTTGCAGTTTTAGAAACAATTTTTTCCTCTTATGTTAATGAGCGACATCGAAAAGGGGTGTAGTTGAATGCCAGTCAAGGGTATAGTAACCTTCGTCTTTAGTACCGCTGCTGCCAGGCTTAATATAAAGTGATAAATATCGGTCAATATGTACCTACATGTTAATGTAAATAAATAGTCCTGATCCAGGCAAGTGACAGCTAAAATAATTTGCATACTTCAGCGAACCCGACTAACACGTAGATAAGCGTCTACTCCTAATAACGACGATGTGCTAAATAAAGAAAATATCAAAAAGATATAATTTGATATAAGCTCTCTTGAAAGTCAAACATCTATTGGCTAAGTTCAGAGCGTGCAAATTATTTTGGTTACCCCTTGCTAGGTGTCAGGATATAGGGGTTAGGACTAGTTAGGTGACGTAGTAGAAATTTAAACTAAGCTTTACTACTTACCAGCTGGCTACATAATAGGGGTTTCCCATATGAGTTGTAGTAAAAATAGGTTCATAATCTGCTTCGGTTTACCAGAGATGAGTAAGTGAAGCGGGTTGTTAAAATTGAATTGATGTATTCCTACCAAATGTAAGTAATCTAGGTTAGTTAAAAGCAACCGTTTTCGTAACGCTTATCGGCACAAACGAGTAAAGGAAATCAATAAGTATTTTACAACATAATAAGACAATATTTAGGTATTTATCACACCTAACAGATTAGTGTTTTCTCATGAGACCATGGATATATGCCTTGACTTCATCGTTGAAAAATAAATTAAGACGGCCTTCTATATCCTCTTATATATCCACCATTATTTAAGGAACATGACAAAATACTCCATTGTGGAAGAATTCATATCATTTTACAGTATTGTACTTACTCAAGTTCATAGTCTGTTAGATGAATCCCACTGTGGTCAAATCAAAAATGGTCCGACTCAGGTTTTTCCTTGGGCACTGCTGGGCGCTGAGGGTGATTCCATCTCCGTTATAAGAAGGCGTATTTGACGGGTTTTCCCTGGTCAAAGTCGACTACCTGGCGCCGGCGCTAACTAGGTAGAGTAATGCTATAGGAAGTGGAAGATCTCTCATGTCAGGCGTTACTCTAGCTCTATCTCTCCCTGCAAAGGAGATGGTACTCTAGACATCTAATAGCGCCATTGATGCGCTCGTTGTAGCTACCTAGCTATAGCACTAATAGACGTAAACTTTCTCATCATAATCATCTCATCATAGTCTGTTAGATGTAACTAACATCACACTCATATGATTTATTTATATTGTAATATTCCTAAGGATCGGGGACTTTATCCGTTTCTTAGGTATAGGTAACATCTTTATGGATAGATATATAACTCCAAATAACTATAACGTGTCGAGTCTAAGACATAGTTGAAAAATAAATATTATGGTTTATACGACTTCTCCTCTTTATGAGAGGAGCTCTACAACTTCTTCCGTCAAAGATGTTTTTGTAGAATAGACAGAATTTCATGACAGGTTTCCCGATGGAGTTCACGGCCAAGTTCACTATCTAATACCTCTCCCGGCCTAAGACGGACGTTAGGAAAATTAAATATCATGGTTGCTATAATTTACTCGGTATACTTGTCATTTCCCTAAAGCTTCCTACTGATCTCTGGACCCAACTCGGTAGCGCCGACGAGAGTGTGGCTTCCAGTCTCGGCAGTTCGTCCGACGAAGAAGTACAATATGTTCATTATAATTTTATAGCCTAAGGGAAAATCGCGAGCCATATTTGTTTTACATAATCCAAGACAACAGGCATTGATGGTTATCCCGTCAGCCTCTCCACGCTCTTTGAGCTGCTTGATAATCCCTCGTATGGCAAAGAATGCGGCTAGCTTCACTATATGATACTGAGCTGTAATATCAAATTTAGAAGGGTTATTGAGCTTCTCTAACAACGTTTGGCCAGTTGGGAGTATTGTAGGCTCAACTACGTGAGAGGCTGAGCTATTGGGGAAGCATAGATGTGGTAGAGTATTGTGATCTGATTTACCTAGTAGCGCTCGCACGCAGCTTCGGGAGAATAAGCAAGGCTAAGAGGGTATTTGATAATACGTTAACTTGAGTACATACCTCATATCCTTCTGGACCAATAGTAATATATGATGGCTTTGCGATACCGGCACAAAGAAGAGCTACATCGAGCTTTGGCACTCGCTGGTCCAAGCGCCTAGCAAATTCTTTGACGGATGCGAAAGTCGATAAATCAACCGTCATAACAATTTCGCCGGAATATCCTGTTTCTCGTTGGATAGCCGCTTTCGCTGCTTCACCCTTTTCGGTTGACCGGACAGCTAAGATGAGAGGTGATGCGCCTGAAGCTGCATATTTGATCGCTGCTTGATACCCTAGGCCGGAATTGGCCCCTGTTACCAGCACAGTGTTATCCTGGAATGAGAGCCCATTGGAGCTGGCAGGGGGATTTTTTTCATCCCACCATTGTTCCTTCAGGGTTGCCACGGTGGTATGTTCAATAAAATTAATTGTTCAGAAAATAGGAAAATTACATTGAACTACAGTACCTTACCGATTGAATTCTTTTATCTGCTACGAGGGAAGCGAAAAACGGAGAATAAAGCGTAGCAAAGGTGTGTCAAATAATTAAAACTGTCGTCGTGGGAATATATATACCAGGGGTATAAATACACTGCGCCTCATACTAACAAAACCACATTTAACCCAAAACGATTATTATTGAAGTTATTTATAGAATTTACATATTAGACACATTTCTCATTCATCTTCAAGAGTAAATATGACTTTTATAAATCACGCCTTGTTAAAAGAACTTATTAATTTCGTATCGACGTAAGAATGTATTGGTTGGTTGAGCTCCGAAAAGCAATGTTTATTATCTAGGCAGTCAGCATTGAAATTTTTTATAATTGGCCGCCACCGCGTCTCGCGTCTATTAAGCCTCAATCGTGATAGGTTGCGTGCCGGTATCCGGGTGAGATAGGTAAGTATAGCAAACACGCCTTGCTTGGCACAGGATGTGACGTCTTATTACTGTCAAATCAAGAAGTTAGATTAAATCAGAACCCTGACGAACATCAAGCTAACGCCTTGGCAAATTCCCTTCCCGCGTTCATCATGATCCAAACTTATTGTAAAGGAGAGGTTGAAATAACCTCGCAGGTCCCGCGTCTTGGGGATAGCCTATCTCCTTATTTGCCTCCATATATTCGGTAGTGTCTATGTAAATATTGGGTAGACAATATGGCCTGGGACGATATGGAGAAGGTTCAAGAACCCCCGCCGCGGACCTCACGGTTGGCATTTATACGATCTAAGAAAGGAATTGCGATTTTCACGGCCGCCAGTTGTCTCCTTGTCGCAGCGGTGGTAGTAATTGGTACGTTCTTGAAAATTCATATTATAATGGAACATATATGGTTGAGTTGTGTATACTAACATGAAGTTTATTGGCTTAGTTCTTGCAGCGACAGGCGTAGTTCATACCGGCAATTCATCTGATGGGTCTAAGTCTAATGAACAGTTAGCCGCTGTCTCTTCACCAACATCGGCTATCTTGGTGGCCACAAGTACAGCGGCAACAGCAGTCGGTGTGCTTGAGCCAACATCGACATCAGCTTCTACTACAGCTACATCCACTACATCATCATCCTTTACGTCTAAGACTACTAAAGCCGCATCTACTACATCGAAATCGACATCGTCCTCAGATGTCTCTACATCTTCCGCTACACCAACTGTTGCAAAATCCGCCACAAACCCTAGCGATGTTCCTCTGAGAATAATGGCTCTCGGCGCTTCCATTGTTAAGGGAGAGACCTCCCCTGGTTATCTGGGGTTCCGCAAGCCAATGCGTGATCAACTTGTTGACCTGGGTTATGAAGTAAACATGGTGGGCTCCGTGAGGCTGGGCGATTTTGTGGATAACGACGTTGAGGCGTATGGGGGCAAGAAAATTACGGAGATGCATAACTATGCCAAGAAGGCCGTACCCAAGATGCTACCCAACGTGTTCCTCATAAATCTAGGAACCAACAATCTTCTACAGAATAAGGATGTCGACAAAGTGGGACAGCAGATGGAGGACATGATCGACTACTTACTGACAGCGTCCGATAAATCGACAGTTATCCTAAGCACCATGCTCACGAACAAGGTTGGCGACCTCGAGACCGAGGTCCTGGATATGAACAGACAATATCGGGATATTATGAAGAAGTTTGAAGCAGATGGAAAACCTGTCGTTCTGGCCGAGATGCATCCTAGCGAGGGCGCTTCAGGGGTTCCCTCAGTAAACGAGATCGGCCCCGACGGGTCTCACCCTACAGTCCAGGGCTACGAGATGATGGGCGGCATATTTGTCAAGGCGATCCAAGAGGCTAGCAAGAAGGGACTTATTCAAAAGCCGGCCAAGAACGGTATTCCCGACGATGGTGAAGCTGGGAGGGATGGATTCTAGTAGCCAGGCCACCGCGACATTTCAACTACTTTTATCATCAGGAGACATCATGAATACTACATGATTCTTGACCGAAAACAACGTGATGGATTCCACCGCAATACAACTATGAAGCAATTCTAGAAACGGGCAACGAGACAATCAGAACAAGACTGGGAAAATCGTACTTGGACGATGATATCTTAATTGTCGAGACGTACATACGAAATTCCATCTCATTGAAGCGGTGACAGCTCCATTATATACACGCCATTATACATAAGGCGTAACCTAATATACGACAACGAGCAGGATGTAAATATAGGCTTTGCTTCACTTACAGGGCACGTTGGGTGGATAACCCGATTCCATCCAGCCAAGGCTAAAGATATCCTTTAACCTTGCCAACATCTCTATGAGATGATGTTAATAGGCATGATAGTTTGTTTTGAAATTTACTTAGATCCTGACGAGTCTACGAAGGCAGGGGTAGGACATAATATAGGGAGGTAGATCATACACATTATCAGTCTCAACAGAATGAGACGTATGAAGCTAAGTCTAGCTTGATTCAGGGGAGGGGGTTGATGTTGATTGAATAGGACTTTACATAAGTACCTTAGGTATATAACTAACCAATTTACAACATTTATACTTTGCTTCAACTGGACAAGAGTACCTCCTAATACTACCGTCAAGTAGAGCTAGATCTACCTGGCCTAAGGCTTCATAAGCAAATGCTCCTCGAGTCTATGTTCCCCGTGTCTCACTTCTTGGGATTGAGATATCTAACCAAAGTAGGTCAAAGGGCTTCAATTTCATCCCCGATGGACGCCATGGTTTACGTGCAAAGGGCCAGACCAACCCAAGCTGATCATTTGCCAGTTCATCCCGTTACGAAATATTGTAGATGGCTTTTTCACCATTGCTGAATATAGGTTTTACTCTTCAGTTACGTATAAGCACTACTTCATATCGCGTGAGTTCATCGGGATCCCCGCGTAAACCTAGAATCCTAATGGTTAGCCTCCTGAGTTGGTCGGCCTTGGCACAACGATGAGGCTGAATTTCCTTCTGTTAGCGCAGCCATAACCAACGCTGGATCTAGCGAAAAGTTCTAGATCGATCTTAGACGGTATGTCTTTGATGATTCTCTAATCAAAGTTGATTAATCAGATAGTGTACTCAGCTGGGCGTACCTATACGGCTGAAATAGGACTCGTAAACCCCGTCCTATTTTGTGCTCGTTGGCTGTTGGCTTGAACTATGGATATTCAGCTAGTCGTCGAAAGAGGAGACAGGATAGGACGTGAGAATTGAGGCCGTCCCGGTACCAAGGTCTTGACTTCAGCTCGTGGGGTTAACGAGCCACCTAAAATCTAGCCCTCAAACCCAAGTATATGCCTTGAGGTATAAAGCCTATCCTTTCGGTTCGATTTCTCTGTGCCTTCTTTCTTCTATCACAAACTCTTACCCTCACTTCTCGACTCTCTCAATCAATCCAACCCTTTTCAGGCAATTTTATCAATCATGTCCTCCGACGAAGCTCAAGTTCAGATCGGTGGCTCGGACAAGGCCATTTGGCTCTCTTACGCAAAAGGGGTCCAGCAACAGATAGTCCCAACAGGCCTCGGTGCCAATGATGTCCTATACGTTTGCCCGCCGACCTATGTCAGCCTTGGTGTGAACGACAGGGCAGAGGACATCAACCGCGATGTTGAAAAGAACGCCGGCGCAATGCTTCCGACTACAGCCAGTGCACTGTTTGTTCCATCATCTGCAAGCGAGCGCTATTTCCTGCGTCTTCGAACTCTCTCCAATTGTATCAACCCAGTATGTCTTCGAAAATATATATACTCCTAACATCGACTAACTTGACAATAGACACCATCTAATATGACTGTCGCTGCAGATATCCAGGCCAAGATTAATGAAGCTCGCACTGACAAGGAATCTGCTGAGACCGATTACACGAACGCTACCCACAAGGCTTGGGACGATTACTCTGCATACCTCCAAAAGGCAAAGAGACAGCATCAGCAGAAAGTTCTCGAATACAAGACTTGGTCGGAAACCAATGCCTCCGATCTTGGTGATTACAGGATCGGTGTCGCGAATGCTACGTCGTCGTACCATAGCCTCCTTAAAAATACCTACGGTCAGCAGGTTCAAAACATGATCGACGTTCAAGTATCGATTGCCAAAGCTATCGACGAAGAGAAACATCCAGGGTTCAATATGCCTACTATATTTGCTGATGTCGCATCCGACAAGGCAATCAACAAGGACGATATTGCCTACGTCCCAGCTTATAGCTTGAGCGGCTATGGCGACTTACTTACCAAGTGGAAGAAATCCAGCAACACCAATTACCACAACATCAGCGTGTCTGTCAACAACAGTAAGAATCTATCATGGACTTCCTTCGGCCACTCGGAGAGTCTCAGCGATACCAAAAAGAAGGTCTGGATCGTCTTCAATGAAAGCTCCAGCTCCGAGGAGAAAGATAAGCATTCCGCCGAGCAGTTGGAGGACCAGCTCAACAAAGTCGACTTCAATCTCAAGGTCAAGGAATGGGCCACCATCCCCATCACCCGCGGGAACTGGGACCACCCTAACATTCGCAAGAACTTCAAGTTTGTCAGCGACACGCCCGCCGAGGAGGACTATGTCGTCCCCACAGCGATGCTCATCGGCTACGGCGTCGGCCTCGAGGCAACGTTCCAGAGCGAAGCCAAGAAATCCGCCAAGGATGCTATTGATCATTTTAGCAAGACCGCCGAGTCTGGGATGAGAATTTTGGGTATCAATATCCAGCCTTCCAAGTCCAACATGAGCAGCTCTTCTACGTCCAAGAGCGATGTTAAGTTCGATTCTGAAAATGGAAAAATCTCTATTAGTCCGGAAAATAACCTGTATGTCACTGTGTAATAATGTGTACCAGTACCTCTGCTAATTCAAGTCACAGCAACCCCGTCGTGCTAGGAATTCTTGGAAGTAAGATCAGGTTGTAAAGGGGTAGAGGGATTCTCAGGTTGGCTGAGCCTAGACACGTAAATAAATCGTGCTCAGTTACTCGATCGCTAGACAGAATAAGTATCTTAAGTAGGTATATTTTATAATAACTCAAATACACGAGAAGTTATCACAGATGATATTTAGCATTCACAAATATGTCATAATATTGGTTTAACACTTGAACGCCTTGATCATAGATACGTCGTTGCCTACCTAAGTACTTGGGTAAGTACCTAACCTAGTAGGTGGTAATCATATGATGGTTACCAGGCAACGAAACCGCGCGCATGCTAAGTTTAAAAGGCGCATTAAGCGCACCTTCTATCACGAAGCCCCAATCCGAGATTTTCTTGCCAACATGGCCGTGGTCTAGTGGTTAAGGACATGAAGGGCTAATCGAGTTCGAGGCTAAGTCGCGGCGACAAAAAGGCCAATTTGTTCAGGTCAAGTGCTAGGTTTGAACTCACCTTTTTTGTCCCTTTTTCGTACCATTTTCTTGTATTTCTATTATTTGCTAATTCCTTTTTTTCTTCTTTTTTTTTTACTATTCTCTTTACCTCTATTTCCAATTTTCCTGATTTTCGCATTAAAAATTCTAACCAAAAGTAAAAACTCCAACACGGGAGGTTTTCGCAAGCAAAAAAAGGTAGGCAAACAAACTTCAGGTGCCCAAGACATATTTTTAGATTGCTCAACGCGTTACCCAGACGTGTTGTTTCGTAATTGAACAAGAGTCTGGTGATCTCAATTATGTGGGCTTTTTACTGAAGTCTTACCCCTATATCTAAACCATCACTGATTACCAAATGTATTGTAGTGGTTCCACTTAAACAAAACGAATACAAGTGATCGAAGATGCGAGCAAGTAGTGAGAGTATAACTCTATCGAATCGTGGAAGTTAATGATTCCTCTCTTCGTAGCCCCCTAAGGGAACTTCTACCTATCCTTTAAGCATCCGGTCGTGTTTTGTGACGCTAGGAATATTGCTAGTATATCTATTTATATATCGGATGTACTAGCACATCACTGGAGAATAGGATGGTGTCACACGCCTGATTATCTGACTGATTGTGTTGAAATCATAAGAACGAGCTACGCACTACCAATTACCAAAAATACACACCTGTCCCAGGTTATCTGACATATCTGACTAATATGACATTACCATAGAGTATGGGATATCCGATTCGCTAGCCACATTTGAAGCCGGAACGGTGATGGGCATCTTAGAGATCAGTTTGCCGTCCAACGATACTGCCATTATCATTAGCATTAATCACGAAACTAGGAAATCAACGACTGTAACATACAACATTTAAACGTCACCTCCTGGCCTTCCATTGTCGCTTCAACCTGAAATCTAAACTCTTGGTATCTGCTTGGTAGGCTAAACCAAGACCTAGGGCGAGTTTTCAAGCCCGAGTAGTTGCATGTTATAGTTTCGATTTTTCGAACTCCTGCATACGCATTAGTTGACGGCCAAATATATTGAAAACTATTGAGAATAGTGCGAACCATTATCGGGAGTACAGAATTCCGGTGGGTCCTCGTCCAATGAGCTGACCACAGAGATATTGCCCACGAGGTTAGAATCCTTCAAACGAGGTGCGAATCTACGATAAAATTCCCTGGTGAATTTATCTCCAGCTTTCGTCTCATACCCCTAAGAAGAATAAGTGTTAAGCATAATCAGTTTAATGAAGTGAGGCCCTTACCTTTTGAATCAGCCAGTCTATACATTCAACCATACGCCCCTCACCAAACCGATTTCCCCTGACTCCATTGTGCTTCTTTGCCAGCTTATGGGACTTATTTTTGCTGTCATATTTCTCCCATTTCATGATTCCGAAAGAATCTTGGGAACACAACTTGGTGAACGTAGATGGTCCATTATGAAGACGGCGCACGCGTTCATATACAAGACCTTTGCATACGCAGAGCTGTGGCTTAGATGATACACTAAAACGAGCATTTTTGATCAATGAAAAGTTTTTGAATGCGGCTTGAAGCTGCTTCTGGACATATGGGGAAGAGCCAAGGCCGCCTGAGAGAATGATATGATCCTATTGACCAGTATTGTTAGCAGGCCGTTAACAAACGGACGTTGAGGACTGGGAGGACCGACAATGGGTTTTCCGTCCATTACCGTCTCTTCAATGTTAGCTGCGATGTCCTTAATTTGCTCGTCAAACATTGACTCCAATTGACTCCTGCAACCTTAAAGTAAGTAAGATGTACCCAGTATCGCATAGATGGTCACAAAAGGGGCATACCATTTAACGCGTAACTCCCCATTCATGATGTTAGCTTCTTCAACTGAGACATTTCCGTTCAATCCAGGTATTCCCACAAGGAAAACGTCATCATCGGCAAAAAGGCCATTGCAACTATGTTTGCAGTTTTGAAATTCTTCACCATTCATCATTCTCCAAGCTAGCTCTAACGGGTCGCCGCCCGGTAGCTCATGGCCAGCCTTCTTTAAAATTTCCAGTGCTTCGAGTGCCAGTTCCTGGAATTGGCTATCGATGTATGTGGAACCAGCGTCCTCACCTAAAACCAAGGTTAGTATTTGTCCAACCTCATATGAATGGCATCTTCTTACCAATGTTTGGTTTCAACTCAGCCAATCGAATATCGTTTTCTCCCAATATCTTTACCTTAGAGAGACAAATGTCCTATTAAATGTGAATAAAAATGCACAAATCGTGCTTAAAAGGAGTCGACTCACTATTGTGCCACCCCCAGCATCCACAACCAGCAAGGTGTTGTCATTCTATATCTAGTCAGACTTTACCCAATGGAGATTGATGGAGAAATACTCACCTGGAGTTCAATTTTATCCTCCAAGACTGAGAATACGGCAACTGCTTCAGGCTCACTAAGAGAAGCAGTCAATCTGTGTTTTGGATGATCTCCGAAACCAGCTTTTTTCGCAAGGCCTTTGAGTTTCTCGACTGTTGCCCTATCCCAGGTAGCCGGGAAGCTAAAGATGAACTCTATTGACGCATCCTTCCAGGTCTTATTCATCGGTTTTAACTCTGAGGCACTGAGTTTTTTCTCTATATGACTATAGAGTCTGGAGAGAAAGTGTTCATAGCAAGTATCAGCCGATGGCAGATCTTTTCTGGTCGGATGTTGTTGGATGGTGTAAGGTGAAGAGTGACCAAAGTCAATTTTGAACCATTTGGCATATACGTGGTTGCTAGGATATTCTGGTTGATCCTGCTTGGTAAAACCCCACGCGATAGGGCCCCGGTCGATGTCTTCTCTGTCATAAATCAGCTGCGTAGGAACCTTTCCTTCCTCGTCTCTGTTTTCCCAGTTTTTGAACTCCATTACAGGAGCATCGAGGTGTCTAGCTTTGGCAAGATTGCTATAGGCCACGGCCGTACCTGTTTTAGGTACAATGCAACGTCAGTAGGAATCAGTTGAAAAGTGAGCATTGCATTCACTAATGCGCCAGTCACTCGGTGAAGTTTACTTACCACTCATGCCCACATCTATCCCAATAACCATATCAATACGTTGTGAGGCCATGGTGTGAGACTTGAAATACGGTGTTGCTAAATTATAGCTGAGTATAAGTAGAACTAGTAGATTTCAATGAAGTGTGGGTGTTGGATAGAATCTATTATGTTATGCCAGAATATGAACAAGTCTTATATAGAATCAGTAGGCAATCAGGCTGCGTGGATTTCATCCTCTTTTCTATTTCGGTGAGGCTGCATCTCATGATCGGTTGAATCTCCATTGACCAAAAAAGACCCCCACGGAGCTGGATAAAGATGCAGATGCATAGGTAGGAGGTATGCATCGTCTTTTGATCCCCGAAACACCAGAAACGCCACTATCACAACCTATCGGCGCTTTTCTCTACCAATGATTATTGCCTTAGGCACCTTAAGAGGTATCTAGGTAGATATCAGGTTTTGAACCTATAGGTACTCTGTAGGATGAGGGGACTTGGAGCGTGCATATATCTTACATGCGACCGTTGTACGCCGGTCTCAGCCTTTTCAGCTGAACGAATGTTAGGTACCAAGTATCAATAAGCCACTTTTTGGAGATTTGTCCCTGATTCCAGCCATTTCTTTTTCACAACTCAGACTCAACAAGGTCTCTTCTGGGTCTTCCATCTAACCGCTTGTATCAAAAATCATCAACTCTGCCAATTATACGACATGTACTCATCAGGCGCTGTAGCAGGTATTGCCATAGGCTGTGCCTTCGCAAGCGCAGCTATCGTTTCCGCTGTATTCCTGCTAATATACCGCCGTCGACCAAATCTGAAGCCAACAACTCTAGAGTCAATAACTCCAGAGCCAACAACGCCAGAGCCAAAAAATCTGGAGCAAGTGCCGCGTATTGAATCCGTGCTTGACTATTTACCACAGGGAATCGGTCATAAAGAACTTAGACAAGAATTTTCTCAGTTAGAAACTCAAATCAAGACCTTCGTCGTTAACTACTTTCATACTCAATCCGTTCATGCAACAACCGTGGATACCAACAAAATACATGTCATGCTAGGCGCAACCGATAATCACTCCAGCAGCCAGTGGTCAACTCAATTATGCGACACCACTAATCGAGGAATTACGCTTAGAACATACATTGCCAGAGTTCTCTGGGCCCGAGTCGACCCACGAGGTCTTGCAGAGAGAACCCTTCTTCCTGTCGATGTTGTTCGTTGTTATCAAGCAGCGCTTCTAAAAAGCCGTAAGTTACTGAAGAGCCGCGGTCTGAAAACACAACTGACATTTGCACTTAGATCCGCCACTTCTTCTAGAGTCCTGGCGCGCTATGACTGCTTCCGTTCTAGCAGATCAATACCCACGAAATAGGCTGGCGGAAGGTGATCCACGCGCCGATAATATCAAGAGAACAGCGGCTGACCTACTGGATGCTCTGCAACCTTTCCGGACTGAAGGAGCTGAAGAGAGATCTACACGTATTTTAGAAGAGATAGTCACGAGTTTCGCGGTTCTAGGATTCAAACTCTTCTCACATATAAATACCATTGAGGTTGTATGGCCTCCCTCGTCAGCTACCCAAGTGGTTCTTTTCCCTGCTTTGAAGCAGTATCGTCTTGATGAAGGACAACGCATTGTTACAATCAAGGAAGCATCTTTTCATTGAGTACACAGGTACTTTCATTGTTTTCTAAAAATTAGGAATATAGTTACCATAATTAATCTAATAATTTACCTCACGAATATGTCAAGTTGTGATGATCATCAGAAGAGAGTGCTCCACCACGAGTACATCTAGGAAGCTATCATAATTCCTGATGTAGCTCGATTGCGGAATACTATGAAGAGGGTCGTGCTACCCATCATTGTGGCTACCTACCGACGATTCTATGGTATATACTACTACAAAAGGATTCTTTGTTACACGCCGGTTGTCTAATAGGTATCATCGAATAGACTAAGCGCTTAGTATAATATGCCTAAAATAATATCCAATAATAGAGGCAAGATAAACACTTTGATGAGACCTTTCCAATTAGGAAGTTCAAACTTGCCTTCTCTTTTTTTGTCCATCTCGACACGGGAGCTCGTGGACGGGGCTGGCGGCTATCTTGCTTCAGGGGCATAATAGAGGTATAATCACGGAAGAGTTCCGCGGTAGCTTTATTCCTTTAATACAACCTATTGGCGGTTCTCCTTATCATTTCAAAGGAACCCATGACGCCGATCTCAGTTCGAAAGTTAGAAAAATATTACCAAAACGAGCTACACTGCTTCAAACATTAGCTAGTCTTAATGCCCGTCACTCGTCTGCTGAAAATACTCGTGTAACCACCTGAAGGATTCTACGAACAGCCGCATAATCAGTTGAAGCCCTCAACCAATAATCTTAATATAATAATGTATCATATGCGTAGGTTCTTCACCGAAAGCCACTGCAGCGCTTCGGGTCACAGGCATTTCACAGCCGCGGTCTCCAAAAACGCCCAGATCATCACATATCCTACATCCTTCAGGTGAAACCCCCCCTCCCAAATAAGTTCACGCATATAAGCGACGAATGTGACCAACGAACTTCCAGGAAAGTGATGCATATGCAGCATACACGCTGTCACAAGGTCAATATTATGGTTAGGAAAACAACTTCGTTGCTGCATAGGTTATCTAGGTAACTATACGGACCAAAGGCCTGGGCGTACGTAGGAGATGAGAACAAAGGGACCTTCATCTCGTACGTCCACGTCGTGACACAAGCTACTGCATTTCATTACAGCGATACGCCGATTGCTAGTCTAATTAAAGGAAGAAGCGGCGTGACCTAGATGCAGCCATGAAAAAGAGAAGATTCAGCATTTCTCGCTCATCTCAATGCGAGGGTTCAATGGCTATGGTCGCTTACTAGGCTAGCCGGCTCGGATAGGGGCCTGATATGTAGACAATCAAGTAACAGGTCCATTTTAATGAATATATAAACATGAAGCAACGGATAGAAATAATTCTCTAGAAAAATATAACCGTATGAAACTTATTGCTTCACCAACAATCATTTCTCACTCGAGCCAAAGACTTCACTACCTACTGCCTAGCAAGCATGGATCCATCCGGCATAACAACTATCCTGTCAGCAATATGGGAAATCTCTAAAATCACAAAACAGCTCATTGATGTCCCAGAAACCTCCAGGGTATTCGTGAGGATACTTGAGCAGGTCGCTCGCGATAATGAGTATGCCAACAAATTTTACAAGACAATCCCATCACACATAAAGTATAATTGCATCCGGTTCGAATGGATAAGGGAAGTAATCACTTCAAATAGCTGTGACGTTATCGACTTCATGAAGTTCGTGGGCGAACTCAACCCGGATTCACCAAGCTTCAAACAGCGGGCTAGTTTTCTCCTAATGACAAAAGAGAAAACCCTCAACGACTGGGAGAAGAGATTGTGTTTTTCGCACGGTCGTTTATTGGCCGCGGTTAACACAATGGACGGGTTAGCTCCTCAGCCTGACTCTTCAAGAGACTCGTCTGTGTCTTCGCCTGCAGCAAGGCCTTTGCGAAGCAGAGCGTCTCCAGGACCACCACAGTGCCTCTCGGACACAAAAGATATCGGTTCTATCCTCGGTCGACTAGAAGTTGCCGATGAAAAGGCGGCTTGATCATACTACCCCTATCACCGCTATTGAGAAGCGCGGGTTTTAATTTAGCTATCTGCATTGCGGAACCCAGAGCCGTGATCCAAATCATTGCGAGCTCTTTTCCCTTGTTGGAGGAAAAGGGTCCAATTTAGCTCTTAGGCAGAAATGTGTTGATTCGAGAAATTCTTCTATGTGTTAGGAATGGATACAAGAACCAAGGCTTATAGTATATGTACCCGTGCTGGGCACGGCTAGGTAGTTTTATCTTAGTCTGCATCTTGACACTATTTATCTCTACTTTCAGTGATTTCCTATGGTATATTCTCCCAAAATTCATCATAATGATAGTTTTTGTAATCAATACGTGTAAGAAGGCTATTGCGAAGTCTGGGACTCTAATCGTTGACTTTAGGGTCTATAGTATAGGTATAAGTTGTATGTACGTGAGGGTGTGGCTTACGTGTAGCGTAGGTAGGTAGTTGTTGGATGTGGCTTAAAAAGTTCGTCTACATTAGGAACCTTCAATTCGATATGCTGCTTGGACCATACAAGATAGCCGAGTCCAGATGCACACAATATGTTGCAAAAATAGATTTACTTGGTTTGGGTTCTATCAAATCAACTCCTTATTAGTAGCATTCTCAGATTCATCTTCATGTAAGGAGATACCTATACATAGGCTATCTGAAAGGTTATAGGGTAACAATGAGGCTCTCGATAGAATGTACCTAAGTACTCTTATTCTATTTTTAGAGACCATGCATACTAAAAATTGCACTATCGTAGCGGGACAGCGGGAGAACCATGATTACCTAAAGGGGCCATGATACATTGGTACATAGGTGCCACCTATTCAGCCATTGATGTTCTTTCTTTGGCTGTATTAAACTTTTAATGTTCTTCCATGCATCTCTTTTCTATGCAAGTGCCACGATGCGCTGCCAGCGTGTTTATCCCTTCCTTCATCTTTATGGTGTAAGCAAGGCTATCTGCCCTTGTACAACGCGATGGATTCTTACGTATCCTGGCTAGCCTCTCCCTACTTTGGAGACAGCAAGGGGAGAATGTGACCTAACAACTCTCTAAAAGTAGGCTTTTAGAGTTCTATCGATTCCTATTTGTTGTCTTCGTCAAATGTTGGAATTCATTTCTGAGCAATCGATAATCATAAATATACAAATTGCGCTGCGGATGCTATGTTGGTATCCGAATAAGTCCGAGCTTTTTAGTCATAACTACCTAGACTAATAAACTGCAATGGAGGTAGATATATAAGATCGTCAACATTATCGTGTTTTTGGAGTAGCGGATAAGCACCGTGTCCGTCTCTGCCACAACCCACTACAGGATCCCGTTCCTCTGCCGGGTTCTATCCGCAGTTGATCCTCTACAGTGAGTGGATAAAAAGCGAAAGAAAATGGGGCTTTAACCATTTTGCTGTTGCTATGGTTATTCAGCACTGTGCGGCTTTGTGCTGAAATGTTTGCTATTATCGCCTTTTCCATATCATTGAATTGACCGGTTCCGTTAAGGTTATTCACCTTAATAGTAAAAGAGCAACTTCAGCTATGATACCTAAATGCAGATCAGCGGTCATGGAGAAGGGTGCAGAGGAACCGGATGCCCACTTGGCTGATGAGGTGCCCATTTTTCTACCATCGACATTCTCGCCTTGGCGTAATCCGAAGGAGTTTATTACTGGCAGTGAACCAACATTTGCTCATTCAGCCGCTCAGCCACCAGTACTGCCTCCCCAGACGTCCAGAGAAACAACAACAAGATCACAAGATATCTCCGAAGAAGATATATCGAATTCTCCGTTGCAGCAACCAACTTCCCCTTTCAACACCCTGGTAGCAGCGAAAACTGACACGACCGACGACAAACGCGCATCTCGGCCATTCGAAAACGGCATGCAGCCCAGAACGGAAGTTGGTATCGAAGCTGGTAATTCTGCTGCAGCTAATCTTGAGAAACCTGGACCCCTGCGCCGCACAAGATTCAAAGAAATGTTAGATCGTTCTCTTCCAACAACGCTTTTCAAAAGCAATTCTTTCTCTCGTATTAGTGGCAATTACGACGAGATTAGAGAAGATCACCAAGCCGCACCCCCACATCGCGAGATGGAGAATCGTGATACGGAGAATTATCCAATGGGCTCGGTCAACAACGCACGCGAAATCCCAGAAGAGAGCTGTTCAAGCTCGGATGATAGCAGCGATATCGAAATTGATGATCTCGCTACGCGATACGGTATATTCGGGTTTCATTCTCGTGCTTTGCCTACGGTATTCGATACTAACCGATCTTTCTAGAGCGACCACCCCTCGACTGCCACTCAAGGCGGGATGTATACATCAAGCATTGGAGCTGGGAATACATTGTTCTAGCTTTGTTGTCCTTGTACTCTACACTTCTAAGCGGATTGTGGTTTATAACCTCTATCTACCAGCCGCGATATGGAAGAGGGATATCATCTAGCGAGGGGTGGAAGATGGCACCTTCGACAGCCACTCTTGTTTGCACCTTAGTCGCTAAGACCATTGAAATATCATTTGTCACGGTCTACGTCGCTCTTCTTGGCCAAGTCCTAACTCGAAGAGCTTTCATCAAAAAGGCGAAGGGCGTTACTCTTGCCGAGATGACGATGCGGAATTGGGTCATCGTGAGTAAACAACTATGTACTGCTGTTTTGTTTTACTGTTCATACTAATGAGTTTAGCAACCGGGATCTTTACTTACTTATTGGGAAGGAGTTCCTTACGCAGCGATGACCATTTTAGGTGGTGTGAGTCTTCTTGCGACTCTCTGCTCCCTGTTTTACACTACGGCGTCGGACGCCCTGGTAAGCCCTAAGCTTATGTTTGGTCGGTGGGAGAATCGCGAGTTAGAGGGGCTAGTGAAGGCTTCCTATGCGAACCCTTTCTATGTACAGAAAGCTTGCTCGACCCCTATCGACCTAAGAATGGACCCCAACAATTCGGCGCCCTCTTGCCTCGATGTCCAATACTCGGGACAGTCCTATCATAATCTACTTACCTTCATGTATGTTATACTCTCTCAATGCTATTAACCTCTAGCTAACAGCCTATCCAGGACAGAATGGCAAGCTATCCACGATAATAAGACTTCAGCGATGGACAATCTCGCCTCGAGACCTGTGGGAAGGCATAGTCTATTCGACAACACAACAATGGTATCATCTTGGATCGAGACCGATTTCGGGAACCCGGAGCTTAATTTAAAAACCCACAACAGGATCATCAATAATGTCACGCTTGCGATGCCACATGCAGGCGTCTACTTGGCTGCCACAGACCCGCGCAACGACATATTGCAACCCGACGATCTGGCTGGTGTTGGCGAGTACTCAATCCGTGCCAGCGTTGTTTCACCAGTGGTCAATGTCATGTGTGTTCATATGACCCACGACGAGTTAGCACCCCTCATATACACTACTTGGCCTGACGCCCGAACGGAGGGCACCGAGATACCCGGACAGAAAACCGGCGTAGAAGATTGGTTCAACGATGTCCCGCCCCCGGCTGACGATGAATGGCTCAACAGAACCGTAGTTGATGGTATTTTTCGATGGGGTCCTAAGTATCACCGTCGACCCCCTGTCTTTCAACTGGTTAGAATCTCTTTTTCTTCTTGCTTCAATAGCCCCTAGTTTATATAAAGGGTGCTTAGTCTAACAACTTTAATAGTTTCCAATCGACTATAATATGATCACTAATACTTCAGTCGCCAACTCGGAGTCTTTGTACGTACTGGCCAAGTCGAATGCCATAGCTGAATACACGCTTTGCGAGATGCGGTCGTGGGTAACACCCAAGTGTTCAACTCGATTCGACGTCTCGGGTATATCCGGCGGCTTCATGCGGGCACATTGCGAGGATCCTGAGGACACCGACTCGTACTCTGCTGCATCGGGCAACGACGACGTTAAAAATCCCCCCGATCCCTCTATCGACTGGAGGAACCTAGCGGAGCAGTGGCGCCTTTCCATGGATCTTAACGGTGGCGTGCAGAACAATAATGCGAGCAACGCGCGCATCATGACGAATTTCATATTACGCGAAGCGGCGCTTGACCCGTTCCTACCCTCCATAGCTGAAGCTCTAGCAGTGCTCTCGTCATCAACTCTTGTCGCCGGGACTCTCGGATCGACTTACCGTATGAGTTGGGATTATCCAAAGGTCGAGATGGACTCGGGCGTCTACGAGACATTCAAGGCGTCTATGCGTACCCAACAGTATACATCCTCACACGTACAGGGATGGCAAGGCATCTTCTACGCCGTATTAGGGACAGTCTTCGCGATTAATGTAGCATGTCTGCTTTATCTCGCCTTCTTCCGCCAAGGGCTCGTGAGCGACTACACCGAGCCCCAGAACCTATTCGCCGTCGCTATCAACTCGCCTCCCAGCGTCGCGCTATCAGGGAGCTGCGGCCACGGCCCGGACACGGCAGGGCTGGTTGTACCCTGGAGCGTGAATTACTCGGCTGCCGCTAACCACTATTTCTTCGAGGAGGTGGGCGGTAATACTAAGGGTCGTGCCGGCACCCGCATGAGTATGGGGAGCGGTTCCGATCTGTTGCCAGCGAATGAAGGCCGGCTCAGGGGGAATAATTACAATAATTACAAACGGCTTAGGGAAAGCAAGTCCTGGTTTTAAAAGGGGGGTATCCTACTACGGGGGAAACGGCAGTCGGACTGAACTAATCATCTGCATAACGCTGCATTTTGCACCTTTTACATGTCTACACTAGCATAGCGGTGGCGTTCAAGGGATTAGGGGCCAAGATACCATTCGGGAGAGGGAAAACCTCCCGATCTGTTACATTTACAATACGTTAGGTGCTTTTCGCTGTATAAGCCCTCAACATAACATCGCATCGAGATGAGTCACGAGTCCCAGGACAGTACGTAATTCAGAAAATAGATAAATCCATAATTTGTTTATAGTAGATTTTCTCGTTATCTAACCTAGGATGTTGAGATCCTATGCATATGTGTCTGGCAGCGTTGAGCTATATCCATAAAAATGATATTTCCAAAAAGCGGTTATGTCGTGGCACAAGCGACTGGACAAAGGCCATAACCGAAGAATAAAAGCAATCAGCAGGGCGAACGAATCCCCCATTCCAAAAATCCAAAATCACGCCTACGGGAAGCACAGCTGTTTAAAACAGCTTATGCTCAAGCGTCATATCGGACTCGGGCTCCAAGCCGACGCAAGCGCGGAAGATATTCGTCAAGGCGCCGCGCTGCTTGGCGAGGGAGTTGACGACGGGGGTCCCGGGCGGCGTCAGGGGCGCCTTGAGCATGTAGCTCAGGATGCTGAGGACGCTGTGGAAGCCCTTGAACTCGGAGGCGGGCTGCGCGGAGAGCTTCCAGCTGATGCGCGTCATCATCTCGGCTACGATCACTAGGTCGATGATTAAGGGCGAGGCGAGGAGGGAGTCTTCGCAGACGTTGAAGATGCTGGGGGTGGGGGGTTAGTTACGTAGGTAGGTAAGGTTGATAATAGGGAGGGAGAGGAAAAAGAGGAGAGGAAAAAGAGGAAAGGAAAGGAAAAAACTCACGAAATGGTCTGGTGTCCGCCCATGAAAATCTCGGCGTAGTACTCGTCTAGCGCACGCTTGTTGTCGCCGACGGCAGGCATATATTTAATGACAACAGTGTGATCGGGATGTTCGCCCTTCTTATACAAGACCGAATTCGCCTCGACCATATCGTCGACGACGTTGCTCTTGGAAATCTCCTTGGACCGGAACTGGCGCTGAGAGCTCAAGTTCTTGCCGTCGTTGTTGCCGAGGTGGTTGTAGCTCGCAATGGAGGTCAGCTTGATGCCGGCGTTGATGAGGAAGTCGACGAGGGCGGATTTCATCTTGGTCTGGCCGGACTTGAAGTCGTCGCCGCCGATGAAGGCGTCGTGGCGGGAGGCCAGGTCGATGGCGCCCGGGACGAATGTGTTCTGCGGAGACCCGTTGATGAAGGGCGTCGATTCGAGGATGCAGGCTACGGCGAAGATGGTCGAGGGGGAGATCTCTTCGTGTCCTTGCTCGATGGCTTGGAGCAGGTTGTCTGCCGTGTCGTTGATGCCGGGGATGATGTCGGCGTAGCGCTCCGTGTTCGCGGTCCATTGCACGATGACCTTGTCCAGGCCGTTTTGCTGCTTGAAATCGCTATTTTCAGATTAATAAAAAAGCGTTCTATATATACTAGGTATGTAGGCGTGCAAGCTAGACTTACCGGATATCCTGGCGGATCTTCTCGACGTGAGTCGTAGAGGCCTTGCTCCCGGGAATGAGATTGTCGGCTCGGTCCTCCTGGTTGGCGGCAATGAAGTCGGGGTAGTAGATACTAGGGAGAGGAACCATCTGGGCCAACTCCTTCTTGACCTGCGCCTTCAAAGTAGGTTCGAGCACGGCAGCACGGTCCATAGCGTCTGCGAGGTTCATGCTGCTGATATCCCACCCGCCGATGACGAGATCGTTGGGATGGACCATGGGAAGGACGTCGTGGAATGGGATGTTGACTTCTTGCTTGGTGATGGGATCCGTACCGAGCTTCATGGTAGAGCCCATGATGACGGACCCGTAGTAGTTGGCTGCACGAGGACCCTCGCGGGTCTCCCAGACTAGGCCCCGGCGATTGGCGATGATGCCGGCGGTCACGGTGGTGCCGTTGTTTCCACCCCAACCAACAAGCATCATACCAACCTTGGGGACCTTGCGGTCAACTTTGAAATCATAGGCTGTCTCCTTAGGCGTAGCTACATATTTGCCGGCAGCATCCTGGGTGACGCTGGTGGTCCGGTAGGTATACTTGGATAGGATCTCATTGTCGGTGTAGGTCACGTTGGGAGAGCTGACCGTGAAGAGATTACTGGATGGCGATGAAGCCGAGTTGTCGGTACCGTTCGAGTGTCCATTCCCGTACGCGGCCCCCGCGTCTGCTTCGGCGTGCGGTGCCATGGTGCTTTTCTGTTACTGGCGGTATACCTTGGTAGATTTGAAATTGAGGTATCTGGGCAACCCTTTACTGAATAAAGGGCGAGTCCGCTGCGCCTCCGGGCGAAGAGCAGCGGGCTCCGGCGTACGGGTGGTGAACGCTACATGGCAGGTCAGAAAGCAAGATTCTAACTTTTCGGATTTCATAGTTAGCAGTCGGTGAAGAGAGCTTACGAGTTAAGGAGATTGGAAAACGTCTTGACGGTGTGTGGTGATCGCTGCTCGGAAGCGCGATCGTCAAGAGGTTTGAGTAGGAAGAGAAGGTAGATACGACTATGTCGTTGAACCGTCTCAAAGTAATATATATTCTTTAACTTGAAGAGCAAGAGATCAAGGGATAGAGTTTAAAGTCTAGAAGGGTGATGTTCTAACTTATGTACGAAGTAAAAGCAAACGGACGGATATGTCGGGAGTCTAGACAACCCACTACTGCTGCAGCTACGTAGTAGACTAAGAAAGACAACACATGCAGGAAAGTCTAGAAAAGTGGCACGATATCCAGTACGAAGAACAGCTAAGTCTGCCGATAGATTTGACAGTTCACGATTTCGATCGTTGCAGTCGTTGGATAGCACTTGTGGGTTTGTATGTCGTGTGCTCCCCGCCTAACCCACCGTAAGGGATCCGAGTGAACCCTTACGGGCTGTCGGCGGGGTAGTTAGGGGTATGATTGGTCAATGGGAGATGTCTTGCTGTCAATACTGAGCCGAGTTTAGGGCTAACAAAGAAGCTCTTCTAGATTATAAGATGCAAACATTTAGCGATGTCGGGTCGCTTATTCTCCTATCTGGTATCTTATATCCCTTTTTGGCTTCTCATGCTTTGGCTATGCATATTTCCGCGGGCGTTCCTTGCATTATCGTTCTCTTTGGGTGGTATTACGACGTACAGCAAGAAAGATAATGTAATGCATGCCACTTCATAAGGTATAACACCATATGACTACTCATTTTTATATATTCGACCTAAACTGTAGTATAATAATAAGTCGGACATGACATAATATAAAATACATAAGTTGTTCTTTGACGATTTATTTATTACCTTCTAGAATAGCGCTACTCGGAAAAAGAAATGATTAATCGCTCTTAATCTTACATCACGGTGATGGAATTCGAATACCGAACTATTACACGCATATAGCACCACACGTGAATAAATCTAGATCTAATACAAACATATAAAGGCACACACAGGCCAGTTGAATCATGTGAAGCAGAATGTGCGGCCAATTTTACTATGGAAAGGGGGGGATGTGCTAAATGTTCCTATTGGATATCGCTTATGAGTGAAAAGCACGGACTCGAAGATCTATCACAAGGGAGCTAGAGCTAAGAGAGAACGTAGGTATTTCGCTACATATTCCTAAAACATTATTAAACTGCGAGTTTCTAGTTTCTCTTTTAAGACAACTGACTTATACTCGGTTTCTATATATGAGTGGCGCATAGCTTCGGATAACTAGTATCTTGTTAATGAAAAAAGCGAACCGAATCAAATAAGGCAGGCCACATTCCATAAATCACCACGTTACATACATACATAACTGAAGAGCCCCCACTCTGGGATGCAGCTAACTACTGTATTAAGCCTCATTTCCGGGTTTAAGGGTTTGATTCGGATATGAGTACAGCTGAGGAGTTTATACTTACTTACCTATCGATAGATAATTCTTGATATGGAAAGTTAATAATAATATTTTATGTATGCCGCGATATTCCGTAGCGTTCTCCTTTTTTACCACCAATTTTCATTGTTTCTGGTAAGAAGTAGGCTATGAAATTTCATTGGACCCGAGCTCTTGGATTAATACTCCGTATCGGCCCAGGGGCTAAAAGAAGTCTCAAGAGACGCCGGGTGGCCAAGGCAAGGTTTGAGTATGTATGACAACTCGATTGCATAGAATTTCATTCGTGTCTGACGTCGGGAGTATTCTAGAGTCTCATTAGTCGCCGGAGATTTCTACACCTGTAGATTTGGTTTCTATGGCCTTGGGATCGAAGACAAAATCCAAAATCTATTTTCCTATTCGTCCATCAGGTTATAATCATTAATCTTGTCTGTCGCGATTTGACATCAAGTGACCTTATGTTAAAGGCAGATCATGTTATGACCTAAACTAAGCGGAGCAGGGGTCTTCGGTAGCAATGAGTGGCATAGGGCCGAGCGAACGAACCGCATTAACATGAACGAGTGTGTTCCCGAGCCGTTGAACGCTTCACGTTTCAACGGGATCGATATGTAAAGTATCCAAGCTTTACGCCAACACCATGCGAAATCCGGAGGATACACATTCTCCATGTTAGCTAAGATGTCAGAATGGTCGATGATTTCGATTTCGCGGAGAGATAGATATAGATCAGCCGCGCTAGAAGGATAAGATCATAAACGGTCGCGATGTTAGTTTAAATTGCTGGGGGGCCCATGAAGTTCGCCATCAGACCAGTTTACATACCACATGGGGTTTTTGATCAGCAATACCCTGATCAGCGATACTAGCTGGACTAGTAGTTACCCAAGTGGTCAATGTGCATGTCAAACTTGTTAGCTCAGAAAAATAGTCAGATGCAGAAATGACGTTTAATCTGCTACCGGACCTATCATGATAATCAGCACAAAGACCATAATTGGTAAACAAGATGTGGAGGAATAAATCTAGCAAGGTTAGTATCCCATGACAACCCAAAGTACGGATTACAAAATACCCTTTTCCGTGGTTCAATCTGGATTATCTGGGGCTGATTGGCTAATTATGGCATTGCCGTCTATGGTCACATCGGCTTTATTCAGATTAATAAGGAAAAGGTGTGGACGAATCTGGTTAAATCAAAAGGGACAAAGCTGGTCGATATCAAACTCAATTGACAAATGAGGTTTGATGCCTGAATATCTTCCCCAAACTCCAAGACCGGACCGTAAAGGAAGAAAGGGTGAACCGAGAGAGGAATTTTAGGTCTATGTTTTTGAAATAGCCATAGTACATACATTGCCTACTACGTACCTTAGGTTAGGTACCTACCTTTATTACATAGCACTTGCCTATAATACGTGCATGTCAATGTATTATGATGCATAACTCCCATGTCCTCTGCGTCTGTCCCTTCCAAACTCACTGAACTCCCCACAGATGTAAATCCTAGATCCGTATTTGGTCTATATTTCTAGCAACATTCAAGTGGAGACAGGGGTAATCGGATTGTCGAATCACCGATAATATTTGAGATGCAAGGTACCCGTTCAGGCCGAGCCAGCCCTGTATGTCATAATGGCGCTATACCAGATCAGTTTAGGGACTGCTAGTGCTTAAAGAAGGTCGATCGTACAGATTTATTAGTGTTACATGGCTTTTTTTCCATTGGTCTCCAAAGCCAGTTTCTCGTGAACACGTCTAGCGTTCGCGGTATGAGGCATTGTGGCGCGCTTCTTCATTAAATATTCCACCTTCGTATTTTTCTTAGCGCACGAAGCGGCTGCGATGCTAAAGCAATTGTCGTACAGCACGGACTATTAAGTACCACATGGCTGACCTCATGTACTATGTATGGAAGCATCTGTAGAAGCCGAGGAAGTCATGATTAAATAGAAAAAGGGCGGCATTGCCGCAATCCTAAGTTATTGATGAGGTGGAAACACGGTTTTGAATGATGGCATACCTACTAGTATTAGAAGTAATTCACTGAGAAAGGCGGCGCAGAACCCGGCATTCACACGTAAAACTAAATCCTACCGATTCATATTGATGAACAAGTAGCCGTCAGATAAACAATCAACGATTACTTCACCGTCAGCTAATTTATGTATTGGTAGTAAAGATAACCACGAGGCAAAGCTGTAAAAAGTAGGCTGCCATTTTTGGTCAAACATCTGAAAATCACCAATGTTTGAACTTGAGTTCCTGAATCCTCCTCATTATGCGCCCACATATTTACCCTATATAAATAATATAGACGACGCCCTGCTACCATGGTTCGTTTAAATTCTTTCCTCTGCTTCTGCACTCCTTTGTTATCCGATTTTATGCCCTAACCCAGAAGCTTAGATATTAGAATCGATTCGAGAGTTATTAAGGTATCTTTCAACTAATACGACGAGGACCAGTGCCGGGTACCTTCTTTAAGTTATTACTGCCAAGAAAAGACAAGGACAAGGACAAGGATTTAACTTTAGTGGTGGTTTACTTGTGCATAGGTACTTGGGTACCCTTGTAACTCAATCAGGGGTTCTGAAGGGCAGGGGGTTGTTTAAACATCCTCCACCCTTTCGAGACAAAGGTTGCAACGTCCAAGACGCCTTCTCACCGACCTTTACAGACCCAAAGGTCTCTTTGAAACCTCTTCAGATCTTGTTTCTTCTCGACCAATTATTCGCTTACACCATCGCACCATCAAAATTCCTCGAAGCAAGGCCCATGCAAACGTCCACTCTTACGCGACGACACTGCATACGACCTATCGCAAAGCATACCTTCACGGTCTAGTCGTTTCTAAATACTGGCCGCACCACAAAACTATTACACCTATCCGGAGCTGTGGCACTCACTGTTCGGGGCTGTGGAGTAAGAGTTTCGGATTTCTGCACAACATCTAGCATAGCAGGCAGATCTATTTTCTACTTCTTTTCTACATTGGTGCTGGTAGAATTGTTTAAGTGGTTACCAATCAACTATCATCAACTTTTACCTATACGAACGTAAACCTCCAGTCAAAGACGAATCGGGTGAAAAGTCCTGATGCACGAAATCGACTTATTCAATCCCAAGTGAGGAAAGGCGAGGAAAACACGAAATAAAGGGATTGTTACGCGTTTAAGCCGTGATGGATGCATCACGGCAGTCGGCTTTTATGCCGACGATAAAATGTTCCAATTGTGGGAATCAAGTTGAGATTTCCATGATGGGAGAACATGTTTGCGGTAGCACACCTGCAGCAGAAGAACGTGCGTGACTCTTAATACATATTTCTATA